AGCTCAGGTCTGATTTACAGTGAGTTCAGTGGGTCCCCTGACTCATCCTGTGGTCATTTCCCCGGTGCCAGAATATATACTTGCAATAGACATACTTAGCAGCTTGCAGAACCCCAACATTGGCTCCCTGACTGGTAGGGTGACGGCTGTTATGGTAGGAAAGGCCAAATGGAAGCCATTAGAGCTGCCTCTACCTAGAAAAATAGTAAATCAAAAACAATATCACACCCCTGGAGGGATTGCAGAGGTCAGTGCCCCGATCAAGGACTTGAAAGACTCAGGGGTGGTGATTCCTACAACATCCCTGTTCAACTCTCCTATTTGTTCTGTGCAGAACACAGATGGATCTTGGGGAATGGTAGTGGATTATTGTAAGCTTAGCCAAGTGGTGACTCCAATTGCAGCTGCTGTACCAGATGTGGTTTCATTGCTTGAGTAAATTAACATATCTCCTGGTACCTGGTATGCAGACATAGACTTGGCAAATGCCTTTTTCTCCATTTCTGTCCATAAGACCCACTAGAAGCAATTTGCCTTCAGCAGGCAAGGGCAGCAATATACCTTTACTATTTTATCTCAGGGGTATATCAACTCTCTGGCTTTGAGTCATAATCCTATTTGGAAAGACCCTGATTGCTTTTTGCTTCTGCAAGATATCACACTGGTCCATTACATTAATGACATTATGCTGATTCGATCCAGTGAACAAGAAGTAGCAAACACACTGGACTTATTGGTGAGACATTTGTGTGCCAGAGGATGGGAAAAAATCGACTAAAATTCAGGGACCTTCTACTTCAGTAAAATTTCTAAGGGTCCAGTGGTGTGGGGCCTGTCAAGATATTCCTTCCAAGGTGAAGGATAAGTTGCTGTGTTTTGCCCCTCCTAAAACCAAGAAAGAGCCACAACACCTAGTGAGCCTATTTGGATTTATTTATTTATTTATTTATTTATTTATTTAGATGGAGTCTCACTCTGTCACCAGGCTGGAATGCAGTGGCGCGATCTCAGCTCACTGCAACCTCCGCCCCCCAGGTTCAAGTGATTCTCCTGCCTCAGCCTCCCAAGTAGCTTGGACTGCAGGAATGCACCACCACACCCAGCTAATTTTTGTACACATTTTTTAGTATACATTTAGTATACGTATATGTTTTTTGTATACGTTTTTTAGAGACGGGGTTTCACCATCTTGGCCAGGATGCCCACCCGTGATCTGCCCACCTCAGCCTCCCAAAGTGCTAAGATTACAGGCATGAGCCACTGCACCTGGCCATCTGTTTGGATTTTGGAAGCAACATATTCCTAATTTGGGTGTGTTATTCCAGCCCATTTGTCAAGTGACCTGAAAGGCTGCTGGTTTTGAGTGGTGTCCAGACCAGGAGAAGACTCTGCAACATGTCCACTCTGTTGTGCAAGCTGCTCTGCCACTTGGCCGATTTGACCCAGCAGATCCAATGGTGCTCGAGGTGTCAGTAGCAGACAGGGATGCTGTTTGGAGCCTTTGGCAGGCCTGCATAGATGAATCACAACAGAGGCCTCCAGGATTTTGCAGCAAGGCCCTGCCATCTTCTGCAGATAACTATTCTGCTTTTAAGAGACAGCTCTTGGCCTGTTACTGGGCTTTGGTGGAAACTGAACGTTTGACTATGGGTAGTCAAGTCACCATGTGACCTGAACTGCCTATCATGAATTGGGTGCTTTCTGACCCATCTAGCCATAAAGTGGGTTGTGCACAGCAGCATTCCATCATCAAATGAAGTGGTATATACATGATCTGGCTCAAGCAGGTCCTGAAGGCACAAGTAATTTACATGAGGAAGTGGCTCAAATGCCCATGGTCCCCACTCCTGCCACCCTGCCTTCTCTCCCCAAGCCTGCACCGATGGCCTCATGGGGAGTTCCCTATGACCAGTTCACAGGGAAAGAGAAGACTAGGGTTCACAGATGGCTCTGCACGATATGCAGGCACCACCCAAAAGTGGACAGCTGCAGCACCTAGAGTCCCTTTCTAGGACATCTGAAGGACAACAGTGAAGGGAACTGTACCTGGTTATGCACTTTGCATGAAAGGAGACATGGCCAGATGTGCGATTATATACTGATTCATGGGCTGTAACCAATGGTTTGGCTGGATGGTCAGGGACTTGGAAGAAGCATGATGGGAAAATTGGCAACAAAAAAATTTGGGGCAGAGGTATGTGGATGAACCTCTCTGAGTGGTGTAAAACTGCTAAAATATTTGTATTCCATATGAGTGCTCCCCAGTGGGTGACCTCAGAAGAGGAGGATTTTAATAATCAAATGGATAGGATGACCTGTTCTGTGGACACCATTCAGCCTCTTTCCCCAGCCACCCCTGTCATCACCCAATGGTCTCATGAACAAAGTGGCCATAGTGGCAGGGATGGTGGTTATGCATGGGCTCAGCAACATGGACTTCCACTCACCAAGGCTGACCTGGCTACGGCCACTGCTGAGTGCCCAATTTGTCGGCAGCAGAGACCAATGCTGAGCCTGTGATATGGCACCATTCCTCGGGGTGATCAGCCAGCTACCTGGTGGCAGGTTGATTACACTGGACCTCTTCCATCATGCAAAGGGCAGAGGTTTGTCCTCGCTGGAACAGACACTTACTCCCAATAGGGGTTTTTGCCTATCCTGCACATGATGCTTCTGCCAAGACTACCATCCGTGGACTCACGGAATGCCTTATCCACCATCATGATATTCCACACAGCATTGTCTCTGACCAAGGCACTCCCTTTATGGCTAAAGAAGTGTGGCAATGGGCTCATGCTTATAGAATTCATTGGTCTTACCATGTTGCCCATCATTCTGAAGCAGCTGGATTGATAGAGCGGTGGAATGACCTTTTGAAGTCACAATTACAATGCCAACTAGGTGACAACACTTCGCAGGGCTGGGGCAAAGTTCTCCAGAAGGTCACATATGCTCTGAATCGGCGTCCAGTATATGGTACTGTTTGTCTTATAGCGAGGATTCACAGGTTCAGGAATCAAGGGGTGGAAGTGGAAGTAGTACCACTCACCATCACCCCCTAGTGATCCACTAGCTTTCCCACAATATTACATTCTGCTGGCCTATAGATCTTAGTTCCAGAAGAAGGAACGTTGCCACCAGGAGACACAACAATGATTCCATTAAACTGGAAGTTAAGATTGACACCTAGACACTTTGGGCTCCTCCTACCTTGAAGTCAACAGGCTAAGAAGCGAGTTACAGTGTTGGCTGGGGTGATTGACCCGGATTATCAAGATTAACTCAGTCTACTACTCCACAGTGGAGGTAAAGAAGAGTATGCATGGAATACATGAGCTCCATTAGAGTTTCTCTTAGTATTACCGTACCCTGTGATTAAGGTCAATGGGAAACTACCACAGCCCAATCCAGGCAGAACAACAAATGGCCCAGACCCTTCAGAAATGAAGGTTTGGGTCACTCCACAGGAAAAAAACCACGACCTGCTGAGGTGCCTGATGAAGGCAACAGGAATACAGAACGGGTAGTAGAAGAAGGTAGTCATCAATACCAGCTACGAACACATGATCAGCTGCAGAAACAGGGACTGTAACTATCATGAATATTTCCTCCTTCTTTTGTTAAAAACATGTTTGTGTGTATATATACATTTGTACTAAGAAAATATCTTCATTTTATTTCCTTTCTCCTTCATGATGTGACATAAGATTTACTGACTCCACATCAGCATTTAAGTATTGTAAACTTTATGAAATAGCATTTGGGTTGGGGATTGGCGCATTTCCAGTTGTACAAAGGATAATTATATTATGTTAGTTGTAATTATGACCTTATTATTATCTTTATTTGAAGATTATGTATGATCTCAGGATATGTGTATGGGTTCAAGTTGACAAGGAGTGATGGTTAATACAAGGAGTGATGGTTGACAAGGAGTGACTTGTGATGGTTAATACTGAGTGTCAACTTGATTGGATTGAAGGAAGTATTGATCCTGGGTGTGCCTGTGAGGGTGCTGCCAAAGGAGATTAACATTTGAGTCAGTGGGCTGGGAAAGGGAGACACAGCCCTAATCTGGGTGGGCACAATAGAATCAGCTGAAAAATGTGAAAAGACAGACTGGCCTAGCATCCCACCCTGCATCTTTCTCCTATGCTGGATGCTTCCTGCCCTTGAACATTGGACTCCAAATTCTTCATTTTTGGAACTTGGACTGGCTCTCCTTGCTCCTCAGACTACAGACAGCCTATTGTGGGAACCCTGACTAATACACGTGGTTTATGTTTGGCAAGGTCAAGTAAGGTGGCTGAGAAGTATTCATTGGATTTAGGTCATTTGTCACCTATTCTGTAGCTAATTCTGTAGCTAATTGTGAAGCAATGAGTGTAGGAGTCAGATAAAAGTGGAATGAGAAAGGAATGTGAGTTGAAATAAAGACAATATGTGAATAACGTTTTCAAATATTATTTGAAGGCTTTTTCCACTGTATTTCCTTATACACACAGGACTTCCCTTACCTTTAGGATTTTCTGAACTAAAGGAGGCTGTGCCAAAAACAGAGAGGTCTTTGGTTTGTTAAAGTTTTGGTCCTGCTTTAAATAGGAAGGTTTGTAATCAAGATAATAAGTTCAAGAGAACACACAAAGCTGTAAAAGCCAGGATGACTATCCTAAAGACTAGATAAAGATGTTTTCAGGTTGGATGAGAGGAGTTTAGAAAATCAAGGAGAGGCCGGGTGCGGTGGTTCACGCCTGTAATCCCAGCACTTAGGGAGGCGGAGGCAGGCAGATCACGTGGTCAGGAGATGGACATCATCCTGGCCAACATGGTGAAACCCTATCTCTACTAAAATACAAAAAATAGCTGGGACTGGTGGTGCATGCCTGTAGCCCCAGCTACTTTGGAAGCTGAGAATTGCTTGAACCCTGGAGGCAGAGATTGCAATGAGCCAAGATCGCACCACTGCACTCCAGCCTGGTGACAGAGCGAGACTCCGTCTCAAAAAAAAAAAAAAAATTAAGGAGAATTTAGATGTAGATAGCGCTTTGAGAAGTGTCTTTGTGCCCTGTGTATTCCTGCCCACCCTTGGTGACTGGCCTGGCTATAGAACGATGGGGCAATGAAGGCTGCATGAGCCACTAATAAGTTTGGGGCACCTGAAAGCAAAGAGGACCTGTATCTTGATTCCCATGTAGACCTCAGGAAGGCAGCAGCAAGACCTCAGAGTAGAAAACTGTTGCTTGGTTCGTTTTGTGCAGAATTTTCTATTTTGTTTTTTACTGCAACCTATAAGAAGGGGTTCATCTTATACTGAGACCTAGCACACACTCATCTATAACTGAAATGTTTTATGAACCCATACTTATTTCTACTATGTGTATTATTATTGTGTAACAAGCTAGCCCCAAATTTAGCAGCTTAAGACAATTATTCTCTCAAAGCTTCTGTAAGTCAGAAACTTGGAGCAGATTAGCTGGGTAGTTCTGATACAGGTCTCTTAGGGGGTTGTAATTAAGATGTCAGCTGGAGCTGCTTCCAAGATGGCTCACTCATATGGGTGTTGGCAAGAGGCCTCCGTTCCTCACCATGTGGGCTCCTCCATAGGGCTGCTTGAGTGTCCTCACAACATGGCAGTTGAGTTTCCCCAGAATAATTGAACTGAGAAAGAGCAACAAGAAAGCCAGTCAATACCGTTTTTTGGTCCTAATATTTAAGACATCTTCACTTCTACCACATTCTGTTCATCAAAAGTGATCACCATAACACTATTTAGGGGGAAGAAAATGCACTCTGCTAAAAACTTTCAATTTTTCAATCTCCCTAACACTTGAGGATAGCCATGTGATATAGTTCTGGCAATAAGATGTAATCGGGCATCTCTGGGAAGGTCATGTCTTCCTCATTAGAAAGGCAAAACTTTTTGGGAAAAGCCCTTATTCTCCCTTTTCTCTTTCTTGGAATGGAGAGTGGAGACCTGGAGGTGCAAGTCATCTAGCAAATGTATGTTAATATGAAACCTACAAGTCCAGGATGGAGGCCTGGAAAGCTGCATCTCTGATGGTATTCTTGGGCTGCTCCTTCCTTGATTTGTTGAGACAACCCCTAATGAGTTTAAAAAAAAAAAAAAGTAATGAGTCACTAAGTACAGCTCACACTTAAGGGAAAAAAAAATTAGTTTATATCATTTGAAGGGAGGAGTACCAAAGAATTTTACAACTATCAAACTATGTGTGGTGAAATCTGATACGTTTTATTCCGTCCTACACCACTTCAGTTTGTTTTAAATGTTGGTTATAACCCATTACACTAAATTCATGACTTACCATTGGTTGTAACCCACAATGTAAATAGTCTAAAATCACTCTACTGGCAAAACTGCAGGGAAACAATTACACTCATAACTTGATGGTGGAAGTGAAAAATGGTACAACTTATAGAGAAGGTAATGTGGCAATTTGTATTAAATTATAAATGTATTTAGCCTTTGAACTATCACTCCTACCTATGAGATTCTACCATATAGAAATACCTGCACGCATACAAAATGTTTTATGTGTAAGTTGCTTCACTGCAGCATCATTTTCCAATAGTATAAAATTAGAGATAACCTGTCGATCAAAAGAAGGTGGCTACATTTTGATATTACCAAATATTTGGATATTTTGATATATCCATGCAGTGGAATACCATGAAGCTATTTAGAAAAATAATAACTTTGAATATATCATAGGTAACAATTTCCAGGATATATTGTTAAATGAAAAAAATCAATGTGCATATAGTATGCTAACTTTTGTGTACAAGAGGGAGAAAATTAATATGCCTTTCTTTACTTTTACATAAAGAAACAAAAAATTAATAAAAAGTGGTTGCCTGAGAAAGGTGAGGACAAGGTGAATAGGGCAGATGTAGGCAAGAGACTTTTAATGTATATTTGTTGAAAGATAGTTTGGCTAAATATAGGATTCTTGGTTGACAGTTTTTTCTTTTAGCACTTTGAATATGTTATCCCTCTACCTTCTGGCCTCCACTGTTTCTGATAAGTCAGTTGTTAATCTTATTGGGATTCCCTTGTGTGCGACAGGTTGTTTTTCTCTTGCTGCTTTCAAGGTTTTTCCTTTGCCTTTGTCTCTCAGCATTTTTACTATTTGACTATTTGCTAGCTGTGTGTGTCTCTCTGTGTTTGTCTTACTTGGGATTTTCTTGAGTTTCTTGGATGTATGTAGATTAATTCCTTTAAGATTCAAATTTGGGAAGTTTTCAACCATTATTTCTTCAAATACTTTTTCTGTTCTATTCTCTCTCTCTTTTTTTGGTAGTCACATTACACATATGTTAATGTACTTAATGGTCTCCCAAAGGTCTTTGAGACTGTATTCATTTTTTCTGCATTTTTTTCTCTCTGTTGTTCAGCTTACATAATCTCTATTGAACTATATTCAAGTTTGCTAATTCTTTCTTCTGCCAGTTCAAATTTACTGTTTAGTCCCTGCAGTTAAGTTTTAATTTTAGTTATTGCAATTTTCAACTCAAGGATTTCCAAGTTTCTTTTTTTATAAATTCTATCTTCTTTACGAATCTCTATTGATGAGACATTTTCAACATGCTTTCTTTTACTTCTTTAAGCATAGTTAAAAAAATTCTTTGAACACATTCATAATGCCTACTTTAAAGAGTTTGTTAAATTTGCTATCTGATCCCTCTCATGGACAGTTTCTTCTGTTGCCTGCTTTTTTTTTCCTAGGTATGGTTCATATTTTCCTATTTCTGTGCATGTCTCATATATTTATAGTTCTTGTGGTTGCAAACTGGATGCTTTCAATAGAGAGAACCAGGGAAAAAGACAGCTAAGAAAAACGTTCATGGAGCAACTCTGTAGCAGCTCCAGATACAGGTTTCTACTCCTCCTTCTGTGGGGCTTATTACTGTTGTCTGTTTGTTTGTTTATTTATTTGTTTAGTTACTGGACTATTTTGGGGTAGTCTTTTTGCTCGGTGTTGTGAAGCCTCTGGTGTTGTTCCTCAGAGAACACAGCCTTGGGTACGCCTACAGTCACCCTTGGAGAACAGTGGCTTTAGTAGGGCTCTGTTTGTCTCTTTTCCTGATCACTTCTAGATGTTAGGAGTCACCAATTATTTGCTAATTGCCTTATTGGTTTTGACAATGTTATAGGGCATAAATTGCTTCACGGTCTGATCCAATTGCAGGGGTAGTTTTTGAGGTTAGTTTAGACCTCAAGAGAGCTCTTTTTAGCTGTCTCTTTTCTGGGTTCTCTCTGGTAAACTAGCTGCCTATGGTTTAGCTTCTATCTCTCATGAAGTTTCTAGCCTCCTCTTAATTACCACCAAAACTCCACTGTTTTTGAGAATGCCCATAGACTTGAACTTCTTCACACTTTGTTTTAAATAAAATCAGTTCCCTTGGAGAGAGCTTCAGGGCCGTCTGTTTAAAGGCCTGTCTCTACTCCTATGCAAACTCTCTGAGTCATGGCTCTGAACTGTGGGGGCAGGGATGGTGGCCTGCTTCTTTTGGAATGGTTGCTCCAAAAGTAGAGCATTGGGTGGGGGGTCATAACATCTGGTCTTCTCAGCTTGCCTGTTCAAGCATGAAGTCTCAGTCCTACAAATGAGCTTCTTTGAGAATAATCATGGCCCCAGTATTCCGAGCATGCCACACCCTAGTAAAGCATTTGCTCTATGAGTGGGAGGTAGGTAGAAGACAACCCCCAACTTCTTGGCTGCACTCACCTGGAATTTAACCTCTGCAACATGTAGCCTGAGAGGTGTGAAGTTCTTGTAACCTGCTCCTCTGAGGAGAATAAGATAGTCCTGGGATCTCAGAGAAGGGAGCCTTGTGCTTTTTTCCACCTGGAATGGAGTCTCTGTCATACTGAGCTGGCAATAGGGAGAGAGTGAGTGGGTTATAATCCAAATGCCACAGACTCACTATTCTTACTGAGTTTTAGTAGATTTTCTTAATTAATGTTTCTCCATTTTCTATATGCCATTAGGACAATTTAAAAAGATTTAAAATGATTGTCTTGCAACTAATGTTCACCAGTTACACTTGTTTCATTGGGATCCACAGAGCTCTTCATTGCCATTCCAGAAGTGGAACTTCCAATGCATGTTTTATGTATAATTTTGATTTATTGACCCAACAATATAAAAATATATCAAAAATCAAAAATATCTGAAAAATTTTTTAAAAGCAGCCTGTGACCTCCTAATGGGTGTGGTCACAGCCCTCTATGGTTCTGAGGTGGAGTCATGATTTTTTTGTGTTTAGAGAGGGGCTCATTTGAGCTGGGTCCTTTTGGACTTAAGTGGGAAATAATTACTCAGCAAGCCATGGATATAAGGCCAGAGACAGACTGATGGATGCCTTGGCAGATGCCAGGGTGAATGGATGACAATTGAGGACTTAGGTTCACCAGTGCATTGGCACTAATAAGCCCCTAGAACCTAGATGCTGTCATCTTAAGTTTTGCCATCTGGCAGAGTAAGATACTGAGTTGCAGAAAAATAATTACTTTCTTTCTTATACCACTAAAAGTGTAGACTAGAATTTAGATCAATTGTAAAAGTACAGGCAATTCTTTCGATGGGTTAGCTGACGGAAAGGAACTGAGGGAGAGAAAAGGAGGGAGGAATGGGAATTTTTCTTCTCAAGTGAGAGATTAGGGCATGCCTAAGTGCTCATGGCAGGGATATGGTTCAGTGGGAAGGCTAAGGATACCAGGGAACAGAAATAATAGATAGCATGAGATTTCCGAGGCTGGAGAAGAGACCAGCTTCATTATAACTGGAAAACATAGCTGAGAACTAGTACAAATCTAGTTTAGTTAGGTTCAGTGGCTAAAATATGAAGAAATGTGTATCTGATGGCTTCTATTTTCGTGGAGAAGTAGCAACAAAAGTCACATTCCAAGAGGTTAGGGTTGGTTAAATGTTTGAGTGGAGAAGGTTTGAAGGGTCACAAAAGGGGGCAGAAGGAGTGAGCTGACATGTGAAAATGCTGAGATTGCCAGCAGGGTGGAAGGGGCAGGCAAGGCTATGGATTCTAAGTGCAGTGGATACTAATTGATCTGAATCTGTAATTTTTCTCCAATGGTGTTCAGATGTGCTGGAGCAGGAATGGGGAAGTTGGATGACTGGGGTCATCTTGAGTGGAATTTTTCCAGAAAACAACTGCTCAGAAACTCTTCATATGTATTTTTTTAAAACACACACATATAGTTGTTTTCCAAATCAAAAACAAAATCTTTTCTTTTAAATGTTATGCTGTTTTCCTATCCCTTTGATAGTTGTCTTTATCTTCCTTGGCACTTTCCCAGGTTTCTCATTGTCTTTTTCAAAAGACACAGGCAGTACAGTATAGCAGTTAAGAGACGACTTCTGGCACCAATCTGCCAGGTGCAAATCTCATGTTTAGCACTTACTAGCTGTGTGATCACATAACACCTCTGTGCCTTGGTTTTCTCATCTGTAAAATGGGGAGAGTGATAATATAGTATGCCTTCATAAGATTGCTCTGAGGATTAAATAAGCTAATGCACCTACTATACAGAGTATTACCTGTTGCTGCATTATTTCCTCCCAAATGAAATGCCCAAACGGGAAGCAGAATGAGACATGAAGGATTACATTCTGGCCTTTACATAGTACTCAATATTTAATCCATTCCATTATTTCATAGCTTTTCTTTCTCCTTTTCCCATGAAGTCACTATAATTGCATACTCATAGTAAGCAGATGGAAAGGTCAAACTCTTAGATTATTTTGAGAATCATTCTTTCTTCACCTTTTGAGGTATTGATTATGTAATATTTACACTGGATCAAATGGGTGGCTGACTTATACCTGCCTATCTCTTGCTTCCAAGTTCATCTCTTTTCTTTGATAGCCTCTTCTGAAAATGCTACACCTTTTCTTCTCCACAAGTAAACTTGTTATGGCTGATTGTTGTTACAAAGCCACAAAGTCCTTGCTGAGGCTGTAAGCCCTCTGCAGATGAGTACTGTGGCTTCTACCTTTTAGTAGCCTTAGCTCCCAGGAAGTTGCCCTTATAGAAAGTAGGAAACAAAAATGGTAGATGATGATCATGATGATGATAATGATGACAGTACCATAAGTGATTATTCTTGATTTCCTTACCTGTAGACTTCTGTGGGAATACAGAGAAAAAACATGGGGTTCTGAGGCCAAATGGACTGCAGTTCAAATCCTAGTTCTACCACTAAATAGTTGGATAGCCTTGGATTAAAAACAAACAATTTAGAGCATTGTAAATTGTTCAGTAATTTATGAACAACTTTCTCTTTTTCCCCTCTAATTCTTGCCTACCATGACTCTCAGAGCCACTAACAGAATGGTCTCTTTCACAAGCCATGCTTTTCCTAAAACTTCCTGCCACTGAAGAGGTAGGGCTGGAATTCCTTTTCTTCCTTAAAGTTCTTCCTGCCATCACCTTGTCACTTCCAATCTCTCAGATTTTTCCTTCACTCACCAGGTAGGTTTTTTCTATATCACGTTTATTTTTCAATGCCTTCCTTCAATTCTTCTTCCCAGGCAACACACTAATTTGCAACACGTTCACCTCCTTACTCTAAGATCTCTCTCTGCCCTTTATTCACAACTGTACTTCCTATTCTATGATATCTTTTATAATTGGAAGACTTTATCATTTCTCTCTAAATCCCAAAAGTGACTCGGTGCCAAAAAATACACATTTTTTTGCCTTTAACAGGCAAATACTACAGATACCTGTTTTTGTTAGTACAGCTGCATGAAGTCTGTATATGCTTTATAAAATAAGGGCTAGAGGGGAGAGATTATCTCATCTACTTTGTACTACATCGAGTGTAGCAAAATATACACAATTTACAAACTTCTGATTTGTGATGATACACTGAGAAGCAGAAAAAATTAAAACATCTTTAGCTCTGACATGAATCATATATTTCCACCTTTGATTACAAAATAATGACATGCACCCACCTGTCAAACAAAGAAATACTTAAAAACATATTTAAATACTTTACAGGAAGAAAATGCTGGCTATTTCACATTGAAATCTTCATACGACAGCTAATGTCTTTTCACATCTACTGTAAATAACTTGTTCAATTAAGGCTATGAAATATTGAAGAAAAGAGGGGCAGGATGGAGGGAAAGAAAGAGGGAAAAATAACATTTTTAAAAATTCTGAGTAAATGATCCTGTGTATAGTTGTATTTAACATTAGAAAGTTCACCTACACAAATCCTGAATTATGTTTTTGAATTATTGTAAAACCATCTTTTTTGCTAGGATAGAAATTTAAAAAGCATCTTTGATTTGCATATTTCTAAAGATATTTTCAGTTTGCTTGAAGTTCTTCTCCAACTTTATGCCTGTGTTTTTAATACCCTGTTACATATAGTCCCACACCTATTCTCCCTTTAATACTACATTATCTTTGACAAGTCATAGCTATAAAGCAACCATCAGCTATTTTTAAAAACATAAAATACACCAAATTTCTAAATGTAGAAGAGTATGATCTTCTTGGAAAAGTCTATGCTAATTCCAAGAGGCTGCTTCTCAAAATAGTTACAGAATTTCTCTTTGGAATCATTTTCAGTTAGCTAAAAGCCACATAGGAAACCCAACCTTGTGGCTTTATAGAGGTCTCATTTAAAAAAATAATAATAATTTAAATGAAGTGGCATGACTCACCTTATTCAATCAACTTGACTTCAAATTACATTTTTGGCTATATCCAAAAATCAAATTTACCTCAAAAGACTTCTGAGCAGCATCCCAAAATTTATCGGAAATAAAAGTAGCATGTTAGAGTAAGGATAAAGCTTCAAAGCTTTCCAAGGAAGATCATTTTGGAGAGATGATGCGGGTGGAAGGAATGTTAATTTTTACATATAATCTTGGAAAACATTTTTAAAACACATTTATGCTCATACGCTCATACTTCTACTTGTCCTTCAGATGGTTGAATTTTATCTAATAATAACCACTTTTTCAAAATCCTAAAATGATTTTAAATGGGTTAAATGAATTAACAATTTTCCACAAAGGTTATTGGGGGTGGGGTGAGGAAGTGCACCAATGTGTGTAAGGATAAGACTTTTCCACTTGCAATCTAACCACCCAAGGCATGTCAGAGGTGCAAGCTCTAGAAACTACAGTTTTGTTGGATGCTAGCGATTTAGAGGGGCTTTCAAGCAGCTCTGAGGGTCTCCATTCATTCCTGAAATTCTATGTAGTTGAACAATACTAGCTGCATTAAATGTTTTGTTTGTTTCACAGTGTGGTCCTGTAATATGAGCTTTTCAGTTATAGTGAATGTTATTTTTGTCATTTTTGGCACTTACAGTTCACAATGCTTGGTTATGTGGTTTAAGATTGTTTTAATTTTTGCATTTTACATTCCTTTTGGCACTTTTGAAGAAGGGACATTGTTTTTTATGTTGTTTGGGGAAAGTGGTAAGCCTCCCCCGTCTCCAGCTTTAAATGTTTGGTTTTATGAAATCCACGACTTCCCCCAGAATCTTCCGTCATTAAATAATGCGAGTGGAAATTTGCCTTCATAAGCTGGCCATCCCAACCGTCTTAGAGGCTGGTATCCCCAGTTTCGGATTTAGGCTGTTTGGTCGCTGCCGTCACAGGCTCTGGTGGACCCTCTCGGCAGAAAAGTACAACCGGATTTTTGCGGGCCCACATGGCCATGTCCCCTCCCACTCCACTGGCCGGGTTGGAAGAGGACACCCAGCTGCAGGCCCCCAGCCGGTTGGCATAGCGGTTTCGAAGGCGATTGCGGCTTCTGGCTTGCAGACCCGGGCCCTGGCTAGGCAGGAAAGCGTCCACATTCCTAGTCCGGTAGCCCTCCTCGCGGTTGCGCCCTAGGAGCATCGAAATGTTGGGATTGCGGATGGCGTAGATGACAGGGTTGATGGCCCCATTGGCCCAGGTCAGCCAGACCGCCACCACGTTGAGGAGCGAGGGGGCCTGCACTGTCTGGGCCTGCCGGGCGGCTGCCAGCAGCACCAGGAAGCAGTAGGGCCCCCAGCAGCAGATGACTAAGACGATCATGATGAGCACGGTGGTGGCCGTGCGCACCTCACTGAAGAAGCGCAGCACGCGCGCGTAGGTGTTCACGGGCCGCACGCGCACGTCCGACAGGCGCACGGTCTTGCAGATGTGGTAGTGGCAGAAGCACATGAGCAGGAAGGGCAGCAGATAGCAAGCCACCACCAGCCCCACGCTGAAGGCCGCGCCCAGCTGCGCGGGATCCGGAGAGGTCCGGTAGAGGCAGCTGTGGAAGCTCTGCGCCGCCGCGAGTTCCCGGGGAGCCCCAAGCAGCTCCCAGGGCAAGGAGAAGCCCAGGGCCGCCAGCCAGGCGCCCGCCAGCAGCTGCAGAGCGCGGTGGCGACCGATCTTCTCCCGCGGCGGCCGCACGATGGCGCAGTAGCGGTCCAACGAGATGAGCGCCACGCTGAGCGTGGACACGATGCCGAAGCACGAGCTGAAGAAGCGGCTGGCGGCGCAGAAGCCGCGCCAGGGCCCCGCGGCGGCGGCAGGCGCCGAGCCCCCGGGCGGCGTAAAGAGGTCCAGGAAGGCGGCGGGCAGGCAGAGCAGCGCCGTGAGCAGATCCGATAGGGACAGCGACAGGATGAAGGCGTTGGTGACGGTGCGGAGCTGCCGGTGCTTCACGATCACCCCCATCACCGCGCAGTTGCCCAGGCTAGACAGCAGGAAGATGAGCAAGAGGACGAGCGCCTGGGCCGCCACCGCAGCTCCGTGCGACAGCAGCGGCGCCGCCTCCGAGCTCAGGAGCTGCCTCACCGCCGCCCCCGCCTCCCGCGCTGCCCCGGACCCGCCAAGGCCGCCGCCACCGGGAGCGGCAGCTGTGCCGCCTCCGCTTGCGTCGCTCAGGTTCCCCAGCGCCGCGGCCGCCGCGGTCGCCACGGTGCTGAAGGAGACCACGGCTGCCGTGGCCGCGGAGGAAGTCCCGCCAGGCGGGCCGGCCGCGGAGGGGGCGCCGGGGTGCGGGCTGCCCAGTAAGGCCATGCTCGCTGGTGAGCGGGCCGGTGGCGGCGGCGGCTCCTCCATGGGGCCCAGTGGCGGCCGCGGATCTGGTCATCCCGCAGCGGGGGCGGCGGCCGCTAGGTCGGAGGGGTGGTTCAGGGCCGGGGGCTAGCGGCCGCTGCGGGGAGCTGGGCTCGGCCGGAGGGGTGGCGGTCTCTGGGGACCCGGCGGAGCCTTTGACGTGGGTTCAGAGCGTTGCCGAGGGAACCGCGTGTTTACGCAGGAGCGCGGGGCGGGACGCCAACCCAGTACCCGCTGCAAAGCCGGCCCATGACACTGCCCCTCCGGAGGTTACCGGCCGGGGGCTTCGCGTTTCCGAGAGTGCCAGGTCTACCTCCTCAGGGACCACTGTCTGGCCAGATAAAGCGCGAGTGGCATGCAAACCAATGACCACATTCAGCGAAAGTTCACTCTTGCTCTCTTTTGTAGGGTACAAATGTTCTACAGGCAGGCCTTTTGGGGAGCGGGTGGGGGGTGCTTTGCTTCCTGTGGGTGCTTTTGGTATATACAGGTGGGAAAGGAATCTAGAACGTGAAGTGAAAGAAAAATCCAGAAGTCTACATCCAGACATCTTCAACTTGAGAAGTCGACTAATTTAAACCAATAATTCTCAAACTTGAGCTAACAGAAAATTCACATAGAGGGTGTGTTAAAATACAAGTGACAAGGTCTCAACCCCAGTGTTTTGGATAAGTCTGGGGAAGTGCCCAAGAATTTGTATCTCTAAGGGGCTCGCCGATGATGATGATGATGCTGGTTCCAGGACCACACTTTGAGAACCACTGATGTCAAGAGCTTCATAAAATGCAGATTCCCTGGCTGACAGAATTACTGAGGATGGGCCCATGACTCTAAACCCTCTAGGTGATTCTGATACAGGTGCTCTGAGGAGCTAGGATATGCATCTTCTTTACATGTTACTTCATTTCCATGGGCCTGGACCTCAGGCCCCTACTGGCTGATAAATGGAGGGAAAGGGATTGGTGCCTTGCCCTGCTAGCAGCCTTCATCTGTTCTCAGGAATGGGGTGTGTTTTGAGTCTAAGATGCTGCCAGCCTGGCAATCATCACAGATGCAGCTCCAGGTATCTGGCTGGGAGATACAGGGAAAAGAAAGGCAGGGCTACCCGGGGAAGTTGCATCTCAAGTTTCTGGGCATAGCCCGTAATGGGGAAAAGTGTGATAAACCTTCAGGTTAACTGACCCTAGGCTCTTCTCTAAAGCAGTGGTTCAGAGTATGGACATTGGACCAGCAGCATCAACATCCCCTGGAAACCTTGAGAGATACATATTATCAGGCCTACAGTGCATAGGATACCCCTGATCTACTGAAACTCCTGTGGTGGGGCCCAGGCACCTATGTTTTAACAAGCCCTCCCAGTGATTCTGATGCACAAATTTGAGAAACACTGCTCTACAGAACGACTAGTACATTTGTAGGTCTTAGCATCAATGGTTAGTATTGGGAGTGCTTACTTCATTCAGAAAAAATATCCTACAGGAAATTTACAGTAGAAATAGAAGAACATTTAAGGTGGCAAACCAAAACTGAGTTTCTCAGCCTCAGCGTCATGGACTTTTTGGGCCAGATAATTCTTTATTGCAGGGGCCATCTATACACTGTAGGATGTTCAGCAGCATCCCTAGCCCCTACCTACGAGATGCCAGTAGCACCTCCCCCAGCTGTGACAACTAAAAATGTCTTCAGATATTGCCAAATGTCCTCTTGGGATCTATCAACCCCAGCTTAATCTAGACTGATTTCATCTTAATTTTGTCAAGACAAAAATATAATTATCATACATTAATTTATTTAGCAAACACAATCTTCTAAGATTGTGCTTAGTTTTAGAAAACAACAAATAAGATAGGAAACCCAGCCCAAATAAGCTTAAGTCACAGGCCAACACAGTATATTACAGTGTGCTAAATATTGTCTTAAAAATATGTGAGTGAAATTATTTGGAGGTAACTAACTCTTCCTGACGAAGACTTTGTACAAGAGGTGACATTAGACTTTTTAAAAAAAGAAGAAAGGGGAAGAACATTTGATGCATGTGCAAAGTCTTGAGGTTAGTGTTGAAATGATCAGTGTCTGAATTCTAGGATATTGGAGATGGGGAGTGAAGAAGGAAATAAATGATCAAAGTGTATTGGGGCCGCCTTATGATGGGCCTTGTAGGCCATGCTCTGGAGACTAAACTTCATCAGGGGAGGAGGGGCCATACCACAAGGGAGGGCTGTGAGCAAGTGCATGGTTCAGAAGTACCAGAAGGACTGCACTCTCCTGGTTCCTTCCTTCCTCATCTTTCTCAGTGTCCTCTCCTCTGCCATTTCATCATCTTCCACCTGCCTTTACATGCTGGAGTTCATCAAAGCCCTGTTCTCGGCTCCTCTGGACTCCCCCCTCAGCCCCATCTCACTCACATCTGGGACTTGAAAGATTATCTATATATTCATTACTCAAATTATGTCTGCGGCCCCAACCTACATGCCATGCTACTTGGCATCATGTGCCAGTGGTGTATCAAATGGGTGCATGATCCTCTTCCTACTTCCCCTGAAAAACTTGGTCCTTAACACTCTGTATCTCAGAATATGGTAGAACCATCCTTCTAGCTTTTAAGCCAAAAACTTAAGAGTTTTCCTTGATAAATCCCTCCTCCTTACCACCAGTCCACATCCAATTCATCAACCAAGACCTATGGATTTTAGTTTCAGACTATCTTTGCATCCATTCACCTCCTCCATCCTGAATCTTGGCTCTCATCCTCTCTTTGGACTACTGTTGTCACTGTTGTCCTAACTGGTCTTCCCACATCCAGTCCCTACATTGTAGGCAGATAGGCATAATGCTCTTAAAAAAAATTCTTCGTCGGCCGGGCGCGGTGGCTCAAGCCTGTAATCCCAGCACTTTGGGAGGCCGAGACGGGCGGATCACGAGGTCAGGAGATCGAGACCATCCTGGCTAACATGGTGAAACCCCGTCTCTATTAAGAAATACAAAAAACTAGCCGGGCGAGGTGGCGGGCGCCTGTAGTCCCAGCTACTCGGGAGGCTGAGGCAGGAGAATGGCGTGAACCCGGGAGGCGGAGCTTGCAGTGAGCTGAGATCTGGCCACTGCACTCCAGCCTGGGCGACAGAGCGAGACTCCGTCTCAAAAAAAAAAAAAAAAAAAAAATTCTTCATGCCACTTACTTATTTAAACTCCTCTAATCAGGCCAGTGTAGTGGCATGTGCCTGTAGTCCCAGGTACTTAGGAAGCTGAGGAGGGAGGATCATTTGAGCCCAGCAGTTAGAGGCCAGCCTGGGCAACATAGTGAGACCATGTCTCTTAAAAAAAAATCCTATTGGCTTTCCCCATTTATTTTAGAATAAGGACCCCAATCCTTAATATTTCCTGTGAGGCACTGCATGATTTGACCCCTGCTTCCTCTCTAGTCTCATTCGGTACCACTTTCCTTCTTTTTTGCTGTGTTCCTGCCACACTCGGCTTTTATGACTTCCTTAAACCTTCCATCTTAGGGCGTTTGCACTTGCTATCCCCTCTGCCTGGAAAACTCCCATCTTCCTCCTCCCTCCCCTAGCATCCCCATCTTCGCATTAAGGTTAGTCCATGGAGGAAGCCTCCCTTGACTGATACCCTCCTCTCCCCATGTATTGGGCCAAGTTCCCCTGTTAGTTTCACAGCACTCTGTATTTTCCATTGTAGTACATAACCATGGTCTATACGTTTTTGTGTGATTATCTAAGTATTACCTGCCTTCCCACTGTATACTATACGAGGACCTAAACCTTGCCTGTTTATTTTATGAGATCCCCAGCACTTAGCACTCTAACAAACTGCTATACAAATGCCAACATACAAAAAAATATTTTTTGAGTAACTGTAAGAGGAGAATCTGGAATTTGGGAGACCACTTAAGGAGAAGCATTGTAATAGTCCAGGTGAAAAATGAGAGTCTGAAGTGGACCTTTGCAGTGAAGAAGGAGATGTTATGTACAGATTAGGGCAGGTAGTATATGGATTAGGATTCTCTGGGTGTAAGTAACACAGTGAGGACACTGGTTCACATAAGCAATATAGGAATTCACTGAAAGGACAGAGGAAGTTCCATTTACAAAAGGACAGTCTAACAGCAGCTCCAAGAAGAAAAGTCAGAGCAGTCCTGTGGGTAGGAAGAGCAGAAACTGATGGGAGTGATCTCTTTAGGCCACCACTGGAATATATCAGCTTCAGTTTTCAGACCTTATGTCATTTCTCAAGATCTCAGGTCTGGGGGAGAAAGTCTGACTGGTGTACCAGTTTCCTGGCAGTCCTAGCAAGACTACATGCAGGTAGTTTCCCAAAGAAAAAGGAGAATGTTGTTGATAAAAGAAGTGGAGGCCAGGCGTGGTGGCTCACACCTGTAATCCCAGCACTTTGGGAGGCCAAGGTGGGCGAATCACAAGGCCAGGAGTTCAAGACCAGCTGGGCAACATGGTAAAACCACATCTCTACTAAAAATACAAAAGCATTAGCTGGACGTAGTGGCAGGCACCTGTAATCCCAGCTACTCAGGAGGCTGAGGAAGGAGAATCGCTTGAACCCGGGAAGCGGAGGTTGCAGTGAGCCGAGATTGTGCCACTGCACTCCCACCCTGGCGACAAAGTGAGACTCCAACTCAAAAAAAAAAAAAAAAAAAAGGGGAGGTAAAAGAAGGGGAAAGGCATGATGGCCGGAGAAACCCACAGCTATCCACCTCAGGAGCATCAACAAAGAGGACAAAGATTGTGAATAGGAGCCAAGGGTCAATCCCAAGTCCCTAGCTTGGTGGATGGCGGTGCCATTAATCAAGTTAGGGAATATGGGAAAAGGGCCACAATCTAGGGGGAAAATGATCTTGGTTGTCCCCTAAGTACTGAATCTACAGTATGGTCTTAGACCTCAGAAATTAGGGATGCGGATGTGGTTAGTCTCTCTACAAGAGGGAAAACCATGGGAATGAGTGTGACAATTTAAGGACAGAGTAGTCAGGGAAGAAAGAAAAGCACCATGGATGGAATGCTAGGGAGTACTAAAAGTTAAGAAGCAGATAAAGAAAGCAAAGCTAGGCAGGTAAATGATATAGTTAATGAGGCACATTGGTCTATTGATAAATCAGCTGTTTTATGTTTTTGATTTTCAGAAAAGAAGGTAAGGCAATTTTCCCAGCCTCTTATGAGGAACATATTTGTGATCTTCTGGTCAGCGCTATCCTTTACCTCCAGGTGGAGAGCTAACAGGCTTTTCATCTGTTTCAGAGCTTAGAGAAGTTGCCAGCCAGGATTACCCAAACAGGTAATTAAGATAGGCTCGTCCAAAAGTTGGCTACTCACAGTACTCCAACCAGCAATATTAGCATTGCCTGAGAGCTTGTTAGAAATGCCCCACCTTGTGTCTGATGAATGAGACTCTAAGATTCCCAGGTGATGCACATGCACATTGAAGTATGAAGAACAGCGTCCTAAAGAGGGGTACGGAATTTGTGGCTTTCAGGATTGAAGAGAAGGGTGACCTAACTCTTATTGAGTCTGGAGGACTTGGAGCAAAGCGCATTGTGAGTTGATGATGAAGAGGAGATGCGCCTGGGCCCATACAATTGCAACACTTTGGTGGGCACTAAGGGGACTGGGTACCAACCTCATAAGCCTAACTGAGTGCTTCTGTGGGTGAGCTCAGCACCAAGGGACTAGAGTTGCCTGTTCTAAAATGGACCACACCTGCCTACAGGGAGCAAGCAGTGGGGGCCACCATGGATTGCACAAACCATTAGACCTGGCAATTAGGTAAAGTTTCTAATGAGTAATGAGGTAGAAGCCAGATTGCAATAGTTGAATAGCAAAATGGAAGGTGAGAAAATGTACCCATTGAGGAGACAGTAAGGAATCTAGAAGCTTAAATACCAAGGGAAGGAGTTAGCAGTGACAGCCATCTACAGAGGGAAGGAGGGACAGGGATGTTTGTTTCATTTTGTTTACAATCAGCACATTGAAATACTTCGGGGAAGGAACAAGTGGAGGGGGGGAGGGCAGGAGATTGGAGACACCTGAAAGATGTTAATTGATGAGGCAACACCCTCACTGAGATGGGAAGGGATAGATGTGAGCAGTATTAAGAAGGCAGAATCAACAGGGCTTTGTGACTGACTAGACATGTGGAGGTCAGAGGAGGAGGAGTTGATTTCCCTAATGTTTTTTACTTCAAGGGAACCAGGGTGAAGTACAGCAGGAATGAACACTATTGCAAGGGTTCAGCTCTGGTTTGGATTGAAATTTAGGAAGACTTAGGTAATAGATATTGTTTAATGTTCAAGAAATATAACATTCTTATTATTACAGTACTATGTCCTAGACCAAGTTATGGCCATCCTATCTTAGAATTGGAGGAAGTGTTGTAGGAAAATACTAGACTTGGAGTCAGAACTCCTAGATTTGCAGCCTCTAAATGACCTTAGGAGAGTTATTTAACATGTTCGACTTGCATCTGCCTTAAATGGATAAATGGGATAAAAACAGTGGCATACCATGGCTAGGGCAGGAGTAGTAGTTTTCCCTGGTGCAGTTGATAAAGGGGTGTGCTGTCTTCAGAGAATTTTAGAATACTAAAACCAACTAAAAGTCTTTTTAATATCACCAAGTGCTGACAATTCTAAACAAGGTCAGTGAGTAAAACTACCCCCTACCTTGATGGCCATGGAATCATAATATGCATTTCTGAATGTACTTCAGTATGTACCTGATAGATTATAAAATGCTACAAAATGTAATTTTTAAACAATTTTCCTTCAAATTCATGTGAGATTCATTGTGAGATTCAGAGGGAAAATAATGGTTCCGTTTTTATTTTTATTTTTTTTTAAGTATAGCAAATCTGATCTGCAAAAATTATTTGGTCATACTGAGTTAGTGATAATGTCATTTTTTTTAGGTAAGTGATTTATTTACTACAGAATTCTGTGGAGAATGAGTGAAAAACATCCTCACTGTTTTTGTGTAATAGAGAAATAAAAAACATTAACATTATAGCTTTCCTTTTGGTCAGGTAATTAAATCACAGACCTAATAATAAGGCCTATACAGACTCTCTGGGTGATAAAGCCAGCTAAATGAATTAATTACCTCAGTTTCTGGATGCTCCGAAATAAAATACTATTACCCATCTCACAAAAGAGTCTACTGAATTCTGGGAGAGCATCACATCTTAGAATATTTTAATGCTTCAGCTATTTTTAACAGGCTCATAGATAAGTATTAACTAGAAGGAATGCCAATCGTAAGCATTTATTTCATGTTTTAAATCTACCTAGCATGCAGCTGATAGAGTATGAGACTCATTCCATTGTAAGGATTCACTGCTTAATTTCTACTGTATATCTGCATTTTAATAATGCAATAAGCAACCCCTTTTATAAAAGCCCTAAAGATACAGCACAAGTCTGATTACTAGTTGGTCTTCTTAGCATCAGTCTCTGATACTTCATTACCTGTGGGTGTAGACGCTGGGCTTTGCACCACAGAGAACACCCTAGCAGCAGCTGTAACAAAGAAGCTGACTCCAACCCCATCCTTCCCAGGCTATTGTGCTAAGTGTTGAGTACTTTATAATAATCCATCTCCTTTACGTGCTGCTTATAGAGAGGACATTATTCTACTCAAAAAAAAAAGGAAGACAAAAATAATGAGCTTGTAAAGTTCATTGTTAAATTCCACATATTATTCAAAGAGTCTTTAAAACAAAATATGATATTAATAGTAATTACCATAGAGCAATATTTTAAAAGTAACTACTGCTTTAATTTTACCTGATATGTTAATCACGAGAAAAAGACTGCATTTCTGGCATTTTGTATGCTAGACATAAGTGATATTTATACCAAAATACAGTTGCAAATATGAGGTATAATGACTTTATATTTAGTCACAGGGTAGTATTTTAGAAAGAAAGTTAGTTTATATGTATAATTTGATTATTGGTTTTCACATAATTTAGAGAAAACAATCATTATGGATAATGATTACTTTAAAAAGAAAGCCCTCAAAATCATGGAAGAAGTCACTTGAGAAGAAATCCATCCCTCAGTGGGTCGTCATCTTCTACTATAAAGCTTGCTGTACCCGTGTAGTGGGCTTGTCCTGATACTTCCACTATAACAGCTTTAAAATCACCACATTTCGCTTCCTGAAAAAAGATGGAGTATACTATCAAAATATTGCACTCATATTGTATCTGGCTTGAAAATTGTACTCTTGACTTTTATCATGTGAAGGAAAGGCAAGGAAATCCTACGGGCAAGGGAAGGTTTTTAAGGAGAGTGACGTGGTCAGACTTGTGTTTTAGATAACTGTAGCTGTAAAATGGGGATCAAACTGGAAAAGAGAGAGACAAAAGACCCAGAAACATGTTAAGAGATAACCTCAATTCACTGAATGATTCCATAGTCATTACGGGAGTTTTCAGTGAAGATGGAGACGGAGAATATAAACTAACACAGAGACAGTTTGGAGGTAGAACTGATAGGCCTCTTGACCAATGCATGTGGGAACTGAGGACTAGCAATAAGTTAATTATAACCATAGCTTCTAGCTTGGAAATGATGCTAGTGATGGCATTAACCATAATGGGGGGAGAAAGGAAGAGCACATTTGAGAAAGGAAGGAAGGAAGAACTTTTTAACAAGGTGAGTTTGAGACACCTCTGGGACAGTCATTTAGAGATGAGTATAATGAACAGTCGGGATTAAGTGTGTTATATTCCGAAAGACATACAGGGTAGGTAGGCAGGGCAGGGATAAAGGTTTGGGAGTCATCGTCAGTAGATGGTTGAAAACTAAAGCCTAGGAAGTGGATGAAATTGCCCAGCAGCATCAAACTGTAGATGAGATGAGAAGGAAGCTGAGGATGAAGTGATGGGAACATCTAAATGGAAGGACAGGGAAAGGAAGCTGGGACAGGCGAAGAAACTGAAAAGGTACCATCAGGGAGCCTGGATAGGCCCACACAGACAGAGAGAGAGCATGATGCAAGTGAAGACGTTCTGGCAAGCATGAACAATAACTATAAAACAAATAACTGGAAACATTAACTTCAGTATATCTTTTTATGTTCTACTTTTTAAAAGAAGAATAACTGAAGCGAAAGGTAAAATGTCAAATATTGTTGGGGTATAATACTTTATCTTTTTATAAAGTTGCTGTAGTGTGACAGGTCCTTCACCAGGTTATGTAAGGATGTACGTGCACTGCTTGAACCCTGAAGGCTGGGGGGGTAAGCCAAGGGCATGGTGCCCAGCCAAGGAGCAGGTATCCCTGAGAACCCAAATATCCCAGAGAATATCTGGGAACATACCAAGGAAAACAGTCCTATCACACATACACAGTAGGCAAAGAGCCAGAAAATTAGCTTAAAAGCAGCTTAGAGTCAGGAGGCAGGATGGGTCTCCATAGTTGTTCAGCTGCTTCCCAGGAGTGCCTTGTATGGAAGTTCTAATAAATGCATCGACTTGCCAACCTGGACGTGTCTGAGTCATTCTTTGGTCTCTCGGCTCCCTCTCTATTTAGGGGGACATTGCAGTCCCAGATTCTTCTCATAACAGTTCCTATAATATAAAGCCTCATTGACCTTTTGCTCTGACAGCAATATAATGTAATGCTTTGATCTGTTCAGAGAGACCCACGTTCATGACCTGGATCTGCTACTCACTAACTAACCTTTGGCAAATTACCTAACTTCTCCAATTCTCCATTTTATCATCTATTTAAAAGGATAACAACAGTACAGTACTGACCTTGTAGGATTCTTGTGAGGATTAAATGAGATGGCATGTATCAAGTGTTTAGCTTGAAAACTGATGAACAGTGAAGTATCCAATAAATGTATGTTATTATTTTTATGTTCCATTTCAGATTCTGAAGACAGTGTGTTCCAAATTTTTGCATACAACATAAATGGTTTCACATGTCTAAGATTGGTATATGATGTAGAGATCTTTAAGGAAACTCTAATATTGAGAAACACCAAATCTTAAAAACAGCTATATTAGGGTAGATTGTTTGCTATGTTAAAGGACTCTTTATGAGTAGAATAATTTACTGAATGTAGATCAATCATTCTGTAGTAGATTTCATTTACTACTGAGATTCATTACTTAGTGGTTAGCACATTTAAAATTTTATTCCATTACAAAAATTTGATGTTCCACAACTTTTCAGGGCTTTCACATCCTATTATATCAAATAAAACACTAATATAAAATAAAACAAAAAACAAACAACAAAAAAAACCCAAACCCTGATTTAGTAGTTCTTAAACCTTTTGGTCTCAGGACCTTTTTATACCTTAAGATTTGAGGACCCCAAAGAGTTTTTCTTTATATAAGTTTTATCTATCAATATTTACTGTATTAGGAATTAGATATATCTGTTCATTACTTCATTTTAAAAATAACAAACCCATATTTTTGTGAAAATAACTATGTTTGCCAAAACAAAAATATTTATGAGAAAACTGGCAATGTTTGATATTTTTGCAAACTTCTTTCATGTCTGGCTTAATAGAAGACAACTAGGTTCTCATATCTAGCTTCTGCATTCAATTGGTTGGGTTATCATACATCACGTAGCCTCTGAAGAACTCCACTGTACAATCTTGAGAGAATGAGAGTGAAAAGCAAGTAATGTCATTATTGTAAACATAGTTTTGACCTTCTGAACCCATGGAAAGGAACTTAGGGGCCTCCTGGGGTCCCAAGACCACACTGGAGAACCAATGTCCTAGTTGAAAAGAAGTTTTTACAGGCCTGCTTTAAAATTCTCTTCTGAAAGCTGACTGAGGAAATTTATCAAACACCCAACTCAGGCCTCTTCAGTCTCATGAGTGACACATTTATAAATAAGAAGCTAAGGGTGTCACTTACCCTCACAGCTTTCCCTGTGAATACTGAGCCAGTGGTACTGCTTTTGAAGGCTCTGGTCTGGTTCAGTTCCAGAAGCCCTTTGTGATACTGTAAGGCAATTCGGGCTGTCACTCCCGAGCCAGTGGGACTTCTGTCAACCTGTTTCAGAATAAATGAAGATAGAATGTTCATAATGTTTTAGTTCCATATTACCTGGCGTTTGTCCCTAAACATTCGGTTTTAATACCTGTTCATCTGCAAAAACACAAATGTTGGTGGTTGGTTCCTTGGTATAAGCATCTTTTCCATCTGTTAATATGGTTCCATATAAAAAGGCAAGGTCTTCACTATCAGGATGATTAATTTTAAACTGCAAATAACAAAAAAAACAACCACACAAAAAATAAATATTTTGATTCAAATTTATCTTTATAAATAATGCAGATGGGTCATTTTTAGACGTAACTTTTTAATCATCATTTTTAAAATACCGTTTTGGGCAACGTATACTAATTGCTAGAAATTATGTCATTGTCTAGATGAAGTAACAACTTTATTGGAAGTTATAATTATTATCATACTTTGAGTCCCTTCTAAGGAAGCTGTCCTGCATGTAGCCTTTGCTAAAAAAAGTAGTCCTATTTTATACACCCCTCCCACCCCAAATACACATAGTCTTTGCAGCACTGACCCCAGGATGGTCAATCCACAGGCTGGTGATGGCTTCTCCAACAGGATGAGCTAAGGCAATCATAGTCTTATTCTCAGAAGCTTAAGGAGGATAATGTGGGAAAATCAGGCTCTGAGTATCTAGAGCTGAAGTTAATACCAATGATAGAGACAAAGGCTGTGCGAGGACATAACATTCTGTAAGAATGCAGAAACTATTAGGTGAGAGAAACAATTGGATGAAAAATAGCCTTATTGTAGCCGATGAAGTCAGTTGATTCATCAAAAAGCAGTAGATATGCACACAAAGAAGCAGGCACTGGCAGGGTAACTAAGTCACTCAATGGTAGATTCAGGTCCAAATGTGCAAAGCTACTTGTTCTTGGAAGTCTAGTTCTTTAACTTTTCCTGGATTTCTGCGAACATTTGTAGTATGACTGAGATTGCTATAATCTTACTTCCCTTGTATATCCTTATAATTAGTACTTTCTACTTCCAGTTACATGTCATTTAAAGCAATGGAACAGCTTTGGGTTCTTAACATCCAAAGAGTCCATCTGAAACCACGTTAAAGTCTCCTGCAGATTGAATCTTTGTTCTCCATCCTCGTAAAGCGATATGCCCCACCTCCACTATAGCACATTCCAACACAATGCTCGCTTCCCCCACTGGAGCTAGCTCCTCGAAGATGGAGTTTGTTCTTTTGGATCTAGCATAGTGTCTAACATCCATACAGTATGTTTTTGGTAAATGTTTGTTAAAAGAGTGAATGAACGAAGATGAATTTATATTAACTTTAACTCTCCATCCCCATGGCCTTTTCCTAAATCTGCTTCAGCAGTGTGAATGGTCAACAGTTCACAGAGTAATTAATTGTACTGTCTGATACATCAATAATAGAACTTGTCCTCATTTTTCTCAGAATCCTTCCTGCCTCAAAGTCCACCCTTGCCACCTTGTTGAGTTCAAACTCAAATGAGAAGGACAAAATTACACCTTTTATTAAGATATCCATGACTTTTTCTCTTCAATTCATTAAAAATTAGGAGAATTTATTTTGTGCCAAATTGTTAACTCAAACTATTAGCTGTCCTGCTTAATGGAACAGAAAATTAATGTACATTCAGAGCTTCAAAAGTTACTATCATAATATAATTACACATATTGGTACTGGCAGTACCAGAAAAATAATTTATAATACTGATACAGTATATATTCTCATTTTGTTATTTAAGTTATAAATTATTTTAAAATAAAGCTTCAGAACATAATAATTATTAGTACATTAGACACTATCTTACACAAGTTACTTTTTACTACCAATAAATTCTCACATACTAAACATTCAAATACTGTACATGTGCTTTATTTATAGGTCCCAATTTCAAGGTAAAATGTGCTTCACTTGTGCTAGAAGTGAAAGAATATTCTAGAATTATTTATTATCTAAACTGATTTTATCAAAATAGCTTTCCCAAGTAAAAACTAGAGTTATTTAAGTAGTTATTTGAGTAACTTCTTAGCAATATAGGAAAAAAATAATAGGAATTAATGTTCTCTATGAAATAAGAAAAAGGTTTAAATCCATTTTGTATGCTATATTTTACATTTATTATTTTCAAGTTTTACAGAATGACCACACACATGCATTTAAAATTTGTACAATTCTATAAATACATTTCTACACATTTAAGGAACTATAAACTCTATTAGTATGTATGTATTATTAAATTTAGTAATTGCTGTGTGTGATGGCTCACACCTATAATCCCAGCACTTTGGGAGGCCGAGTTGGGAGGATCACTTGACGCCAGGAGTTTGAGGCCAGCCTGGGCAACATAGTGAGATCCTGTCTCTATATAAACACACACACGCACACACTCACACTCACACACAGATTTAGCTGGGTGTGATGGGGCATGCCTGTGGTCCCAGCTACTCTGGAGGCTGAGGCAGAAGCATCATTTTGAGCCTGGGAATTTGAGGTTACAGCAAGCTCTGATCACACCACTCCACTACAGCCTGGGTGACAGAGCAAGACCCTGTCTCAAAAAAATAATATTATCATTTACTGAACATTTACTATTGGCCAGACACTACTCTAAGTCCTTTACATTTATTGACTTATTTCATTCTCACAACCCTACAAAGCAGGTATTTTTTAATTTCCATTTTGCAGACAGGAAAACTGAGGCATATGGAGGTTATGTAACTTGTCCAAAGTTATATACATTACAAGTGGTAAAGCTAGAATTCATAGAGAGTTTTGCTCTAGAGCAGGGGTGTCCAATCTTTTGGTTTTCCTGGGCCACACTGGAAGAGAAGAATTGTCTTGGGCCACACATAAGATACACTAACACTAATGAGAGCTGACGAGCCACAAAAAATTGCAAAAACTCATAATGTTTTAAGAAGGTTTACGAAATTTGTTTTGGGCCCCACTCAAAGCCATTCTGGGTTGCATGTGGCTCGCAGGCCATGGGTTGGACAAGCTTGCTTTGGAGGCTAAGATTTTAATAAGTACCCTATTCTTAGTACTACTAATAATTTAAACATCATTTAATTTTCTTTATAGACCTAATAATGTATATTTCCTCCATGCCACAGAGAAGGGCATTGGTTATGAAAGCAGAGTAATACTGACCTGAGCTTTCACTGCCTCTGTTACTGTACTCGCTGCATCCACAAGGTCCCTGGTCTTTGCAGAACAAATGTCTAGTCCTAACTTTTCAGCACTAACAAATGCATAAAAAGCACCGCCATATGCAATGTCCACCACCACCTTTCCATGTCCGGGAACATCCACCATGAGATCTAAAAAAAAGATGTGTTTGGAAATAAGATGTGTTTGTTAATAAGTATTTTAGCAACAAAATTCAAAGGATTTTTAATATGTTTATCTTTCAAGAGGGATGTTCTTTTCCTATCATAAAAATAATGAAGTAAAAATCAATTTTTTAAAATTAGTAAGCATCAAGTGAATAAGAGCTAGACGCATCATTCTATTTTCTATTTTAACTTGATGATTGCAGAAGTTACAAACTGAATGCCATGCTTTCCCTGACTCATACAGACATATTCATTAACTTCTCTGAGGATCTTTTCTAGGAAACACCACTGAGACCGAGAGAGGGAAACCCAAGGGCATCCCTGTGAACACTAAGAAGGAAAATGTCTATTCCCCACTTGTACTATGAGAGATGGTTTAAAATAGTAAGGATCTTGGATCCTATTTACAAATCGGTTTTCTTCAGTTGTAATGTCAAAACAAAAATTTTAAAAGATCTACATAAATTATATATACTTATCTACATATTTTCATCTCATTAAGGTATCCTGCAGGCAAACACACAGAAAAAATGACATTGTAGAATCATTGAACGCTACAGCATCATCTTGCACCAGGGTTTTTATTTGAGCATTTTAAGTCTCAACATCCCCAAAGTTTCACCTGAAGGTCAGTAGTTTGAAATCTTGAATCTGTATTTCCAAAGAAAGGGGGCTGGGTGATGTTTATTTCCCCTCTTCTCAAATTTTCCTCTTTTCCTCTTCCCTAATTTAAGCTGGCTTGTTGATCACTGTCTTTCAGGGAAGCCTATGGCAGGGGAGAAAGTTTGTCTTTCATGTTTTTATTTTACGGAAGCCTAAGCTCTAAGGGAAAGACATCTGTTGGCAAAGGAGTGTCCTGAAGGTAGAAATATTTCTCCTAGAGATACATTTTTTCTGCCTTGAGAAGAGTGGAGGCTGAAGGTCCTTAGTGCACAGAGGACTTGTGTTAACTTCCGCAGGGCAACACAGGAGCAGGACGTGAAGAAACAGAGGATGGGGAGGTGGTGCAGAGGGCATGGACCAGGTGGGGTGGGACAGCCAATGCTGCTGCTCCACTTCGCTGATTAACTGTGTAAGCTGAGGACTGAAGTGCCATCCTCTCCAAGGCCACAGCACTTTTAAGAAACCTTGGCTCACACATATCAGGAAAGGGGACAACACATGGAGTGATGAGGCTAAGTGAACCAAAAGGGGACAGAGTAGGGTTTCAATTTCAGAAATTAAGTTTTGGGAAAGAAAATATGTCTTGTGTTCCTGAGTTTTCATGCTAAGTCACACAAAGATACCAGCATGCTATCAGTCCACAGAAGGCTATCAGTATGCTGTCAGTCCACACTAGTCCACAGAAGCCCTTTTAACCCATGATGTGTTAAAACAGAGCAAGTTTATCATCGAAAGAGTAAAACATGCTGTGGATTGTAACAACAAAACTGAATCAAAAATGTCTTTATCTTGATGCTGGTGCAACAGGAAAAGCAAGTTTAATGAAAAGAGAATGGGGAAGTAGATAGAAATGAGAGACTGCTGGAAGGTGGAGAGCTAAGGTGAGGGTGCAGATCAGCATTTACCAGGAGACCCAGGTGACGGTCCCGGGGCTCAGTCTGCCTGCCCTCTTCTCTTGATTGTAACACCTGAATGGGGCATTGGCCCCCAATCAGGGGGCCAGGATGGAGTTGGGAAGCTGGTTCAGGAGAAGTCATCCCTGAGCCTACAATCATTTCCCTGGCCTACCCTTTCTAGAATCTTGGGTCTGGTTTTCTCAGGGGGGGCAGTTGGGTAGGGTGCTACACCTCACTGAGTTTTGGTTTCCTTTTCTTTAAAACGGACCAAATTTCCTTTAAAGTTACCCTTGTCCATCAATTATCTGTGATTACTTCATTTTTTAATCACTAAATTACTAAAATTAAAAGTTAAGATATTTATTTCTCCCCTGAGTACTTCCTACGTGGCAGGTCTTTACATATACTAACCCCTAATTCATTACATTAGCGCCTTAATTACTACAGCCCTGAGAGGTAGGTACTGTTTTACTTACTATCCTCACATTATTCCCTGACTTATCCACCAAATAAGTGGCAGAGCTTGGGGTCAAACCCAGGACCAGGTGACTCCAAAGCCCAAACTCTTTGTACTAAAATACACAACCTCTATCCAGAATGCAATCCAAAGTCTAAGGGTTTTTCTTTTCTTCTATACAAGCATATCACTGAAATTTCAATTTGATTTACTTTGCTTAAGATTTAGTGAGCACCTACTATGTGCCGATTACTGTAGAAGATATAAGAAGTACAAGGAAGAATAAAACATAGGCTTTTCCCTTCTTGGAGTTTAGTTGGACAAGATAGATTTTAAAATACGCTGTATCTGTGAATGAGGGGTGATACACTAAGCAGTATTCCAGAAATTGAAACATATCTCCTTAAACTACAAAAAATTTTAAGGATGAGAGCCAAGCAGTATGATAGGCCAGGGTTCCAACCATAGTTCTGCCATTTAGTGTGTCTTTGGTGTCTTGTGCAAACTGTAACTGCTATTTCTCCTAAAAGAGTTGTTTTGAAAATTCCATGTGTGGGGAGTTCCTGGCACAGATTAGGGACTCAAAGGCCAAAACTTTAATTTCCAATGGGAATAGGTTTCTCAAGAGGACCAGATGTTTACATCTGTCAATCAGCATATTCTTCTCCAAATTTCATTTATTTAGTTACTCATTCAACAAATATTCATTGACTAACTACTCTTCCAGGGACCTAGAATACTGTGAACAAAAAAGAGTTTGCATTTTAGCCCAGTGGGGTGGAGAAGAACTCAGCAACCCTCCGAGGTGGGTACTATTGTCATCCTCATTTTACAGACTGTGATACTGAGGTATGAACTCTAGCACAAGGTCACTGAGATGGGGAGAGGTGGGGCAGTGACCTTGAACTCTATGTCTGCCTTGTATACATTTTTCAAAGTAGAGAATATAGCATTTCATTTTCTTAACTCAGTTACCATTAATGCCCATTAATTATTGTAGTCACACACTGATGCTTTCAGGAACTACTGAGAGGAACTACTGAGGTCAAGTGGTTGACTGACCCTGCCCTAACTGACCCAGAAATGTGATGTAGTTCGTGTTCTTGCTGCCGGCTGCCATTTCCCACAGAAGTCTAGAGTGTTTCTAATTTGCTGCTGTAGTTGCCTGCGGGGAATTCTGGTAACCACGCTAGTTAAATTGTTGAGGTTTTAAAAATGGAATCTTAAACATAAATTCTGTCTCCCTCAAGTGGCCTCCCAATCTGGAAGTGACACCATTCTCTGGGAAAATGGCATCAATTTCTCCAGAGGCATTCTTCGTTAACTTGTGGGTTTCAGCTGCCTGAGGTTGCTCTAAAAGTGCCTGTTTTATTACTTATCATTCATAATCAGGCTAATCTGAAACCTAGTTCTTCAGGGGGAATCAAGGTCCAACTTTCTAACAGATTATTTGCATGGCTTGAAGATTTTTAAGAGAAGGATAACTCTGTTCCTGGTAAACTGGCTCCTGGCTCACTTCCAGTCACAACGACTAAAGCATTCTTACTGATAGACTGCGGCCCCCAGGAGGTAGTATTCAGATGAGAAACTAGATGCCAGCTTGCCAGGTCATCCCCATGAGGGATCTCCCTCGTGTAAGGGTTATGGTTATACAGAGGCCCTGCTTTACATAAGCTGTACAAGGATCTGTACTAGGGAATCCAGCAAAACCTTTTAATGGCACAATAGGCCTAGGGAACTTTAGCAATCATATATACCTTGCCATCTATCTCCAGGAATACAGTATCTTGCACACTCTCATTTAATCCTAACAAAAAACTCTACGAGGTAAGAAACGGGCACAGAGAGATTAAGTAATTTGCACAGCTTTAGGGGGTTATCAGGATTTGACACCAGGCAATGTGTGTTCCTGTTCTTAAAGAAAAGCAACATTCGTATCTTAATGATTTATAAACTGCTTTGTTCATTCCTTCTCATTTAATTCTTCCTCAAAGAAGTGGGGGAGATGAGGAAAGGAGACCAGGTTTAGTAACTTACTGTGATTCTGTGTCTACCAAGCATATTCTGAGCCAGCCTGGAACCCTGGTACATTGGCTGTTCTTCGCTCTTTCCTTGACCCTGACCGTACTTGGCTTTACCCACCGGCGAAATCTCTAGGAACGCCCTCACCAGTGCAGAAGGAGGCATTGAGTCAGGGTAACACGGAATTCCTCACTCCTCAAGGGTCTCTCAAAACCTCAGGCGGACGGGAGTCAGGGAAAACAGAAATGGCACGCACCAAGCAAATACGCAAGACTGCTGACACACGTTCGCAGTGATTTACCTTTTTATTAATTGCAAGGGCACACGGGATGGGTTAGTTGCGAGAGTTCCAGCCTAGAGACACCGTTAATGTTGTTAGTTGCGTCCCGGTTGCAGCTCTGCCCTGGGCTGGAAAGGTCCCGCCCGTTACCTGTTGCCAGCACGAAGGCCGGGACGCTGTGGAAGCGCACCGGGCCGTGGCTGCGGCCGTCCTCACACGCCACGAAGGCGGTCACCAGCCCACACGGGCAGTGGATGTTGACGCGGGCCTCGCGGGTGCCCGCAGCGGGCGCCGGCACAAGCCCGAAGTCCAAGGCGAAGCGGCCCAGCGCCAGCACTGCGTGGCCGCACATGGAGCTGTAGCCCTCGTTGTGCAGGAACAGGACGCCCAAGTGCGCGTCCTGCAGCTCGCTCGGCACTAGGACAGCCCCGTACATGTCCCGGTGCCCTCGGGGCTCGAACATGAGCCGTCGCCGCACGTGGTCAAGGTGCTGGCGCATGTAGCGCCGCTTGGCCAGCAGGGTGGGCCCGGACACCTCCGGACACCCAGCCAGCACGATGCGCAGGGGCTCGCCGCCCGTGTGCATGTCCACCACCGACAGCACCGGCGTCCCCGGATCATGCGGGGGCAGCCGGGACACCGCCAGCGCGCTCTCCATGGTCTGCGTCCGGGGACACAAGAACCGTCCTGCAGCGATGACTTCAAGCCCGACCCCTACTCACTGACTCCTGGCGAGGAGGGCGGGACGCGAAGCAGCGACCCCTCGTGGGGCGGGACATCGGAGCCTAAACCCGGAAGTGGGGGAGGAACTTCGGAGCGGTTGCCCAGGTTACTGGGAGGCGGAGCCGCCGAGCTCGCTGTGGCCCGGATGTTCGGTGGAGCTGCCAGATCCGCTGGTCTAGTGCTTCTGGAAAAAAACCTTCAGGCGGCCCATGGGTGAGTGGTCGCCAAGATCCCGGGAAGTCCTGGTTGTTTCTGGTAGTCCTGGTTGCTTTCCTACACGGCTGGCCTCGGGCTCGGCTCTCTGTAGGCGGCCTTCAGCTGGCGGCGCAGGCTCGCCCCTTGACCCCGCCCGCCCTCGGGCCGGGCCCCGCACTCTTGCCGGGTTGTGGTGGTCTCTGTCCCCGACGGGCTGCCAGGGGAGGCGCGCTGTCTGCGGCGGAAAGGCCAGGTCTTTGTTGTTTGGTCCGAAATGTCCCTTCAGTCCCTTAGTTTAATGTGAAGGGAACACTTGCATGAGGGTTGACTTCAGAATTGAAAACGCGGGTGATAGTGCAGAAAAAACTAAAGCAGAAGCAAGTTGCTGCATAATTTGTCTCCTGCTTCAACCTCAAACCTAGATTTGTAGGGCCCGTCACCAAGGGGCAAGACCGCTGCAAAAAAATAGAATCTTAAAACTTTAACCATCGTTCACTAAAGGAAATGAAAGGGGAAATTACACAGTCACTTGGAGCCTGGGTTTTGTTTGGTAGGTGATAGGCTGTTTATTTCAGTTCAGTTTATCATACTGGTTTTCAGGCCTTGGATTTTGAGAAACTTTAGATTATTGATATTCACATGTATTTATTAAGCATCTACTAGATGTAAAACCCATACAGAAGTTTCCAATTCCTTAACTTCTGCATTCTTGAAAAACCTGAAACATAATTCATTTTCATGTATTAATTTAGAACATTGTGATTACAATGGATTACAAAAAAAAGCGCCCATTAAAGAGGCCAGTGGGTTTAAAAAGCTAAGTCCGAAATTTGTTAAAAGCGAAAATATTAAACTTGAGAAATTTTAATCAATGCTGCTTCTCTTTTTCTCTCAGCAGCATAAGGAGAAGGAAATAAAAAGTCTACTTGAACGTGAAAGGAGAGAGGGCACTGTAGACCAGGCAGTCTGGATGGTGAATCTGTGAATAATTTGGAAATGATTGTTCAAGAATAGTCAAAGATGCATACTTTTTCAAATTAATTCACATGTAGACCACAGTTTGTTTGTTTTGAGAAGGAGTCTCCTTCTGTAGCCCAGGCTGGAGTGCAGTGGCGCGATCTCGGCTCACTGCAACCCCCACCTCCTAGGTTCAAGTGATTCTCCTGCCTCAGCCTCCCGAGTAGCTGGGACTACAGGTGCGCCAGCACGCCTGGCTAATTTTTGTATTTTTAGTAGAGACGGGATTTCACCGTTTTGGCCAGGCTGGTCTCGAACTCCTGACCTCGTGATCTGCCCACCTCGGCCTCCCAAAGTGCTGGGATTACAGGCGTGAGCCACCTCACCCAGCCTGTTTGTTTGTTTTAATCCACATTAGATTGTAGGGTTTTGGCAGGAATTCTGTTTCTCCTTGGACTTTTAGTGGCCCCTAACCAGTGGAATCAGTATATGTTTATTGGATGAATCAATGAATGAATGAAGGGAATCAGAGGTCACTGATGAAGAAAACTCCTTCCATAATTTCTTCTTGTGAATAAGGTCAGAGACAACGTATTAGGTTCTTAGTTGTTGGGGTTTTTTATGTAAGGAATAGCAGCTTTTCCCCTAAGCCTTTAGATCAGGGGATTAATTTTAAGGCAGTGGTTCCTAAATATTTGCCCAATGACAGCCTTGATGAAATTTTCACTTATCCTCCACAAAAATGATAAAAGCTAGGACAAAGTAGGAAGCTTTTTATAAAGGTAATTTACGTACCTCTGTTCTGAAATTATGTTCTCTGCTTTTCCCATGTGAAAATGTGTTCTGTTATGAACATAGATGACAATTGTATGTCTACATGTGGGTGCTTAATGTCCTGACTGGGCAAAATAGAAGCTGGTGACCCTCTACTGGTGCTCTAATTTAAAAATATATGTATATTTGAACTTTATAGTCAGTGAAACTCAAAAGTATCCTCTGATCGTACCGGGTTGGGCCTTGAGTCCTGGGGATAGATCCTGCTCTGCTGGTTGAGGACCTTAATCATAAGGCACAGTATTAACAGCAAGGTTCCAGAATAACTGTCTGCAGTGTCACAGTGTAAAAGGAGAAATTTAAATTTAAAAATGCTTGAAGACTTTTGTCTAATATGTGTTATTTAAAATTTTGAAACTGTTATTTCTGCCAAGTGCTTCAGCTATTATTGCATTTTTTTTTATAATCACAAAAGATGTTACTATACTGGCATTTGTTTTTAAAAAGCTGTCGATATCCAACCAGCATGCCTTGGACTTTATTGTGGGAAGACCCTATTATTTAAAAACGGCTCAACTGAAATATATGGAGAATGTGGGGTAAGTCTTATGTTTGTGTCTTATTTCATGTTGTAAAATCTGTTTGCTTTTGAAATATTTTCACATGTAGAATATTTTTTCTTATTATACTCACTAATTTATAAAAGAATATGGAGGGCCAGGCGCAGTGGCTCATACCTGTAATCCCAGCACTTTGGGAAGCCGAGGCGAGTGGATTACTTGAGGTCAGGAGTTCGAGACCAGCCTGACCAATATGGTGAAACCCCGTCTCTGCTAAAAATAGAAAAAAATTAGCTGGGCATAGTGGTGTGCACCTGTAGTGCCAGCTGCTCGGGAGGCTGAGACAGGAGAATTGCTTGAACCCAGGAAGTGGAGGTTGCAGGGAGCCAAGATCGCACCACTGCATTCCAGCATGGGCAACAGAGGGAGACTCCATCTCAAAAAAAAAATAAAATAAAGAAATATAAAAGAATATGGAGGCGTTAATGTAGTCATTGTTTATGTTGGCATTTTGATGTCTATTATTTTTTAAAACATTTAATAATTTAATAATTTCTAATTTATGATTTAATACCGTGTCTTGTACAGTAAGTTGAACATCATGAATCCAGAACATTTATCTGCAATTATTCTTATATAATGTTCATAACTAGATTTTTCATTGAATGTTAGTCAACTATTTTAGTAACTTAGTAAAAGGAATCTTTTAAGAGCATTGTACAAATATAGCACATACAATATAGATTTCTTTTTATTTTACTTATGCCTTTTTTAGTTCTAAAAGCTGCACATGTAAACTTAAATATTTAAACTGAAATGGGATGTCTTATAGAATGATTTGGGGGGGTGTTAATATTCTAAAATAATATCTGTACACAAAATACTGGTTTTATATATTGTAGGTATGCCCAAGAGGACAGAGAACGAATGCACACAAATATTGTCAGCCTTGCACAGAATCTCCTGAACTTTATGATTGGCTCTATCTTGGATTTATGGCAATGCTTCCTCTGGTTTTACATTGGTTCTTCATTGAATGGTACTCGGGGAAAAAGAGGTTAGCACATTTCTATGACTGTATCTGGCTGTTGTTATATCCAACTAATGTTGGAATAATTATCACTCAGAAGACCTTATTAAGTAATTCTGCCTCTTCTGTTTTAAAAGTGGTAAACATGTTTTTCCTTTATCTTCAGATTATTCTTAACTGTGACAAGAAAACTTAACAATAGGGCATGACTTAGTAATTTTTAGGGGAACTGTCCTTAGTCCGTTTTACTTTCAATGATCTTGAAGGAATACTTTTTTACTTCTCAACTGTAATCCTTATTGGTTTTCTACACAAAATTGGTTATGATGACAAGCTATTTATTGTTATGGAACACATTCTTTGTAATTTAATTCAATACTAATAATCTAGTATGATGTAGTTAAAAACAATATAGCTGTAACCTAATACTAACATATTAAATCAGCACACATTTACTAAGCACTGCATTTTATGTTTGAAAGATCAGGGAAGGAGATATAAAAATAACTGACATGGCTTATAGTCATAATCTTGTGGAGAAAACAAGTGTGTACATAATTATAAATCAGTCTTAGAAATGTAGTGGAAAAGTTATAAACAAAGTACTCTGGAGTTACAAAGAATGGAGAGATAAATTATGCCTGATGGGATCTGAAAGATTTCAAAAAAGGAACATTTTAGGCAGAGGAAACAGCATGAATAATGGCATAGAGGTATGAAATATGTGATCTGTGGTAGGTAGGAATGGAAGTAATCTGGGGTAGTCAAGAGTGGGTTGCAGATGAAGAAAAGTAATATAAAAGGGAGTAGGAAAGATAGGTTGGGGCCAGAATGTGAAGGTTCTTGATAAGCATGTGAACTTTAATCTGCTGGGAATGGGAAGTCAAATTCTGCGTTAGTACATTTCAGCCGTACTGGTTTTCTTTTAGTTCCTCCAGCTGCTCAGGATCTTTCCTATTTTAGGTTCTTTCCCTTCCTCCAAACTCTTTCTGCTGTCTGAAATACTCTCTTCTTCATCTAACTGCAACTTGTTACCTAGCTACCTTCTTTTCCTTCTGATTTCAATTTAAAAGTCACTCAGAAAGTTGAGTGCTTAAAACAAAACAACAACAACAAAACAAAGAGTGCTATTAAAAGAGAAAAATAAGGAAGACAGCTTACTTTCTATGCTTTCCTTCTAGACCTCTGGGCCTGTGGTGGGACAGGCAGTCTGAAAGACTTCTGAAATGGCTTCAAGGCCTTTTTTTCATTGTCTCGGCTATTAGCACTTGGCTCACTTGGCTCTCTTTTAGCCATGCTAACCTCTCTAGCAAGTTGTTGCTCTACAGCCTGGTTGAATTCCTCTCCTGAAAATGCTCTTTTCTTCTCTACCACATGGCCAGGCTGCAAATTTTCCAAACTTTTAGACTCTGCTTTCCCTTTAAGTATAAGTCCCAATTTTTAAGTCATTCCTTTGCTCCCACATCTATCTGATCATAGGCTGTTAGAAGCAGCCACAGCACATCTTGAATGCTTTGTTGCTTAACGATTTCTTCCACCAGATACCCTAAGTCATCACTCTTAAGTTCCAACTTCCACAGATGCATAGGACATGGACACAATGCAGCAAAGTTCTTTGCTAGGGCATAATATGGATGACCTTTACTACAGTTCCTGATAACTTCCTTATTTCCATGTGAGACCTCATCAGCCTGGCCTTCACTGTCTATATTTCTGTCAGCATTTTGGTCATAACCACTTAAGGCTGTAAGAGGTTCCAAACTTTCCCTTGTCTTCCTGTCTTCTTCTGAGACCTCCAAACTCTTTCAGCCTCTGTCTGGTAGCCAGCTCCAAAGCTGCTTCCATATTATCAGGTGTCTTTATAGCATTGCCCTACCCTTCAGTTTCAGTTTTCTGTTAGTCCATTTGCGTTGCCGTAAAGGAATACTTGAGACTGGGTAATTTATAAAGAAAAGAGGTTTAATTGGCCCATGGTTCTGCAGGCTGTACATGAAGCATAGTGCTGGCATCTGCTTCTGGTGATGGCTTGAGGAAGCTTATAATCATGGCAGAAGGCAGAGGGGTACCAGTGTGAGAGGAGGCAGGAGGCAAAGGGGAACCACATGGTGAGAGAGGGAGGAGGTACCTCTTTCATTTTTATTTTTTTATGTTTTATTTATTTATTTTTATTTTTCGAGACAAGGTCTTGGTTTGGCACCTAGGCTATATTGCAGTGGTGTGATCATTGCTTACTGCAACCTTGACTTCCTAGGCTCAAGTGATCTTCCCGACTCAGCCGTCCAAGTAGCTGGGACTACAGGTGTGTACCACCACACCCTGCTAATTTTTTATATTTTGTAGAGACAGGGTCTCTCTATATTGCCCAGGCTGGTCTCGATCTCCTAGGCGCAAGCAGTCCTCCTGCCTCAGCCTCCCAAAGTGCTGGGATTACAGGTGTGAGCCACCATGGATCTTTTAAACAACCAAATCTCACATGAACTCCTAGAGTGAGAACTCACTCATTACTGTGAGCACAGCTCCAAGTCATTCCTGAAGCTTTCACTCTCGTGACCCAAATACTTCCCACTAGGCCCCACCTCGTTGAGGATTACATTTCAACATGAGATATGGAGGGAATGAGCATCCAAAAAAATCACTCCTTATTTGAGTGAATCATTTATTGGTGAAGATCTGGTGTATGGAAGTGGCATCATTTGATGTATATTTTAGGAAGAAAATTTCTGTGGAGGGTAGATTAGAGGTGAGATATTTAATAGAAGACTGTTGTCAAAGAAATAGACTGTGGTAGTTGGAATGGAAATGGAAAGGATGGTCCAGATGGAAATAGAATCAGCGGTTTTCTGGGGCATACCTGATAAATCCAGGGTGGTTATTTACATTGGGAAAGCATTTATAATTTTTCAGAATAATTTATAAAAATACTTTTAAAATAGCATCTTTCATCCAGCTTTTAATTTCTGGTATATTAATAGAATGATGAGAGATGGGGTGAGAACAGAGATGTGATAAAGCTGAAACAGAATAATTGCCCAGTCAATTGGCAGGAAGTTCTCAGCCCCAAAGTAGAGAAGAGCTAAAGGCCATAGGTATGTCTTCACCAAATGCATTTGAATTCAGATATCAGCTGTGTTTTGAGGGAGAGACTTGAAGCAGAGACTAGAGGTTGGTTTGAGGGAAGGCGAGGAGTAACTAATGCTCAGACAGGAAAGGAGGTGGGTTTAAAAAGGGAATTGTACAACTATGCTTTGCCTAGGAAATTGGTAACAAGGAACACAAGGGCCATCTCTTAACAATTTCCTGAAACTTTGTACTTACAGTCCGGATAGATTGGGGCTGGAGGTGTCTTAACAAATGTTCCTAAAAACTGGGGATAACCCCTGAGCTGATCTGTAAGGATGCATGGTCTGGCAGATAGGTAAAATGTGTTTTGAGGTGGAGGGTGATGCATGCCCCGATGTGTGGAGGCACAAGTGAACTTAAAGCCTTTTAGCGTGGCCAGGAAATATAGAAGACGATGCTGGCAAGGGGTATTTTTCCAGAAAGACAAAAAGACTCAAAATTAGTTTAATGAGAGGAGTTTTAAAATTGTATTTCATTTTGTAAAGATTATGTGTCTGGCTGCAGACAGACACATAAAAAAGACATAAAAGAGAACATGACAAGAAGACCAGTAAGAACGTTATCAAAGTAATGGCAAGAAATAATGAAGTTGGGATTTTGCCTCTAAAAATATTAATTCTATAAGGAAGCAAAATGTCAAATTACATAATGTGAATGTGTGTTTATTTATGTTTTCAGTGTTTTCATCTTTGTAAAATGGCACAGGAGTTCTGCTTCCAACAATGTGAGTTAATTAGGAGCTCCAAGTGACCCACCTGCATGAAATAACTAAAGTCTGGGATAGATAAACTATGTGAGACATTGCTGGTCCCAGCTGGAGATGGAGAGATCTCCAGGAACTCTTCTCTTTCAAAACACAAACCAACCCCCCCTGAGTTAGGCCAGAGTGACAAGGCAGGCAGTTGGGATGAGAGGGTTGTCTAAGGTCAATTGCTGGTAGCAGCAGTGTTATTTGGATACTGAATCTTGGGCAGCCTCTGCCAAGACTAGACCCTCAAGGGCCTGAAGCCCAAGGTAGTAGTGGCCATAGCTGCTGGCAAAAGTAGCAGAGCCTCTTTGCTGGAAAGCTTCCCCATTCTCAGTTTAACCCTATAAGACTCTTGCTCATTAAGATCTAGTAATGACCTCATAGTCTGTGGTTACTAAATAAAACAGCACTAGGACTTATTGGTAGATGCAACAAACAATATATTTATGCTCTCAAAGGACACAGATAATGGACTTTCACCTATGGGATATGTAACTGTTACCTATAAAGAAAGTAAGGGTGTAGTCACAAGCTGTCCATAATAATAAGATTATTTGGAATAAACAGATGTATTGGGGGAAGAAAAGGGAACTTTTAGAAATGAAAATTTATACTTGCCAAAATAAAAAAAAAAGGTAGTCAGCAGATTAAACAGTTGAAGATAGAATTAGTGAACTAGAAAAGAATGCATATAAATAATGGCATATAGCACTGAGAAAGAAGGAGATGGAAAATCAGGTGCAAGAAGGTGAGATCCATGTTGGGTGGATGTGGGAGTCGTGCAGGCTTCAAGTCTTACACTTCATAGGAGCCAGTCTCTCTCATAACAATTCCATGAACTTCTGGAGTCCTGCAAGTGACATGCCAGTTACAAGAGTCACTGAATTCAAAAAAGCCAAACCATGGTATCCCCATCAGGCATTTATAGTTCATTTATGGTTCTCCCCAGTCCAGATGTAATTTACCAGTCAGGATCATTTGTATCATAAGCGGTGTTGCCTAGCAATATAGTTGACATTCTGTCCTTACCAGGTTTCCAGAGGAAAAGAGCTAGAGAGTTAACTGAAGGCCAGATTCTCATAAATGTTTTGTTAAGTTTTTGCCCATAGTATCTAATTAGGGTCTCTGGAAAAATAAGAGACTATGAAGGAGAGCTGGTATTTTTTTTTTTTCTGGCTGACATCCTGTGGAAAAACCTCCAGCTCTTCTGAACCCTCTTCTCTCCTGCTGCCTCCCCAGAGAGGCTAGAAATTCAGATTTCCACTGTCCTAACCTCTTTTTCTTTTCTTTTTTTTTTTTTGTGACAGAATCTCACTCTGTCACCCAACCTGGAGCGCAGTGGCGTGATCTCAGCTCACTGCAAGCTCTGCCTCCCGTGTTCATGCCATTCTCTTGCCTCAACCTCTCCAGTAGCTGGGACTACAGGCGCCCACCACCACACGTGGCTAATTTTTTGTATTTTTAGTAGAGACAGGGTTTCACCGTGTTAGCCAGGATGGTCTCTATCTCCTGACCTCGTGATCCGCCCGCCTCAGCCTTCCACAGTGCTGGGATTACAGGCGTGAGCCAGTGCGCCCGGCCAAGGAGAGCTAGTATTTTAAGAGATACTGGCATGGCACATGTATAGATAGGTAACAAACCTGCATGTTGCGCACATGTACCCTAGAACTTAAAGTATTATAACAAAAAAAAAAAAAAGAGAGAGAGATACTGGCTTCAGGTTTTACAAAAATAATAAGTAACAGATTCACAGATCCCAGAAGCAAAACACATCCCAAGCAGAATAAATAGAAATTTACACTTACATGCATCATAATTAAACTGCATAATATTGAAAACAGAAGCCATGTGGAAGAGAACCAAGGCATACCTTTTAACAGCCTTGGTTGTGCTTCCAGCCAACAGCCAGCACTTAACTGCAGCCATGTGAGTTAGTCCTTTTAAATGCTGCAGCATGGTCAAGCCTCTAGATGAGTGCTTTCCAAGCTGACATCATGTGGAGCGGAAAGAACTGCCCAGTTGAGCCCAGTCACATCACAAAATAGTGAGAAATGATCAGTGGTTCTTGTTTCAAGCCACCAAGTTTTGAGGTAGTTTGCTATGCAATGGAATCATGGAAATTATTCCACATAATGGAAAATGTTCAAGTAGAAAACTCAAAGTCACCTATAGGCTAGATATTAGAAATAACAAAACCATTTAATAAAAAGGTTGAGTATAAGATAAATATATGAAACTATTTCCTATATTCCACGTACAGTAAAGTATTGTGACATAGCCAGACCAAGATAGCTAAGCTACATGGGATTTATCTGAGCACTTGACAAGCCAATTTTCAAATTTATATGGAAGAGCAAAGGGCCAGGAATAGCCAAGACCACCAAAGAAGTAGAAAAAATGTATGTAACATCAAGGATTATGATCATATTATTCTTCTGGCTCAGGAATAGATAAATGGACTCAAAAAACAGAATAGAGAGCCAAAACACAGTTATATATGAAACTTTATATGACAGAAGTGCCATGGCAAATTAGTTGGGAGGGTAGAGTTGGGAAGAAGTACCTGTTCAGTAAAATGCTGCTGCTGGGACAATTGACAGTTCAAATGCGAAAAAGTAAAGTTAGATTCTACCTTACCTTTGACACAGAAATCTCTTCTAGGTGAATTAAAGATAAATGTGAAATGCAAAACCTTAAAATTTTTAGAAGAAAATTGTGTGTGTGAGATACACACACATTATCTCAGGGTGTGGAAGGACTTTTTAAAACATTTAAACTGCTAAGTAGAAAAAAAAAAAAATAAAGCCCAGTCTATTAAAATTTAGAACATGTTTATAAAAAGACTTCACAAAGAAAGTGAAAATTGAGCCCACAGACTAAGAGGAACACATTTGCAACACATTTAACTAACTGCAGAATGGAGAAACAAATCACAGTATTGTCACACAGTGGAATCCTAATACAGTAGCAAAAATGACTGAACCTCAGCTGTAAGCAATAGCATGGATGAAAGTTGGAAATGTAATTTTGAGTGGAAAAAAATGTCAGAAGACTTCCATTAGCGTGATACCATTTTATAGCATTCAAAAATAAGCAAAACTAACCAGAATAGTTGTGAAGCATAAATACAATTGGGATAAAAACTTTCTAGAAAGAAGTGATAAAAGCAGTTTGGTACATGGTTGCCTCTAAGGGAGAGACAGAGGAATGGATGGGGAGGAACAAAGAAGTAGTCATAAATTGTTGACAGTGTTCTAGTTATTGGGTAGGAAATGAGCGTATAATATTATAATTACTATACTTTATAACAAACATATGTTACTTACCATCTTTTATGTGCATATTAAGATTAAATAATATACAGATAACTAAGAAATTTTTAGCAACAGTTTGGCAAGATACTAAAGATACAAGGTAGATCTAATTTCTACTTTTCTGTTACACATTTAGATAATACTGCTACAGTGTTATTTATCCCTTTTGAGAATAAAAGGTTATACTCTTGAGTAGTTTTTGTTTGACTTTTCTTATATATTTAGAAATCTGTATCTTGACACATGTACATGTTTTATTTAAGCCATTTAAATATTGCAATTTTTCTAGTAATCATGCTTTTCCTTCTCTAGTTCCAGTGCACTTTTCCAACACATCACTGCATTATTTGAATGCAGCATGGCAGCTATTATCACCTTACTTGTGAGTGATCCAGTTGGTGTTCTTTATATTCGTTCATGTCGAGTATTGATGCTTTCTGACTGGTACACGATGCTTTACAACCCAAGTCCAGATTACGTTACCACAGTGCACTGTACTCATGAAGCTGTCTACCCACTGTAAGTGTTTATTTCGACTTAAGATCTTTTTTTTTTTTAATCTCTGAGAATTATTATAGATTTTATGGCCTTTGGAGACAAAAACAGGTGTGGGTTTGAGTTCTGGGTCTGCCAGCTGCTGTATTACTTTGAACATGTAAACAGCCTCTTGTAACTTCAGTTTTCTCATTGGTAAAATGGGAATAATGATACCTTATAAGGTGTCTTGAGGATTAAATTAATCCACACATTCTCAGATACTGTATAACTTAGATATAGGAAGCACTTTATAGTAAATGGCATTATTAGAGTGTTTGGGTTAGTGTATTTTCTTTTTTCTCCCCAAATAAGTGTAATTTCTATTAGAATGTTTTGTTTTAAAAATATTAAATTCATAAAATTCTGTATGCAATTATGCCAGACTATTCTAGTTTCAGAATTTTTATGAATTTTTGTAAATTCTAGAACTAGAAAATGAATCAAATTCATTTTGATATTTTTTGGGGGAAAGGGAAAATAGAAGTCTGGTATTTATATTCTTATAATTGTAGTGGGCTTTCAGTACATAATATGCTCGGGGAAATAAGTCCTTTTTGAGCAACTTCTTAATAATAAAACATCAAAAACATAGACATGCATATAGGTACAAAACAACCAGATATAGAAAAATGAAAATCATCTTTTCTGCCTGCCAGTTTTTTGTTTGTTTTTGAGACAGAGTCTCGCTCTGTTGCCCAGGCTAGAGTGTAGTGGCACGAGATCTCAGCTCACTGCAACCTCTGCCTTCTGGGTTCAAGTGATTCTTGTGCCTCGGCCTCCCCAGCTGGGATTACAGGCATGTGCCACTATGCCTGCCTAATTTTTGTATTTTTAGTAGAGAGACGGGGTTTTGCCATGTTGACCAGGCTGGTCTTGAAGTCCTGGCCTTAAGTGATCTACCCACCTTGGCCTCCGAGAGTGATGGGATTACATGCGTGAGCCACTGGGGCCTTTCACTGCCAGGTTTTGGGTATGACAAATTAGTTTTTTTTTATATATATATATATATATTCACACACACACATATATACACACACACATATATATAATATACATGCACACACATATATACACACACATATATATACATATATAGCTATAATTTTTATATAAAATACTATATAAAAGACCGATAATGTCCTTTTTGTTTATTTGTAGAGCTTAGCTCTAAGCATTAATTACCCTCTTGTCATGTAACTCTCCTGAGGCCTTGCATAACTTAACATAGTCCTATTTGGAAAACTTAATAAGTGAAATGAATATTATATTTAAATAAGATATAAGGTAATCTTATTTAAAACAAAATCAGACTTACTTACCAACAGTCTCATTTATGTTACTTATACTAATATTTGTAAAGCCTATATTAGGAGGGTAAGAAAATATAAGATTGGAAGAGAAATGGCAAACAGGTACTACCAACACTCATCTGCACCTGTAATAGTCACTTCTAATTTATTATAGCACTTTTTCTGCTGAATTGAGTGTAGGCTAAGAATCTTGTGGCAGCACTCTCTGTCAATCATAATCATCACACAGCTTCATTGATTAGGACATTTTCCATCTATTCACTATCCCTGAATCAAGATTGTTTGTTTGTTTTTCTTCCTCAGCACCTTTACCAACAGTCATTGTAGAACAGCTTGCCTGCCTTGTTTTATTAATTATACAAAACAGTGATTTTTAAAATTATGAGATATTATACTGTCTTATAGCATTGGGTTTAGGCATATTATTTATTTACCTAACCATTCTAAATATAAATGTTTGGTCAGACTGGGCTAAACATTTCTGAAGGTTGTAGGGCTACCACAAGTCATAGTAATTTTTTTTTTTGCAAGTCAACAAAAAGTAATAGCACACAATTACCAGAAACCTTTGGAACACTAGTGCATTGACAAATGAAGGCTGTTTTTCCCAATGTATATATAGCCTAGTTTCTTACAAGTTGAAAAATACCACACTACTTTACTGATAGTTATAGTTTTAAGGGGAAACAGATTAGATGAGGCATGAAAAAACATGTAAGCTTCTATCATTATAACTTACTGCAAAAAATAACTTTTACATTACTAAAACTTTAAGAATGAGTTATGGAAAATGGCAGTTATTACTGTTATAGCAATAATTAGCTTTAGTTTGTCAAATTTAAACTATCCCCACATGTAGGCAGCATGGATTGAAAGAGGGGAAGAGTGGAATGGGATGACGTCTTCTGGTGGAAAGCAGGAGTGGGAAACGTAATCACTTCCACAAACTAGTTTCCTAGTTCATTTGGAGAAACAGGATGGTTTCCTTCTGATTAAAGTGATAATCTTTTTGGAACTCTTAAGGAATTACAAGTTGTGGGAATGGACAGATTTTGTTTTGTTTTGCTGTTGATAGGAGGTAGCAAACAAGACTAGGAAACTAATTCATTAGAAGAGGTAACACATGATGGTTTCCTCTTGATTAAAATCATCTTTCTTAGCGCTCTTAAGGAACTACAAGTTGCAGGAATGGATAGATTTTGTTTTCTTTTGATGTTGGTTGGGGGTGGTATAACAAGACAAAAGAAGTATCACCCAAGAGATCAAACATGTACTAATGTATTACCGTACAGGACTGAACCTAAAAGCATCACAGAAACACAGGATTATGGTATCATTTTGCTGTGTGGGTAGAAAGCATGTGGTCCGTGATCTGAAATGACTGCTGACTTCGTAGGACACTCCCCTGTATAGGGAGAGGGTTTGAGTAGCAAGATAGTAAAAACAATTTGAAAATACTCAGGAAAATTAAGGTAGAACTATGTGGTTAAAAGTCCTGTTATTCAAAATAAAGTACTAGGAGTCTGGTGACACAGAGCTCTTTCTACAGCTTTTTTTTTCTGATTATAAAAGTTACATTAAAAATGGGACATTTCAAAAACATAGAATAAAAGCACACACAGAATAAAATAATCTGTAATTCTATTCCATGAGATGGATTCTGCTAAAAATTTTGTCTTTCCAGTTTTATTTCTACATGTGTATGCATACATTTTAAAGACTATTAAGGCTATACTATGACATGCTATTTTGTAAGCTGTTGGTACTTAATATATTAGGCACAGTTAATTTTGTTAACATTTATTTCATAACTAAATTTTTATGTCTGCATAATATTGCAGCATGAATATACTATAAAATATAACCAGTTTCCTATAAGTGAATATTTATTTTCTTTAGGACTTTTCTTTATTATAAGTGATTCAATAAAAATCCTTGTACAGTAGGTTTTTTTATGTATCCCTGGTTGTCTCCCTTGGATAAATTTCTACAGGTAAAATTGCTGAATCAAAAGGGATAAACAGTTTTAGGATTTTTGATACATATTTCCAGACTGCCTAAGAAAGCAACCATTGTACCTTTGCTAGCAGTGTATGAGAGCCTGTTTGGCCAGCCTTCTGCCAATCTGAATATCCAATGGATAGAGTAAATATGCTTTTTAAACCTTTTTTAGGCTCTTTCATTTAAAAGTGATCAAGGATAAAAACATTTTTAAAACATTTTTGATGTTACAAATTCTCTATTTTATTTTACAGATACACCATTGTATTTATCTATTATGCATTCTGCTTGGTATTAATGATGCTGCTCCGACCTCTTCTGGTGAAGAAGATTGCATGTGGGTTAGGGAAGTCTGATCGATTTAAAAGTATTTATGCTGCACTTTACTTCTTCCCAATTTTAACTGTGCTTCAGGCAGTTGGTGGAGGCCTTTTATGTAAGTTTGATGGGTACAGTCAAGTCAATGAAATATATTTATTATTGTATGCAGTAATATTTCCTCTAGATTTAACTTTGGAACTTTTTCCTTAAAATAGTTTGCTTAATCCTTTCTTTTTTTTTTTTGTTGAGATGGAATCTCACTCTGTCAGCAGGCTGGAGTACAGTGGTATGATCTCGGTTCACTGCAACCTCCGCCTCCCAGGTTCAATTGATTCTCCTGCCTTGGCCCCCCGAGTAGCTGGGATTACAGGCATGTGCCACCATGCCCGGCTAATGTTTGTAATTTTTTTTAGTAGAGGCAGGGTTTCACCATGTTGGTCAGGATGGTCTTGATCTCCTGACCTCATGATCCGCCCACCTTGGCCTCCCAAAGTGCTGGGATTATAGGCATGAGCCACTGCGTCCAGCTAATTTGTTTAATCCTTGAAAATAAACCTTAGTGTATGTTTTTGCTAAAACATATGGTCAGTATTATAAAGAAAAGTCATGGATTTCTTGGAATGGAATAAAAATTCTCAAGAAATCAGTGACAGCTAATCAAAACTGATTTCTGTTTAGAGAATACTTTGCATTTGAAGCTTATGACCAAATTAGAAGATTTTAAAAATCTAAGTATATCATAAGAAATAGACACTGGTTTTTATTTAGGAATTTATGAAAATTAGTTTTGATAATGTATACTGTTTATTATTAAGTAAGGTCTTAGGTTTCTAAGTTCATTTATGAAAACCTTTTATAGTAAAAAGTCCTCAATATCTTTTATTTTAATGTAACCATTAATTCATTTGTTTAGTAACCATTTAGACCAAACTGTGACTCAAAAGAATAAGAAAAATTCACTGTTAAAAACCTCACATACTGGCCGGGCGCGGTGGCTCAAGCCTGTAATCCCAGCACTTTGGGAGGCCGAGGTGGGTGGATCACGAGGTCAGGAGGTCGAGACCATCCTGGCTAACATGGTGAAACCTCATCTGTATTAAAAATACAAAAAAAACTAGCCGGGCGAGGTGGTGGGCACCTGTAGTCCCAGCTACTCTGGAGGCTGAGGCAGGAGAATGTCATGAACCCGGGAGGTGGAGCTTGCAGTGAGCCGAGATTGTGCCACTGTACTCCAGCCTGGGCGACAGAGCGAGACTCCGTCTCAAAAAAAAAAAAAAAAAAAAAAAAAACCTCACATACAACCAGGAGATAAAGCAGGCAAGCCCAGTGGCTGAGAAAACGTAGTGTGGTTCTTTTGAATATGTGACATTGAACATTCCAAGGATGTTGGACATCATCCTTTATATGGAGCTTGGTAATATAATTTGGTAATATAGTTTAGGAATGTAATTTGGTTCAAGGTGATGGTGGGGCTTGAGGGTAAGACCAAGGGAACCAGAAATTCTGTTATCCCCCATATTCTGGTTTACAGATGAACTGTTTCATTTGGCCTGCACAGGATTCGAAAATCTATAGTTCCCTCTAGCTCCTCTCTCCCTGTTAGATTTGGCCCATTCCCTGTACCTTCCTGGCTAGCCTCTGTGTCATTTGAGGTTGCCATTCTTGCTCTAGGGAATAGGGACCTGTTTTTAAAAGGATTTAGGCAGAAGAGTGACATGATTACATTTGCACTGTAGAAAGATAACTTGATACATGTGGAATTCTCTACCTATGGTAGCAAAACACTGGGAATGAGGAGCAGCTTCAAAGATAGCATTCACTAAGCTAGGTAACAAATATAGGGGTTGAAGGAATGGGACAAGAATTTTATAAAGTAGCTTTTTGACTTAGTAACCAGTGGAGGGATAAATATGAATATTAGAAGCAGCAAGTAGGTTGGTGAAGAGAAATGAATTCAGTTTCAGTATTCGTGGAATAGCCAAAAGATTACAGGTAGTTGTTTCTGCTAGGCTGGAAGAATTAAGAATTGGCCGACTTCAAATCTGTAGGTTCTAGACTGCAGGTGGTGCTATTGTGTAGAGCCTTTTGGCTATGAAATGGGAACAAGGGAAACACTGTGAAAAGCAGGAAAACATTTGGAAAGCTAACCCAAAGAGATGCCAGACAGCATTGCTTTCTATATTGTAGCTGTCTGTATTGAAAAATAACTTTTCCCACAGTGAATGTTTTTATCATTTTAACAAGCTTCCACTCAAAACACATTCATGGGGGACTCAAGGAGGTACTGTTCATTTGCACTACTAACTCATAATGTTATGATGTTGAAAAAAAGATAATTTTTGGTTTGTAGGGATATAGCAAGTCTGAGGAAAGCAGAGCACCAGGAAGCTTCTGATAGCTTAAGATAATGAAGGACTGAGGGTCTAGGGCATGATTAGGAATATGTCAGTGACAAACTTTTACCTTTTTTGCAAGTATTATGGAAGCCAGCTTCTAAGTGTGATCTGTATCTGAACCACCAGGGGAACTAAAATGCATATCCCTAGACCCTACTCCAGACCTGGTTGCACAAAATCTCAAGTTTTTTTATGCAGTAGAATTTAAGAACCACTCCAAATCCTATCTCTAGCCCGGCACCTCCCTCTACTCCCCACAAATTTGGGCTCAGTTAGAAACTTCCTCTTTATTCCTTTTTACTGTATATGGCTTTTTACTACCAGGTCTTAAATTTGTATCATTAGCAACATTGTTTAGCTACGTATAAGTTAGAGTTTTGTTTTTTATTTTTTATTTTTTGAAAGGCTGATTGAGGACCTAATCACTGTCTATGAAATAAAAGGTTATAAATGTCAAATAAGTCATTTAGTTCTTTAGTAAGTTGGAATCAGGCCTGTATAGATAATTCAGTTTCTGGTGCTGAATCCTGAGTTAACATTTGAAATTGTTCCAAATGGGTTCTACTGCAATGTAGAATGATTAGTAGTTTCATAAACTGAAGTCATTTACAAATAATTGTATGAAAAATAATTCAAAGGTATTTTTCTCAATTTGTCCATTTATTTTAGTGTGTTATAAATTTGAAACATTTTAAGAGAAAAGTGGTGTTTTAGAGGAAAAAATTTGCTTAAAGTATTATTGTACTGTATTTAAAGTAGAGATTGCTGGAATTTTGATATTAAGAATACTGAATGATCTCTTTATCCTTTAAAGTTTATTGATAAATGACTTTTTCTAAAGATTAATTAAAGCTGAGTTACTCTTATAGATAACCTTTCTCAACTGAGGTTCCCCACCTGGACCACAAAACACAGAAAATTATTTGACCATTTTTTGAATTCTCCTAAGTTTAGTACATAACCGGTACTATTCTAGAATGCAGAGGAGAGAAGTTAATTATTTACATTCACTGGATGCCTTAAGGCAGGGTTCTTCAAAGCTGGCCCAAGGATAACTTTTACCTTTTTTTATGGTTAAAAAATCAAAAGACTTATATTTCTTGATGTGAAAAATGTATGAAATTTATATTTTACTGTCCATAAAGTTTTTATTGGAACACAGCCATGCCCATTCATGTATGTATTGTCTATGGCTGCTTTCCTGCTACAGCTGCAGAGCTGGGTAATCGAGACAGAGATGTGCAGGGCTAAAATCATTTACTATCTTGCCCTTTCCAGAAAAAGCTTGCTGGCGCCTGCCTCAGAACCTTAGGTTGTAAGTCTCACAGAACTGGTTGAGAAAGGATTTGACTCTAAGAGTTACTATTTGAATTTATTTGATGGTTTATTGAGAAAATTTGTTTAATTTCCAACATAACACCAATGCTTCTCTTTCAGATTACGCCTTCCCATACATTATATTAGTGTTATCTTTGGTTACTCTGGCTGTATACATGTCTGCTTCTGAAATAGAGGTAGGAAGTCTTTTTTTCCTTTGTTAAAGACTGTTTTTGATAAATTTGACAAGTAAATATCAGAATAGTCCATATGATATGATATAGTACAACTAATTGTTTTAGTAATCTTTGGTTGATTGATGCCACTTGGTAGCTTTTGGCTTGTTAACTTTATGAAAAGTTGTGTACCAGACTATATATTTCCCTGGGAAATGAGTGAAAGAGTGAAGTAGTCAGGCTCAAGTATCCAGCATGAAGGAGAAAAGTCGTTTCACACAATTTACCCATGTAGCAAACATATAATTATTGAAATGTTGAAAGTTACTAGCACTATTTTGAGAAAAACCATAAAAATGTTTTATATTTAGAACTAATTTTAAACTTTATTTTACAATGGCAACATTAACAGTCATCAATAATTATGTGTTCCATATCCTTCTTTGTTTTATCACAAATTTTATTTTCTTGATTATAGATGTTTACTTTTATCCCATAATGTTTGCGGGATTTGGAGCTAACATTAATAGCCACATTATTCTGATACTGTTCCTTTTTCACGGTATCCATTTTGTACCTCTAACTTTTTAATATTTCAGTGTAAGGCCACTAGTATAAAGAACTCCTTTTTAAAAACTATATATGTCTTTATTTTCAGAATATTTTTGGCCAAAAAAGTATCTTTTGACATATTTATAGTCACTGGGTAGAATAGAGCATCATGTCATAACGTTTATATTTTCAGATATTCTATTAAGGAACTAAGCTATTGGTGGAAAACATGAACAACAAATGAGAAGTAGTAGTATATTTGACTCTATATCTAGGGGAAAATGTATTCATTAAACTTTGAATCAAAATGGGCATTCTTGTACATTATTTGTTCATATGCAATCTGACATTTTCTTTCTAAAATAATTATGTGGCTCTCTGCTGTTAATATATTACATTTAAATTATTGCTTTTAAATACGTTAATGGCTCTGATTTAAGAACTCTTTATTCTGAGGCCAATCTGAAGTGTCTTAGTACTCTTCCATCCTATACTTGCTAATCTAGGGCCTTTGAACTGTCTCAAACTACCCATGACAATTGATATGTGCTTTGTCATAATTCATAACATAAAAGAAAACTCAACTGAGAGAAAATAAGTTGTAAACTATTTTGGAGTGGTTGCTGTTGATGCCACTTTTTCTATTGCCTTAGTGAGACAGTGAGTGGGGGAAAACATCTAGGAATCATAGTGACTTTTAGGTAGGATAATAGTGGAAGAACTAGACAGAATGTTTTTATAGTGATTATTCAGTTGTTTTCATCTGGAGATGATCCTCATTTTTCCTTTGTAATCTTTAACCAGCATTGAAATATAATTAATTAAAGAAGCTAGGCAAATTAGTTTTGGCACTTTTATCAACTCTAGGGAAAGATTTGAAGGAGGAAATAGTTGGATATTTGGATATTTGAATAAAATCAGGTTTTTAATTATTTATTTATTTATTTATTTATTTATTTATTTTTGGCGGAGTATCACTCTGTTGCTCAGGCTTGAGCGCAGTAGTACAATCTCAGCTCACTGCAACCTCCGCCTCTCAGGTTCAAGCAGTTCTCCTGCCTCAGCTTCCTGAGTACCTGGGATTACAGGCGCACGCCACCACACCTGGCTAATCTTTGTGTTTTTAGTAGAGACGGGGTTTCACCATGTTGATCAGGCTGGTCTCGAACTCCTGACCTCATGATCCACCCACCTCGGCCTTCCAAAGTGCTGGGATTACAGGGGTGAGCCACCAGACCCGGTCTTGAATTTTTTCATCTTATCCATAGTTAAGAATTAGCCATACACTGTTAAATTAGCTTGAACTTATTTGTTTCTCTGCCCCTGTGAATCTCCTATATAAAATGTTCACATACTTCAATTAGCATGAATCAGAAATGGGGACCTAAAGCAGGAAAAGACAGCTTAGTACTGGTTGAGTTGATGAGCTGTTTAATGATAAGAGAAAGTTGGTAACTAACCTGTTGCAAATTACATTGTAATGTGTTCATTAGCACATTTAGGTATTTTGTATTAATTTCATTCTTCTAGTTTCTGCATACTATACAGCTGTATTAAGGATTAAAAGAAAATCAGAGTGTTCATGGGTCATTTCTGCTCCCTTACTATTCATGCAGCAGGCTCCAGGAATGTTAGAAGTTAAGGAGGTTGGGTTTCTGTACCTCCTATTTCTCACCTGTAGATCTATAACCACCGTGGATCAGGCCAGGAAGAAAGCATATAAAGTGGAGTTTCCCTTCTAGTTTATATCTTTCTTTCAGAAGAAACTATAGTGTTTCCAGGAGTGAATGACGGCATAGACTAGGACTTCAGAGACATGATGACGTGGCTCTCGTCTGGGTGCCGCTGCTGAGTGCTTATATGACCTTAGGAGCCTCACTTTCCTCATCTACAAAGTGGAGTGGCTAGACTGAGTGATTTCTTAAGTCTTTTGTAGCTCAAATATTTTATGATTCTGTGATTATAAATAATACATTTTACATTTAAATAAATTATCCAGATGATTTAGCCTGATAATCTGTATTTCTTTTTTCTTTCTTTTACAAAATTATATAGAACTGCTATGATCTTCTGGTCAGAAAGAAAAGACTTATTGTTCTCTTCAGCCACTGGTTACTTCATGCCTATGGAATAATCTCCATTTCCAGAGTGGATAAACTTGAGCAAGATTTGCCCCTTTTGGCTTTGGTACCTACACCAGCCCTTTTTTACTTGTTCACTGCAAAATTTACCGAACCTTCACGGATACTCTCAGAAGGAGCCAACGGACACTGAGTGTAGACACGTGAAATGCCAAAAACCTAAGAAGTGCTCCTAATAAAAAAGTAAATCAGTCTTAACATTGTATGAGAACTATTCTGTCATATATGGGAATAAGATTGTCAGTATATCTTAATGTTTCGGTTTGTTTTTGTTTTGCTTATGGTTAGACTTACAGACTTGGAAAATGCAAAACCCCATAATACTCTGTTATACAGGGTAATATTATCTGCTACACTGGAAGCCCACTAGGAAGCCCTTGCTTCTCTCAACAGTTCAGCTGTTCTTTCGAGCAAAATCATGTTTCTGTGTACCTAGCAATGTGTTCCATTTTATGAAGAAAAACTTTCAACACATGTAATGTGCACTCCTTAACAGTGGCATAATTGTACATACCCGTTGTGTTTCAGTTTGTTTTTCACCTATAATGAATTGTAAAGACAAACATACTTGTGGGTTCTGATAGCAAACATAGAAATGATGTATATTGTTTTTTGTTATCTATTTATTTTCACCAATACAGTATTTTGATGTATTGCAAAAACAGATAATAATTTATATAACATGTTTTCTGTCTATAGACTGGTTCAAGGCTTGTTTGGATTATTGTTCCTGTAAAGAAAACAATAATAAAAAGCTTAACTACATAAAATTTCAATGTTTTGACACTTAATTGTTGTTGTTTGGCACAATAGTATGGAAGTAATTCAAACTGGTAAATAGTTTCCTCTCATATCTCGGGTATGTATACATAGCATATTTTATTGATCCAGAGATACTTTTTATTTCACGTTTTGACATCTCTGAATTAGGATGCATCTTACAACTGATGGCTTATTAGATTTATGAAATACAGAAGATACACAGGGTTTTCCTGTGGTTGGTTTGTGGTTTGTGATAGGTTTTCTGTGATGTTTATGCTTTGAAGGTCTTGAGACTTAGGATCGCAACCATGGAAGCAAAATGAGATTTTTAGCTCTTAACCTAACAACCTGACCATGTTTATCCATTTTTATTGTTTAGAATTTTATTTATTGATTCTGCTACTTGGTGGAGGTTGTGTGAGTTAGTTAAATTTTAAATGTTTAAGACTTCTGTTAACAGCTGCAAAATGTGAAAGCAAGTGCACTCACTTTTCCTGTAGTTCTGTTTGTCTTTTGAATTCACAGCAGTTGTATCCTTGAGTTATTTTGTTAGTTATTCTTTGTTAATGTATTTTTCTCAGTACATTTAACCACTGGGAAATGAACTCTTGGTACGAATGTGTTTCTTCTTTTCTGTAGGAATAAAAAATAAATGTAAAAATTCTATTCGTACTGCACATATGTTTGGGGGGTTATTAGTGTTCATTAAAATTCTGAGTTGCCCAAAGAATCCTCAACTGGGTAATTGTATAATTGGGATAGAGTGGGGAGGGTGTCATGTGTCTAATTACTAGGACTATATATTCTGGTCCACTTGGAGCCATTTTTACAATCTTTTTTTTCATATGTCCTGTTCTAGCAGAAAAGTATATATGCAAAAGAAGAAATTATAATTACAAGGCCTCCCAGGCAAATCGTTTCCAGAATACTTAATATATATCTGCATTTTTAATTTGCTTTGGTAAGAATAAGACTAGAACAACTCATAGCCACTGCAATTGCTAATGTTACTAAATAATTTGTTAAGACGTGGTCATTGAAATTTTAAAATCGACCCTTGTCTTAGCTCAGCTTTGTTAAGTTGTGACTTAGGCTCTTGTAGCACACCACAATCCTCATCACTACAGTGTATGGTAATTTTGCTAACCAGTCCTGAAGAGGTCATTTAAAAGTCAAAATACAGGTGGAATATCTCATATCCAAAAATGCATGAGACCAGAAGTGTTTTGAATTTCAGGTATTTCCAGATTTTGGAATATTTGCCTTATACTTAACTGTTCAGTATCCGTAAATCCTAAAATCTGAAATCTTAAATTCTCCAAAGAGTATTTTCTTTGAGTGTCATGTTGGTGCTGAAAAAGCTTTGGGTTTTGGAGCATTTTGGATTTTGGATTTTCAGACCAGGGATACTAAATCTGTTTTCTTGATTAATTTGGGTCAGTTGATAAATTTAATAACTACTTTGTTATATATTTGTCTAAAACCATTGGTTTGTGAGACTACTGCACATTGAAGCCACCTAGAGAGATTTTAAAAAATAATGCCTGGGCCCCACACCCAGAAATTCATGTTGAATTGGTCTACGGTGCTGTTTGAGCACGGGGAATTTTTTTTTTTTTTTTAGACAGGGTCTGACTCTGTTGCCCAGGCCGGAAGTGCAGTGATGCAATCTCGGCTCACTGCAACCTCCACCTCCTGGGTTCAAGTGATTCTCATGCCTCAGCCTCCCAAGCAACTGGGAGTATAGGTGCCCACCATGACACCCAGCTAATTTTTGTATTTTTAGTACAGATGGGGTTTCACCATATTGGTCAGGCTGGCCTCAAACTCCTGACCTCAGTGATCTGTTCACCTTAGCCTCCCAAAGTACTGGGGTTACAGGCATGAGCCACCACGCCCGGCCGAGCACAGGGATTTTTAAAAACCGCCAGGTGAGTCTAATGTTTGAGAACCACTGATCTAAACTCCTATTTCAGATCTTAATTTTTCCAAGAGACAAGTACTAGGCAAATGATTTTCTTCTCTCTGAAATTTTGATTCTGCTTTAATTATAAAGAGGTGCTTTTCTAGAATTAAAATGTAGATGATTGTATCAAGCCCCTCATCACAATAACAAGATAGCTTTGACAGTTACATAAATTGATTTTTTAAATGTTTCTTTTAAAGTACCTCATCCTAAAAATATCTTCTATAGTCCATGTATCAAGATATTTGGTTAATACACAAATTATTTATGTAACCTAACATATGATGTAATACTCAAGGACTTTTGTAATTTTAAGACAAAATTATTTTTAATACTTTAAAAATAACTACTAAGTTACTGTTTAGCTTACATATACATTAAGAATTATTTACCTTTGATTTACAAGAAAAAATATTAAAGCAAAAAGTAAGTTTTTAGTGATTCATTTTCAGGATGACATCTGGCCTTTAACATTCTGACAAGCCTATTCCACACTCTTGCTGCTCGTGCTGGTTGGTTCCCCCAGCAGATCTCCACTCAGCCTTGCTACTTGCAGTGCTTAACCAGCTTATGTCTGTGCTTCTCCTTTACCCTCCTATAGCCACTTTCTAGAAGGAATCCAATGTATTCTTGTATCCAGCTCTTCAGTTGTCTGTTTCTCACAGGGTATGCACTTTAAGGTTCAGGGCCTGGGGTTTATTCAACTTTGTCACTGTAACATCTGCTCCAGTGCCAGGCTCCAAAGTGCCCAATGTTAATGAAGCTAGTGCTAGTGCAGTGATCCTGGAGAGGGCAGGACCTCCAGGGCTGCAATGACTATCATGGCCAGGAGAGGGCAGTAGAAGGGTGCTGAATGGAGATAAGGGCTTCTCCAGAAGTCCTGTGGCAGAACCAACTCAACAGGGAACATTCAAAAGCTGGGAGATTACAGGTGGCTCAGAGATGGCCAAGGAATTCAAGGAGCCAAACTTAACTGTTACCTCCCCAGGAGGGTGGTAGGTTTCAGGGATCTGATGAGTGCCTAATATAGGTCTGGTGTTTTATAACTCCTGTTAGGTATCAGTGATATTTTACAACTGGGGAGACTGAGGAGTGGAGGTTAAATAACATGTAAGAAGCAGAGCTTAGCTGATACCGTGGCTCACACCTGTGGGGAGCCGAAGGCCCGTGGGATGTGACCAACTCAGCCTTCCACTGGAGGCTATATGATCAAACAGCAAACTGTTTATCATGAAAGTAGGATGTGGGCAAACTCACACGGCCCTGCCACCAAAAGGTGTGCTGAGGGCCTCACTCCCTGGTACAGGGTTCCTTGAAGTTATCTATTGAGAAATCTAGTGCCTATTGTTCTAAGAATGCAGTCTTGCAAGCCTGCTGTGAATCAAGCTGCTGGCAGACAACCACCCCCCACCCCCCACCTTGCTATCTCTTTTGCCTAATAAATACAGAGGGCTGTGTAAAGCTCAGGGCCCTTGTCCACTAGAGGCAAGGTGCTCCCTGACCCCTTCTTCCAAATATACCCTCTTGTCTTTTATTCTTGCGTTCGTCCCCCTTCATTTAGTCCAATAGGTCCGTGGCACACACCTATAATCCCAGCACTGGCTGAGGCAGGAGGATTGCTTGAGCTCAGGAGGTCAAGACCAGCCTGGGCAACATGGCATAACCTCGTCTCCAAAATACACAGAAACACACACACACACACACACACACACAGTAGCCAGGCACAGTGGCATGTGCCTGTAGTCCCTGCTACTTGGGAGGCTGAGGTGAGAGGATTGCTTGGGCCTGGGAGGCAGAGGTTGCAATCCAGCCTGGGCAACAGAGTGAGAGGCCCTGTCTCAAAAAAAAAAAAAAAAAGCCAGTAATCGTGGTTGCTATCGTCTGAGAGTTTGTGTCTCCTTCAAAATTCCTATGTTGAAACCTAATCTCCAGTGTGTATTAGAAGGTATGGCCTTTGGGAGGTGATTAGGTCTTGGGATTCATGCCCTTCTCAAAGAGGCCCCAAAGAGCTGCCTCAACCTTTAAATGATTTGAGGACACAGTGAGGAAGCACCATTCTATGAACCAGAAAGTAGGCCCTCAGCAGAAACCAAACCTGCCAGTGCCTTGATCTTGGACTTCCCAGCCTCCAGAACTGTGAAAAATAAATTCGTGTTGTTTATAAGCTACCCAGTGTACATAATGTTGTAGTAGCCCAAACGAACTAAGACACTGGCTGGCTCCATTGCTATAGCAAGCTCTGCATAAACAGCCTCTGCTTATTCTTATTTGGGTGGTCTTTACTTATTTCCACACTGCTAGTCTCTACTTGTCATAGATTATCCCTCAGACAGTCCTCAAAATATATGAAAAAGGGCATATGATATTAGTAACTCAGCGAAACTTTCTCAAAGGTCTATTTAAATTTGTTGCAACACAAAGATTCCAGCAGGTGTCAGATTAAAATGGCGAAGATTCATTCATGTGAAGACAGTGCACTTGACACTTAAGAGATGATTTAGCTCTCAAAATTCTGCTTGATCTATAGTTGGAAGGAAAGGCCTGGCCTAGCAAAGGAAATACAAATAGAAGCAAGGCCCACAAGGGATCCCTTATGCATTCGTACATCATAAGTATCACCAGGCTCATCATGATCACCAGGCACGACCATCGAAACGGCTTTGCAGCTAAAAGTGTTTACCCACAAAGTTCTTCTTTGGCCACTGAAATGTTACTTCTTCTGTCAAGTAATGCCCCAGAACACAGATTTTACCAAATACTGGAATGTTTTTAATCTTATCATTATCCCTCTTTTTACATTTATTTTAAGACGGTCTCACTCTGTCATCTAGGCTGGAGTGCAGTGGCACAATCACGGCTAACTGCAGCCTCGACCTCCCAGGCTCAAGAAATTCTCCCATCTCAACCTTCCTAGTAGCTGAGGCAGAGGCGCTACCATACCCAGCTAACTTTAAAATTATTTTTGTAGAGACAGGGTCTCATTATGTTGCCCAGGCTGGTCTCGAACACCTGGTCTCAAACGATCTCCTGCCTCAGCCTTCCAAAGTGCTGGGATTATAACCATGAGTCACTGCATCCACCTCTTTTTACTTTTATCCCATTTTACTTTCTACATCCTACCTTCAAAATTGCTTATCTAGTGATTATGCTCTTTAAAATTAAGCCTTAATAACCACAAATAGGTTTGTACACTTGCCAGATGACAGTATTCTTGTTTCATTACTCCATGTCTTTTCTAAACTCTGTTCTCTTTCCTTCTCCCAAGCTCCCTCTACCCCCACATCCCATCTTCCCAGATGATTCTGCCACGGGGACCTCTGGGCTGTACCTGTGCAAGGACTCACCTTCAATTCTCACCACTGCCCTAATCTGGACAGAGTTTTGTGACTGTGTCTAACATGACATTATTGTGGGGAATGAGGATGAAGCTGATATGCCTCTGAAGAGACTGGCCTGTTTGCTCATGAGGCAAGCATGTTAGACATGATGTATTAACATCTCAGAAGCCCCTGAAGCCATCGCTAGATTTTTTGGAGAAGATAACAGTTGCTATTTGTAATGCTAAACTCAGCTCAGGAAGAAAATGTAAAATTATATTCAACTTCTGCTTAAGAAGACCAAAAAATGTGTAAAAGAGTTTAAAAAGCCCTCTCTGGAAAATGTTTAGAATAAACTTTTTTGAAAAATTATAAAGAAGATTTAGTTATCCAGAAAATTCTCTTAGGTGAAAGGCAGAACTGGCTGACACTACAAGTGTATTCAACCCACAAGTAAGTATCAATGTTCAATTGAATGTTTGTGGCATAATTGGGGATAACTAAGTCACTTAGTTGCCATGTTTTTCTTCTTTTGATGTTACCAGCTATATAGTAAAATAGCAGGAAGTCCCAAGTTACCAAAGCTCTAAGCTGTTACTTACTAAGAAGGTCCATTGGTGATTCCTGTTTCACAAGCGAACGCAGCCCTTCAAGACTCCCTTGTAGCCATGTACTGACACGCTGCATTTTTTCATCTCTTTCACACAGCTTGTCTGTTAGATTTTTCATGTCATGCAAAGTCTCTTCACCATTGTCCACCAAGATCTAAAGAAATGGCATTTTAGGGTGTGTCAATATATATTGCAACAACATAAATAAATACACATTCTAAGAGGATCATGTCCAAAATAAAAATATTATATATGCAAAATTGGTATCAGTCATAAAAATAAGTGCATGTGTACACAGCCAATTCACGAAGTTCTGTAAATAATCTTGGAAAAATGGATTATCAAGTGAGAAGAATAATGGAATGCTCACTGAACTCAAATTTTTAAGTGGATAATGGTAACCATGGTGGTGGTAGCATAAAAAGCTAGTTTCACCCTCAGAGAAGCGCAGAGCTGCAGAGGAGATTCAGCCTAACAGAAGGAGCTTTGGAATCAGGCAGGATCTGGGTTGTAAATTCCCATACGTTCATGAACTGTTTGGTCTTGGGCAAGTTACGTAAACTCTCTGGGCCTCCACAGCTCTATCTGAAAAAGACACTTTAACGCTTTCCTAATCCAGTGTTTTAATACATAAACGAGGATTTAGTTAACCAGAAACTTTAAATACTTCAAAAGTGGCAGAGCCAGGATTTTGACCCCAGCCTATCTGACTCTGAAGTGGGGAGGGTGCAGATGCTGCACTGGTAAAACATGAAGAGGTAAGGAGTCCAGAACTGACAACTTTGTCCTGAAACAAAACGTGTTCATTTGGGGCATGCAAAAAAAAAAAAGTCTTTCCCACCTTAACTGAGTGGTAGAGTGGGAAGATAGTTTCCCAAAGAATTAAGATTTCATAGTGACGTTTGGTAAAAAAGGACACATTTTAGGGAGTGGTGGTCACAGTTGCATCTAGGACTGCAAGGGAGTAACAGAGTTAGTGTGAATTTCCACCCTGATGTGTGTGCATGCAGGTGCACACAGACATAAAAGCACACACACTTATTAGGTAGGTTTTAGTTTTTGGAAATATGATATTTATATGGAGGCAACACACACACGCAAAACTCACCTTAACTGTGGTCTGAAATTCAGCCCACAAATCCTTATATTGTGCTAAAATAAAGATTTAAAAAATACAATGGTTACTGACACAATTTGAACATTTTAATAAAAGTCGTGTTATTCATTTTTGTTTTTTCAAAAATTATTTTTATCTAAAAATGTCTACTTCCCAAATGACAGAATAAGTGAATTGGACTTGCCCTCCCACTGCAAACAAATAGAAGAAAGAAGCAAAACATATGAATGAAATGTTTTCAGATGTTGAATGGGCCCGCCAGGACTGTGACACCTGGAAGAAGAGAAACAAAGGAGGTGGGTCCTGCAATCACCCAGCTTTCCACTGGGGGGCACTTTCCAGACCACGGCACTAGCACAGCGGAGTGGTCTTAACACAGACACAAAAAGATTAGCTAATTGAATCTAGCAATAGACAAGAACAATAAAAGCTTTTGAACAAGTGGGCTTTATGCTTAGAATGGGAGCTTGGTTTAAAAGTCAAACTCAATCAGTGCAACTTACCACACGAACAGCATAAAAGAGTAATACTAGCTGAGCATCTCAGTGGCTGTCTGAGCAGCTGAGGCCAGTCATAAAGGCACTCTGTGCCCACATGACTGACCATCCCATAAGTAGCTTGGACACCCTATAAGTAGCTTGGACACCCCATAAGTAGCTTGGACACCCGAGCCTGGGTGAGCCTCCCTGGTTGGCAACACTTTGTATGTGGAGTCACACATTGTTGTTGGGGAAATTAAGTGCATCCCTGAGAAGGTTGCACCAGGTTTCCTCCATACTTTGCCCTCTGTGCCTTTTCCCTTTGCTGATTTTACTCTGTATCTCTCACTGTAATAACAATAATCATTAAGTATAACAATTTTTTAGTCCTGTGAATCATTTTAGCTAATCATTAAGCCTAAGGGTAGTCCTGGGATACCTGATACTGTGCTATAGTTACACAATTTTTTTGAGATAAAGACCTAAATAAATGGAGATATATACTATATGCTTGAATTAGAAAATACAATTTTATTAAAATGTCTTTTCTTCCAACATTGACTTATAGATTCAGCACAGACCCAATTAAGATCCCAGCAGGGGTGTGTGTGTGTGTGTGTGTGTGTGTGTGTGTGTGTATGTGTGTATAGATTAATTAGGTGATTCTAAAATGTATATGGAAATCAAAGAATTTAAAATAGTGAACGTAATTTTAAAAGAGAAGCATACAGGTGCAGAATTCTATTACCCGATGTCCAGACTGCATATGAAGCTATAGTAATTAAGACAGTGTGGTATTGGTATCAAGTTAGGCATTTAGAACAAAGGAACAAACCCATAAAATTGATTTTTGAAAAGTTGCTGGGGTAATACGATGGCAAAAGCATAGTCTTTTCAAAAATAGTACTGGAACAACTGGATGGGCACAAGAGAAAACAATGAAATTCAAGCCTTGCTTCACATCATATGAAAAAGCTCACTTGAAATGAATTAGAGATCTAGATATAAACACTAAAACTAAAAAAAATTACAAGAAAATCTTCAAGAGCTTGGGGTAGGCAAAAATGTTTTAGGCAGGAAACGAAAAGTACTAACCTTAAAAGACAAAATAGGTAGATGGGCTTCATTCGAATGAAAAATGTTTACTCTTTCTGAGACACCGTGAAGAAAATGAAAAGCCAAACTTCAGACTGAAAAAGGACTCATTTCCAGAAACTATAAAGATTTTAACTCGATAATAAGAAAACAATACAAAGCAAGGAGTAAAAGATTTGGACAGACATGTGACAGATTGTATTTACCAAAGATAGCCCCACAATATATTCCATTCCACAAGTTTTTTTCCCTGACATGATGCTGACACTTCCTCCATCGAGAGGTGGTGGCTATGACCCCTCCCCTTGCACCTGAGTGACTGCCTCAACCATTAGCTTATTGTGAAAGTAACACTGATTGAGGCTAGATCATAAGACGCCATGAACTTCCACGTTGTTCTCTTGGGATGCTTTTGGAATCCAGCAGGCCAAACAGCTACACGGAGTGGCCATGAGGAGGTGTTCTGGCCAATGGTCTCCCTCGAGATCCAGCTGAGAGCCAACATCAACTTCAGACACAGGAATGAGTAAGTCTTCAGATGATTTCAGTTCCTGGCTGCTGAATTACCCTCAACCTTCGAGTTGCCCTGGCTGATGCCATGCGGAGCAGACATTTAGTAGTCTTCAGCAAGCTCGGATCAAATTGCCAATTTGTGAGCAAAGTAAATAATTTGTCTTCAGCTACTGTGTTTGCAATATTTGTCACAAAAGATAATATTCAAATGGCCAAGAAACACATGAAAAAGTATACTGCACGTTAGTCATTAGAGAAGTACAAGTTACAATCACAATGAAATGCCATTACATACCTATTAAAATGACCAAAATATTAAAATTTAAAGCGTTTTGACCATTTTAAGTGTTCATGAGAATGGAGAGCAATGGGAACTCTTCTCCATTGTTAGTGGGATGAGACACTTAACAACCACTCTGGCAAATTTATCTGGCAGTTTCTTATAAAGTGAATCATACACTAACCATATAGATTTCTTATCAAGTTCATCATACACTAATTGCTATATAACTCAGCAATTCCATTATAGGTATTTACCCAAGAGAAATGAAACCATGGCCATAAAAACACTTGTAAACAAATGCTCACAATAGCTTCATTCAGAATTATCCCAAACTGGAAATAATCTAAATGTCTTTCGACTGGTGAATGAATGAACAAAATATGGTATATCTGTACAATGGGATTCTACCATACAGCTATAAAAAGGATAAACTAATGAGACATGCAACAACTTGGATGAACCTGAAAACAATTTGCTGAGTGAAAGAAGCCAGGTATAAAAGTGTGCATACTCTGTCATTTCATTTGTGTCTCATAATTAATGACAGAAAGCAGATCAGTGGTTTCCAGGAACTAGAGATGGGGTAGGTGATCAACAGCAAAGGGATACAGAGAAAATGTTGTAGTCATGAAAATGCTTTATAGCTTGCTTGTGGTGGTAGTGGTTACAATGGCATGTACATTTGTCAAAATTCACTAATCTAAAAATGGGTACATTTTTTGTGTGAAATCAATAAAACGGATTTAAATGAAGTAAAAACTTTATGTGTAAAGAGCACTGTAATGGTTAATATTGTCAACTTGATTGGACTGAAGAATGCAAAGTACTGTTCCTGGGTACGTCTGTGAGGGTGTTACCTACAGAGATTCACATTTGAGTCAGTGGACTGGGAGAGGCAAACCCACTGTCAATCTGGGTGAGAACCATCTAATCAGCTGCCAGCGCGGCTAGACTGGCTGAATCTTCCAGGCTTCCTCTTTCTCCTGTGCTGGATGCTTCCTGCCCTCGAACATTGGACTCCAAGTTCTTCAGCTTTTGGACTCTTGGACTGACACCAGTGATTTGTCAGGAGCTCTTGGGCCATTGGCCACAGACTGAAGGCTGCACTGTCGGCTTCCCTACTTGTCAGACTTTGGGACTTGGACTGATCCACCACTGGATTCCTTGCTCCTCAACTTGCAGATGACCTATCATGGGACTTTACCTTGCGATCATGTGAGTCAATTCTCCTTAATAAGCTCCCTTTCATATATACATCTATCCTATTAGTTCGGTCCCGCTAAGGAACCCTGACTAATACAAGCAGCCACACATTACTTACCCTCCTGAGCTATTAGTTGCTGAGACAAGTCATTTGAGGTGTGCATGAGGGCTTCTTGTCCTTTTCTGTATTTCTCTATGTTATTCTTCAAGTATAAAATGTACTGAAAATTAAAAGCATGTTATTGCTTTTAGCAGTTTAGTTACCATAGATAAATTATCATGTAGTCATTCAGCAAACATGTATAAATTCCTCCTCTGTGTCACCCACCATTCTAGGTACAGGGGTAACAGTGGGGAATAAAACATACCTTGGTCAGGATTCCATCCTGGGAAAGGAGGTAAAGAATTCTGCTTCCTATGAAGCATTTCGCTTCAGCACTTAAATAAACATGGCATTGTGAGTATAATTTTCCACAAAAAGAAATGAGGGTGTTCTGTCTGAATGCATTATGTCCACAACAAAAATGTTCCTTATGCAAAATGTATGTGCGGTAGATGTCACAAAGCAGTAATGCTGCCAGACTGGAGTTCAGTGTAAGACCTCAGAGAGATGATTAATTGAGTTAGGAGACTGCATGGAATTACTTACTTAAGTCAGACGTTCACTGGGTTGGGTGCCAGTGGTGGCAGTAGTGACAGGTGACTTTGAGTATTAAAGTCATGGATTTCTGTTCTGATCACCCAATGCCCAGAAACTCTAAAGTCCCAGGAACTCTGAAAATGGGGCTTTGGGACATAGAACTGGTCCAGTTTCAAGAAAGAAACAAATACTATAAACTATCCATAAAAATCTTAGTAATTGTGTTCAGTGCTATAGATGAGGTAGACAAGGGACTGTTACATAGACTGTTTCTAGGCATGTATTATAGGGTCTACTCATGTATCTTTGATGTTGTGTCAGTCTTTTCATAGCTGGTTTTCTGGTATTATAGTAAACAAAAGTAAAAGCCACCTTAGGCCAACTGCAAGACCTCATTCTTGCCCCTCTTTGAACACAGGTCTGCAGACTTGCCTAGTTCAGCTGGACTCTCGTGCTTCTCCCAAACTCTCTGTTTTCTTTCAGTCTGTCTTTTCATCTCCTCTCCGCAGCTCACTCCTTCAAAGTTGTTTTTCTCCAGGGTTCTGTTCACAGCCCCTGATCTTCTCACTCAACACACTGTCCCTGAAGAGACTCATCCAGCTCCCAGGTGTAAATCCTGCCTCTACGTTAATGATACCCAGTGAGAGTTCTCCTTTGAGCTCCTCACCTGGTGTGGCAAGGTGTCCTTGCTCTGGGGCACTGTATGTGTCTTGTTCAGATTGTTGCACTTAACATACTGAATTGTAATGATCTGTCTGTATGTGCATCTCTTCAGCTAGACCATGAGCTTCCAAAGGGCTGGGGCAGTATCTTACTTATCTCTGTATTCACTGTGTCTTGCCCAGTGCTTGGGACTCAGTGCATGTTTAGAGTAAAGAGATGCAACCAGCAAAACTGAGTGGTGAGTGAATAAGAAAACAGCACAGGGTCATTTGGTGACTAGCAGATGGAAACTGAATTAAAAAAAACAGGACCTTCATAATCAGTCTTTCATCAACACATCCATCTGCTCACCCATTGCCAAAACAGCAATACAAATTCTAATTCGTTTAAGAAATAATCTATATCTTGATAGGAAGACAGTCTAGTGGAACAAATCGGTTTGATGGTATGTATCTAGGCTCTTTAGCAAAATTACTTTTTTTGTTTTTGTTTTTGTTTTTGAGATGGAGTCTCGCTTTGTCCTCCAAGCTGGAGTGCAGTGGCACGATCTCGGCTCACTGCAAGCTCCACCTCCCAGGTTCACGCCATTCTCCTGCCTCAGCCTCCCGAGTAGCTGGGACTACAGGCACCCGCCACTGCGCCCGGCTAATTTTTTTTGTATTTTTAGTGGAGACAGGGTTTCACCGTGTTAGCCAGGATGGTCTCGATCTCCTGACCTCGTGATCCGCCCGCCTTGGCCTCCCACAGTGCTGGGATTACAGGCGTAAGTCACTGCGCCCGGCTGCAAAATTACCTTTTCAAAGTACATTAGTACCTATTATGCCATTTTAGTTTATTAAAAAAACATGAGAGTGATGGGATAACTATTGCCATTTAACAGATGAAAAAAATTACCCAGTGAGGTTTAGGGATTTTCTTCATGCCATTGGACTAGTCACTGATTTTTTTCTAGCTATTAACACTTCTAAAAAAAATACAGCTTCAATTTACACATCTATAAAAGGGACATAATGTATTCTCCACTTTTTAAGGTTACAGTCTTAAACATCAAATGAGACTGAATCCCTCTAATATTACAGGTATTGTGCAAAACACTTGGGGTACATTGATAACAGATCTTGACCATGAGGTCATTATGGATGGCTGGAAAAAATGATTTTAGAAATTGTATTTCTTTTGCATTTTCAGTTTATAAAGAAGTGACATTGAACCTGTAAGTAGCAGCTATTCCCATTTTAAGAGGCCAAAACGAAGCTTACAAGTTCAGTGATCTGCCCAAAGTCACACAGTGTCACTGGTGAATGACAGACTCTAATCTATGTCTTTCAAACTAGAGAATATTACATAAAGTTTTGTTGTTATTGTTTTGTCACAGTATATAAAATGTAGGACTCTATGCACTTTAAAAATATGCTTTGAATGCAACAGTTCCGGGCATTAAAAATCAGTGTCTTATAAATATCTAATTATTAAATATAACATTTTAAAATGTTAAAACAAATAAATTTTAAGTATAAATATGACTTCAATTGTAGGGATTGGATGAACAAATTCCTCTGCTATAAAAAGAGCTATAATCAGTGTGAAATAGACAACCTACTTTTTAAAAAATGGGCAAAAGTCTTGAACAGTCACTTCACAAAAAAAGGATATCCAAGTGGCCAGCTACATAGAATAGATACTTCAACAGTGATCAGGAAAACACAAATTAGTGGGGCACTACTGTACACCCATCAGAATGGTTAAATTGAAAAAGACAGTTTTGTGAGAGTATGGAACAACTGGTGCTCTCATGCATTGCTGGTGGGAGTGGCAATTGGTGTAACTCCTTTGGGAGACTGGTGGTATGTACTAAAGTGGGAGATATGCATCCCTATGGCTCTACAATTCCACTTAAGATGTACACTCAGCAGAAATATGTATGCATGTTCACCAAAAAACATGAACTAGAATGTTCACAGCAATACTATTTGTAATAGCCAAACATTAGAAACTCTTTGAATACTCATCAATAGTCTAGTGTACAAATGCATTGTAGTAGTAGTCATATAATGGAATACTATACAGAACTAAGAATAACAAACTACACTCAACAATAAGGCTGAACCTCACAAACATAATGTTGAGCATAAGAACCTACACTGTATTGTTTTATACCTATAATGTTCCAAACCAGGGAAAACTAGTCTATGGTGTTAGCATGGTGGTACCCTTAGTGGGGCTGGTTAGTGACTAGAAGGGGCATAGAGGATATCTGGATACTGATAATGCTTTGTTACTTGATCTGGGTGCTGGTTACACAAGTGTGTTCATGGAGCTGTACACTTGCAATCTGGGTACTTTTCTGTGTGTACTTTAATCGCCATTAAAAATTTGTCAAGAGCTATTCTCTTCTTTTCTCTCATAACTATTACAGGTCTAGTCAATTAATCAAAGCCATCATGCAAAGCGTGGTGCTCTTAAACTTACTTCTTTTAATTTTGTATTTTCCAGGAGCAGAAGATCTGCTTTTTGGTCATTTATATAGAATCCATTTTCTAAGTTCTTTAGAGTTTCAAAATGATCTTTGGTTTTTTTGCTTTCTTGATCTCGTAATTGTTTTAATTCTTGTTTTATATCCTCCTGCTCAAACAGAAAACCCCAAATTATCTCTGAGTTCAAAGAGTAGGGCATGAGGGTATTATACTGCCTAGGTCACATTTGGAGCCAGATTCTAAATTAATTCCTGAAGCATCCAGCAGAGAATAGATATTTTTCCTTAGAAAAACCTATCAACCCCACATTTATTCATGAACTCTAGGAAGGGGGTCTGTGGACTTCAAGATAAGAACCCCAGACATTGAGACAACTTCACAAAATAAAATATACAGTCAGCCCTCTGTATCTGTGGGTTCTGCGTTTGTGGATTTAACTAAACATGAATGGAATATATTCACAAAAATAAAAAGAATAACGTCAACAAATAATACAAATAAAAACAATACAGTATGACAACTACTTACATAACATTTACATTTTATTAGGTATTATCAGTAATCTAGAAATAATTTAAAGTATATTGGAGAATGTGGGTAGGTTATATGCAAATATTACACCACTTTATACAAGGGACTTGAGCATCTGTGGATTTTGATAGTCATGTTGGTCTTGGAACCTCCCCCATAGATATCCAGGGATGACTGTACCTTGATATATAAACAATCATTTGGCAAAAATAGAGAAGGGGAAATTTATTGAGGCTTTTAAAGGAGGACTTAATGTTTCTTGAAGAAAGAAGAAGATTACTTTATGAATTTTTCAGAATTCTCTATTGTTTTCTCTATTGAATTCTCTATTCAGTTCTCTGTTATTATACTATTATAAATTGCATGATATTTATTCATTGTATAATCATCACCAGCAGCATCTTATTAAGAAAATAGAACTGTATATATACTACACTTGTAATTTTCTCCTTCATATTTTCCTATATATTCCTTCATATTTTATAACATATTAAAAGTTACATTTTGAGGCCAGGCATGGTAGCTCACGACTGTAATCCTGGCATTTTGGGAGGCCAAGGCAGGCAGATCACTTGAGGTCAGGAGTCCGAGACCAGCCTGGCCAACATGGTGAAACCCCGTTTCTACTGAAAAAGACAAAAATGAGCCAGAAGTCGCTTGAACCCAGGAGGCAGAGGTTGCAGTGAGCCAAGATCCTGCCACTGCACTCCATCCTAGACAACAGAGTGAGACTCTGTCTTAAAAAAAAAAAACAAAAGTCACATTTTGATATCAATGCATCTCAAAGAATGTTTCCATTTTAATTAACCAACTCCACATGCACATGCTTATCACCAACTATTGATTTATAAATTTTTAAAAGGCACTAAACATCTCTTTACCTGCTACTAGTTCATCCACTCCCCCACCACAACCTTTGTTTCACTCACCCTTAAAAAGCAGAATCAAGTTTCTAACTTATAAATAAGAAAACCAAGGTCCACTCAGTGACTGTTCCACAATTACATGTCAGTCGGTTATAGTTGCTCTCTCTCTTTCTCTATATACATATACACATAAGTATATATATACACATATGTACATAAGTATATGTATACAGGTGTATGTGTATACATATGCATATATATATGTATGCATGTGTTGTAACAAAGATTTTTAAACGTTGAGATTGCACGGGTACATTTAACAAATGTGATTTCATGAAAACTTCAATGCCAGTTAAATATTACCATCTGTATATACCACTATTTTAATTTAAAAAAATGAATGAATGCATTGATCCTTTACCGTGTTGCTAATGTATCTTGAAAAATCCCTTGTAAACAGAAAAATATGATTGTTCAGCAAATCCTCCTCCTGTCTTTGTGCTATTAAAACAAAGAAAAAAAACCTCAAAAATTTAGTTTAAAAATATTAATCAAAGAAGTACCTAGTTTTAAAAGTCAAATTCTCTCACAAGGTTTATAACAAAACCCAGCTGTCAGGCGCTCCACATTGCAATGTTTAGTCCCGTATGACTCCTCAGAAGCAAACATTTTTCACTCTTTTTAGTTGTTTCTTCTTCCATTTAGTTCAATTTTCATTAAAAATAGGCATATGTGCCTATTTTTATTTATCATTTTCAGGCATTTTCTATTTACTTAGTCCCATTCCCACATCCTTCTCCTACACCTACAACCTCTATATTTCCTCCCTAACCTTCCTATGAAGTTACAGTTTTTGTTTAAATAAATTGTAACTATTTAGATCATTATGGCAATAAGGATTATCCCCAATGAGCCAAATGGTATAATATAATTATATTTTCCTTTTAGTATAATATTTTGTTTTTTCTTGGAGTTAAAGATTGCTTTATTAAAAAATTGCTCAGTATTTCACGTACATATAATTAATTCATACCAAAATCTACAACAGAACTGTACCACCTTTCAAATTTTATTTCCCATATAGTCAAACACATTAACATATCTATCAGTTTCATTTCTCCCCTCTCCCTCAGAACCTCCCTCTGAGATATGCCTTCTGGAATCTTTTCTTTCTTTGTGCTAGATTTGCAGTTGACTTCTTGGGACTTCCTTTTGCATTTTTCTTTTTCTTTTTTTAAAGGTTTTATTCAACCAGAACGCTCTGCATTATTCTTATGCTGGACCTCCTGTTTCCTAAATTTCTTATACTCTTTTTCTTGATTCATTCCTTCTGTTTGTTGAAGCAAGTTCTATACAGCTTCAGGAAAAAGAGTAAATGGGATAAATGTTTTGAGATCTTGTATATCTCAATATGTTTCTATTCTATATTCTTGATTGATAGTTTAGCTGGGTATCTAATGTTGGAAATTATTTTCTCTCAAATTTTGAAGGCATTGTCTTATAACTTCTATAATGTTGCTGTTAAGAAGTTTGAAATGATTCTGATTTCTAACAGTTTGTGTGAGATCTCATTTTTCTCTCTAGGAGCTTTTAGGATCCTCTCTTTCTATTTTTCCTTCTGAAATTCCACAGTGATATGGCTTAGTCTTTTCTTTTAAATATTGTTTGAGGATTTGCTTGGACATTTAAAAATGGAAATCTATATTCTCTAGTTATAAGAAATATTTTTGTATTATTTCTATGATAATTTTATTAGTTCTTTAAAAACATGAATATATGGCTATATCTTGATTTATCATTGTCAGGCAGTTTCTATTTACTTTGTCATATATAGTAGAGGATAATTTAGCATGCTTACTCCCATTCCCACATCCCACACCCACACCCACACCCTCTACATTTCATCCCTAATCTTCCTATAAAGTTAGGGTTTTCATTTAAATAAATTGTAACTGTTTAGATCATTATAATAAGGTAAGGATTATTCACTGATTTTTTTCTGTTCTTCTTGTTAGGTAGATATTTGGCATCTCAGAATAGTTTTTAAATTTGCTTACCGTTCTCTCCTTTTCCTCATCTCCTTTTGTTGTTGTTGTTGCTCTATTTTTACAGAGATTTTCTTAACTTTTCTTATAATTATCCTATTGAATTTTGACATTTGTTATTTATACTTTTAACTTCTGAGAGCTCTTTCTGTTCTCTAATCTTTCTTTCAAGCATATTTTCTTTTTTCATAAATGCAATATATTTATTTATCTAGGAATATACTCTTTAAAAGTATGCTTATGCTCTTTGCATTTTCTCTGTTTCCACCAAGTTCTCTTGTTCTTTCCATTTCAGTTTCTTTTTCACACTGGGTGCTTCAGATCTTTGTCTGATCCCATTTAATAGTCCTGGGTGAGCTTCAATATACAGTGATCAGGAACGAACCAGCCATTTGAGGGGACCATCGAATGCTGGTGCTGTTGTGGGGCTTTTCCCTGAACTGTTCAGTTTCCTTAGAGGAAGAATACATTAGTCTCCTTCCTCAGGTTGGGGTAAGGGATTATGGAAGAGTTCACAACACCATTGGCTGGCAGCATTCATCAAGCTGAACTCAGAGGGGGATCTCAGTGGGGATCTCGGTACAGTACCTGTCTTCTGCTCTCAACCATATCTGATACCTTGCAGTCTGAAGACTTCCGGTCCAGTTTCTTTGCCAGCATTGAGAAGGAGGAGTCACTCAGCTAACTGCACAAGGAGGGGGTTTGACCTGGAGCTCTAATTGCTCTTTATAAAGACTTTTCAACCAACCTTTAGCCCTGTGACTCATCTCAGCTGTCATAGTTTCAGGGGACGCCACTGCCTGTGACTTTACAGCTTTGGGGGAAAGAACTTTTTGCCTACATGGTGCTCTTTTTGGCAGGCTCTTGGTATTTATATTTCTCTTTCTACCTCTATCCAATTACGTCTTCCCAAAATTTGTTGATATTTATTATCAGGTAATAAATAAATAATAAATCAGCAGATAGCAAATGTCTTATCTCTGCCAGTGTTTTGGTACTTATGGATTTGTATCTTTAAAAAAAAAAAAACCTTTATATACATATTTGGGAGTTTTATGAGGGAACAAAGATATATGTATATGCTTTATCCATCAGATTTAACTAAAAGCTTTCTGTGTGTGGAGCCCATGCATGGCATTCTCTGTAAATGTAACTGCTGGCAAGCCAACTTTCCTGCTCTTATGTTCCCTTTACTTCTTTCCTCCTGTCTTCCCCTCTTTTATCTACTTTCTTCAGCATTTTCTCCCCTTTGTTTACATTAAGAGATTCAGTACTTGTAATGTATTACTTACTTTTATGCTCCTAGTGTTTCTTACATCCTTTACCTAGTACACGAAGGGATAGGAAGAATGGCTGGGAAAGTAGAAAACTGAGAATAGGCCGGGTGCAGTGGCTCACACCTATAATCCCAGCACTTTGGGAGGCCAAGGTGGACAGATCATGAGGCCAGGAGTTCAAGACCATCTTGACCAACATGGTGAAACCCCATCTCTACTGAAAATACAAAAATTGGCCGGGCATGGTGGTGCACACCTGTAATCCCAGCTACTCAGGAAGCTGAGGCAGGAGAATTGCTTGAACCCAGGAGGTGGAGGTTGCAGTGAGCCGAGATTGCGCCATTGCACTCCAGCCTGGACAACAGAGCGAGACTCCATCTCAAAAAAAAAAGAAAAAGCAAGTAAGAGACCTATGTATTGTAAGTCTGGGTAAAAGTAGTAAGAGGCCAAGAAAACCTACTTAAGTTGACTAAATGAAAACCTGACAAGAAAGTGGAAAATCATCTGAGGAATGGGAACCAGGTCAATTACCCATGTATTATTATTACAACATTCTTACATTTTTAAAAATCCACCCTCCTTGGCAATAATCACTATTCACTTTTGAATTTTTTTTATTCTACATTTGAATATACTGGAGTTCCATATGAATGTACCATTTTGACACAGGCGGTTTTAATTCCTATCCCCATATTCGTCTTTGCTAACCAGTAGACAATTTTTCTTCCCATTCTAATCCTTTCTGTAACTTTTGGTCCTGGCCTTCTGATTCCCATGTGTCTTCTTTCGTCATCTAGAAGATACAAATTCTGGAAGTTGTTCCCACTAAAAGACCTGGGCAGACTCCTTAGATAATGACCCTCTATTCCCCAAATGCAATACAAGACTCAAAATCCAAAAAGATGATTCTGGGCCAGGCACAGCACTTTAGGAGGCCAAGGCAGAAGGCTCTCCTAAGCCCAGGAGTTTGAGATTAGCCTGGGCAACATAGTGAGACCCTGTGTGTTTTTGGTTTTGTTTTTTTTTAAAAAAAAAAAGATTCTGCATATATAAACTTTGGACCTTGGGCACAGGGTTGAATGATTACATCCAATTTTTTGTGGAAAAAATAATTATTTTTATATTAAACATATATGATTATACTATGTAATGTAATTAAAAATATGCATACTTTCAGACATATTTCACATCCTCTACTAACTCCTAGATCTGAGACAAGCTCTTACCTATCTGTGCCTTAGGAGGAACTTAGTGAAAACAAATCTGAGGAGTGCTTACTCAATAAATGGTTAAAATCATAGCAGGAAAAGAGATATAATTTGCAAATTCATGGTAAGAAATAGAAAAAATTTCCACGTGGTAGCAAACAAATGAATTAGTTCTACCTTTCCCAAGTATAGAGAGAAATAAAATAATATAGTAAAGGACTAAGTCTTAAATAGTTTTTAAAAGAGAAAAGGAAAATTTTGACAATAGCAACAGTAAGACTGTAGTGTGGAGGAGAAATTAGTAGGTGAAGCAAAAACTAGAGAGCAGAGAGCTAAAGGTAATAGGGAAAGGTCGGTGAGCTTCACCATTGGCTTGCAACTGATGACCTGCCTTGTGTTAGAAGATGACAGTGAAATCCTTACCTGGGATTGAGTTTAATTACTAAATGCTTCATATGTACCTGTAATAGCATTACTGAGCTCTTGTAACTTTCTTTTTTTCTCTTTATACTCTTGTTCTGCCACCTGAAGTTGCGGAAGACACTCAACTAGTTCTTCTTGCTTTTCTTTGTTAATTTGTGTTTCCTTAACAAATATTTCCTTTAAAGAAAATAAAACCAATTGAGAAATATAATTTTGGATAATTCACACAACAATTTAAAGTAGAATGTAAGTTTTTTGAGGGAAAGAGTTTCATCTGTCTTGGTCTCCTATCCTGAGGTACATAGAAAGATATATGGCATATACTAATCTTTTAATAAATATTTGCTCCCTGACTCACTGACACTCTGACAATCCACAGAGTAAGGAGATTAGATTCAATTGGTTCTCTAAAGATCCCTTCTGCTTTAACCTCTTCTGCTATATCTCTATGAACACTACCATGTATACAGCCCAAAAACATATCTGAGAAAATTTCCTTCAGTAATATTTTACCAAAAAGAGGCAGATAAACAGAATACACTTCTAAGAAATGCTGGATGTGAGAAATGGGAAGAGGATAGAAGTAATTGGATATAACGTTAAAATAAATGGGTGAAAAGTGCCCAAAGCAAAACATGAAGATGCCTGCCTACTTATTGAAACTCAAGCTTTGTTTAGTTTCAAATGGAATAATAGTTGGACCTTTCTTAGCAAATTAGAATGGATTTTAAATGGTGACTAAGGCAGAGACCACCAGCTGATGTTTAATATTTGTTCTCTTCTCCTTCAATGTTAGGGCTCCTGAGTTTCAGCTGAGCACATGGCTTCTGGCTAGAGTGTGGTTTCCAGGCTTCCCTTGCGGGTGGGCGTGACCAAGGAGTTTGTGAATGGAAGTCATTTGTGCCACTTCTGGGCTCTGCTCCTGCAACAGGAACAGCTGTGTGCTCCCCTGGTTCTTTCTTCCCTCCCCTGGCCAGAGGAGAATGAGAATGGAAGCTACTCCTTGACACACAGATGTTAGGCTCATGTGGAGAATGGCAGAGCCACTCTGCCAGCCTGGACCCCTTCCCAATGGCCTGGATTGGGAAAGAGAAACAAACATCTCTCTTGCTATAATGACCCCTTTGAGCATTTTCTCGACTAGATGTTCAGACTCACAAAATTTGATTAGGCTACACTTGACCCAGTTTACTCTTAAAAACTTTCAGTTTTAGTTTTCATTTTTGTCCAAGTCATATGCACACATAATTGGAAGGAAATGCTAAATTTTAGCAGGGCAGTGCCAGGCATGCTTTCCTATTGGGAGGTGTCTGCACAAAGACAGCAGACCAGTGGCTTCATCTAAAGTGATAATTTAGATGCAAGAGAGAGAGAGAGAGACTCACACAGGTGGGGTTATAGCCTCTCTGGCTTAGAAACCCCATGTCCGTATAGGAACTAGTATCTCTTGGACACACCTTCCAGGTTTCAAAGGGCATACCCACTTAAGACAGCCACCAAACCCAGGGAAGCCCAATGCCACAGTTTCCCCTGGGTTATTTTTCCAGTCAAGATGCAGCGTACAAATCAGGAGTCATTGTTATACAAGCAATGTTGCTTCATAATACAGCTGATATTCTACCTTCATCAGGCTATTAGGGGAAGGAGCCAGGAAGTTAACCCAGGGCCAGTTTCCCAATAAAAAAAGGAAAGAGGGTTGTTAACCCTTTTCACATCTTGCTTATGCTCACCATGTTTTAGTATATCGTTGATAGAATAGTTTTCTTGCACCTTAACTAATACACTCATATGCTGGCTGATGTGTCTCCTCCCAAATTGCCATTAGCATCATTATGAATAAATACAAAGAAGCTAAAATGCATAGAAAAATACCATAATTCAAAAATATCATAACGCAGAAGCAGGAGTACATTTCTCCAGACTTCAACATTTAGGCAGGTTGAGTTAAGAAACTCAATCCAGCCAGGCGCGGTGGCTTGTAATCCAAACACTTTGGGAGGCCGAGGCGGGCAGATCATGAGGTCAGGAGATCGAGACTATCCTGGCTAACATGGTGAAACCCTGTCTCTACCAAAAGTACAAAAAAATTAGCCGGGCGTGGTGGCATGCACCTGTAGTCCCAGCTACTCGGAGGCTGAGGCAGGAGAATCGCTTGAACCCAGGAGGTGGAGGTTGCAGTGAGCCAAGATTGCACCACTGCACTCCAGCCTGGGCAACAGAGTGAGACCCCGTCTCAAAAAAAAAAAAAAAAAAAAAGAAACTCAATCCTGTATTATCCATATTATGTTTTTTTAAAAAGAATAGCCTGTAAATACAAGTTTGTATGTACATGCATTAATTCATCCCCATTGCCTGCACGCAGCTCAGATTCCCAGGGCTGCCCTGGGAACCATTGTCTTGTTCTGTGCTCTGAAAGAGACTGTAGGGTACCAGGTTCAGTGTAGCAAGTTGTTGCTTGCCTGTGGGCTCAGGTTGTTGGAGTGGGGCAGCCAGTCAGGTTCACATGGTCTTCAGATCCTTCCATATGCTTTCTCATTGTCTCTGATTTTTGAGCCACATGCATATTTTAGAGGTCAGTGATGACAGGCTCCAGTTTCTGCTCCAGATCCCCCATCTCCCTGAAGTTGGAGCGTTGGAAAAGAGAGACCAATGCAGATTCCAGTCCACCCCCGCTCATCCTGTGAGTTCCGGTTTGTTTTTGCTTCCATTCACTTCCTGTTGGTCTTTCCATCCCAAGTACCTGCCCTGCTGACTTCAGGCCCCAGCACCAGATGTAAAGCTGACAGTCTCACCAGACTGTGTAACTAGATACCACAGTTGCAGAAGGTCAAGTCCTGTAATAAACCCGTTTTCTGGTGGCTGTGCTTCTCTGATCAAATTCTGACAGATACAGGGCTGTAGGACCCAGAAAAGCGAATGGTCCTTGTCCTGGGCTTGTCCATGCAGTATCAGGATGATGTGCAAAATCTGTGGAAAGCTCTTACAGAAGATTTACAATGGAGGGCCCGGGATTGGAGCCAGGCCTATGGAAAAGTCAGTCACAGCACTGCCTTGTCAACAACACATCCCAACACTGGGACGTTTATACTATGAACCAGTGACTAATCTAACTACTATTCAGGGCTGCTTTCCTTCAAATTTATGGGTTACGGACCCAAATGGTAGTGGGACTTCTTGCTGTTCAACCTAATGATTTTGCTTTTCCTCCTCGTGACTTTGGGTTCTGTTGATTTAGAGATACTACTGGGGAAAAAAATGGTTCCACCAGGGGCACGACAAGAGTTTCGTAAACCACTACATGAGGTTGCGTCCTAATTTTGGGCTCCTCATGCCACTGAATCAAAGGCAGAAATGGGATTACAATGTGCCTGAGGTTGTTGGTGGTGATTATCAAGGGGAAATCGGGTTATTGCTATGTAATAACGGTGCACAGGCTGCCACTGGCCTATCTCTTTGTGTGAATTAGGCACGCAGTGAGCACACAGCCTGGCAAGCCGAGTGCAGGCTGGAGACCTGTATATAGTGGTTTTGCAGTTGATTTTCTTGGGTTCTGTGATCTACCAGTCATCTTATCTGCCAAGTCTTATGCTTCTATTTTACGTATCTTGCCTAATTACACTGTAGAAACTTGAGTAAAAAGTTAAATAGGATCCTTATTCCTTATCCTATTCATGACTCAAAGGGGATTGCCCTCATTGTTTTACCAGTAGGTATGACGGTAAAATTATCAAAAATATCTGAGATGCTGACCGCTTCTTAACACCTCTTTGGTTACCATTTTGGTTCAAGCCACCTTCATTCTAACTTGGGTTATTGCTTTAGCTCCCTAATTGTTCTTCCTGTGTCCACCCTTTTGTTTCCTAAATTCTACTCAACATAGAAGCTAGAGTGATCCTATTTAAAGGAAAAACTCAGATTATTTCAGCCCTCCACTCAGAACCCTCCAATGGCTTTCTAGCCCAGACAGAGCAAAGGACAAAGTACTTCTGATGGCCTATAAGGGTGTGCCTGATGCTCCACTTGGATCTCCCCTTGAGGGCGGACTCGCCACACCATTGTGAGGAATGTGGTTAGCTCACACCTCCAATAGTTGGCTCCTTCAGGGTAAGCTCAGCTATCTAGCCAGTATCATGCTCCTTTGGGACAGTCCCCAGTCAATGACTAAGCAAGGAGGTGATACAAGGATGCATCCAGCCATTTCTGCCGAAGCCAGGCCTCTTCTAACAGGCAATCCTTGCTCCGGAGCTCCCCAGAGGTTACATAATGGCCTGACAGCTTTCCCTGCCCAATCTTGTCACAGATACTTCTCCCTAATATACCTTATCAGTCCTAATTCCATCTCAGCATCTGCTTCCTGAAGAAGACTCCCACCACGCCTGGCACTCCCAGCTCTTATTCAGCAACCCCACCCCCTTGTGATTCCTTAGATAGGAGGGTCCTGCCTCAGACCCTTCCTGCCTAGCATGCCCTCTGCCTGGAGCCATCTCCTGCAGACATCTGCAGGGCACCCTTCCTCATATTCAGGGCTGGACCCTTCTCTGACTACCCCTATTTACAACAGCACACACACCATATCACGTGCACTCTCCCTGTCCCACTTCCCTGCTTGATTTTTCTCTATGGCATTTATAACCATCCAATATACTACTTGTTCTACTTGTTTCTCTCATTTATTTTCATTCTCCCGTGTTAGATAGTAAGCTCCATAAAGGCAGAGTTTTTGCCTGTTTTGCAGCATTTAGAAGAATGCCAGGCACCTAGACTAATGCTTTCCACCCCGCCTCCTCTACCCTCTCACCCCTTTTCTTCTAACATTGTAGTCATTTGTGTCATGCTTTCTTTCCTTTGTTTGTTCTCCGAGTTGCGAGTTGCGGGGTTTCTGTTTCACCTCTTCCTGTTTTCTGGCCATCACCTTCTGATATCTCTTGCCTAAGTTCCTACATTTCCATACTAATAATTTTCTTTTGTACTGCTATTAAATTATTTTTAAATTCATAGAAGAATGTTTGATCATAGTTTTTTGTTTGTTTGTTTGTTTTTGAGGCGGAGTCTCACTCTGTCGCCCAGGCTGGAGTGCAGTGGTGCGATCTCGGCTCACTGCAATCTCTGCCTGCTGGGTTCAAGTAATTCTCTGCCTCAGCCTCCCTAGTAGCTGGGATTACAGGCGTGTGCAACCACGCCTGGCTAAATTTTTTGTATTTTTAGTAGAGAGAGGGTTTCACTATCTTGGCCAGGCTGGTCTTGAACTCCTGACATCGTGATCCACCCACCTCGGCCTCCCAAAGTGCTGGGATTACCGGCATGAGCCACTGCGCCTGGCCTGATCATAGTTTTTATTTGTTCCATGCCACCATTTTTTCTGAGTGTTCTTATTTGTTGGAAAGTTTTGTTCCTCTTTTCAGTTGTTTTTCTCCTAGTATTTTTGTATGAAAAATGTGACTACTTTCTTTTGGTTACTAATATTATTAATAGAAATAATTGGTTATCCTTGGGCCAGACATCTGCAGAGGGTTTCTGCAGGATGTGGCAGGATGGGATGGGGTCAGGGAAGACAACTTGGATCAGATAAGACTCTAAACTAGGAAATTTTCGAACTCCCTATTTTCGTCCTGCGGTATGAGACTATTTCCTTCAAATAAAGCCCCTCTTTGGTGTAGCCAAGACCTCTTCTTCCTTTTCAAACCTAATTAAGCTCAGGAAGGCTTCTACCACTATCCCTATTCTCAGCTGCTCTGCTAATGGCTGCCCCCGGGGTAATATCATCGCCTTGAAAAGGTGCATTTTTTTTATTGTGTTTCTGTGGACCTGGCACTTCTGGGTACTTTCAGTGCCTTTTCTCTCCACCTCCCCCAGCATCCATGCCCTGTTCTATCTCAGGTTGGCTTTTGGCAGTTCCCAAGGCAGCATGATACCCTTTTTTTAAGGAGCACGTCTGAGATTGACTTTACTAATCTCCCTTGCCCCAGCTATTTTCAAGTCAGCTCCAAATGGCTCCCTACACAACTCCACCTGTCTCCAAGGCCGTTGCCAACATTTCTACATAATTTGAAGTGTGATTATTATTATTATTTTTTTTGCTGAAAAAATATTTCTTATTGCTCTGCTCCCTCTTCAGGAAAAGAAGAAAGATCCAAAATAAAATTGTAACCTTTTTCATACTAGAATATTTATTTTACATTTAACTGATTAGAATAGCATGAAATAGTATTCCCCCTCCCCCTCATGTACTCATCCAAAAGTATTCTTAGATGCAAAATAAAATTTACCTGATACTTGCTTAACTCTTTGATTAACATTTTTTCTTTGTTAATAAATGCTTTCTCTTCTTCTTTCAATTCTATTGTAAGTTTTTCAATCTGTGCCACAAAGTCATTGATCTCCTTTTCTCTGAGACTGGTCTAATTAGAGAAAAATGAGAATTTGTCATTTCTCTTGTAGTGATCAGCCTTACATTTTCAAATAACCAGGAAATTAATATCTCTTACCTGATTCTGATTTCAGTTCATATAATTTCTCAGCAACCACTGAGAGTAATATTTTTTCCTCCAGAAATTAAGTTCTTCACCAAATGATATTTTTATAAATATGACATGAGGAGTGGGGAGGGTAGAGGACAGTGGGTGAGCAGAGGGTAAATATAAAAGCTTAAAAAAATTATACATGTGCTCATATTTTTAGAGCTAATTCCCCTAAAGACTAACCTCAAGTAAGTTTCTGGTTACATGCTTCAAAAGCATATTCTACTGTATTTGCTAATTCTCTCTAGTTAATATACAGCAAATGAATACATTTCCTAAGAAAATTAAATAACTCACTCTAAACATGAAATCAGCAGAAAGGAAAATACTTTTTAATAAGATAGGATTTAATTAAATATTGAAGGAGAATTGCTGATATGCAATGTAGGGGACTAATTCTAAGTTCCTTCAGTTCCCTCACCTCGTTAAGTAATTCAATTCGTCTAGCTTCTGCATTCTGAATTTTTTCTGTAATAGCTTGTATCTCAGCTGTTATCTGAGCTGTCCAACGTGCATGCTTTTTTCTCAGGCAAGCTATTTTCCACTGAGTTATAACACTACAGATTAGAGCAAAAAGAATTGCCATTAAGTTGACATAGCAGTTTACTAAAAAGATGAAGAAATTCAAAGCAAACAAGTTATACTATGACTACACAAAATTGTTTGCACTATTAGTGTTGCAGACTACACACATTGCATGAAAAAGTAAGACAAAACATTAACTTCCTCAATTCTGTCTCTGCAAGTTGCTTCAGAGTAAGAAGTTACATCTGCACGTCCAATAGAACAGTGAACAAACCACACTTGGCAGCTTGCCTCCTTCAGGTAAAGGATAGAAATGAGGAAGGCTTGGGGCAAAGTGGAAAACAAGGCCCAGGCAGAAATAGTAATAGAATTATCTAAATTACCGGATGTGCTACTAATAAATTTCAGACTTCTGGGTTCTCAAATTTTTCTCCACCACCACATTAAAAAGCTGCATATTTGAAGAATGGTAAAAATGTGCAATTAGGGCCAGGCACGGTGGCTCACACCTGTTAATCCCAGCACTTTGGGAGGCCGAGGCAGGCACATCACCTGAGGTCAGGAGTTCAAGACCAGCCTGCCCAACATGGAGAAACCCTGTCTCTACTAAAAATACAAAAAAAATTAGGCAGATGTGGTGGCACAGGCCTGTAATCCTAGCTACTACTTGGGAGGCTGAGGCAGTAGAATCACTTGCAACTGGGAGGCGGGGGTTGCGGTGAGCTGAGATTGTGCCATTGTACTCCAGCCTGGGCAACAAGAGTGAAACTCCATTTCAAAAAAAAAAAAAAAAAGTGCAATTAGAGTCTTTAAGTGTACATTCAATAATAACATTAGCCGGGCATGGTGGCTCATGCCTGTAATCCCAGCACTTTGGGAGGCCGAAGTGGGCAGATCATTTGAGGCCAAGAGTTTCAGACCAGCCTGGCCAACATAGTGAAACCCTGTCTCTACTAAAAATACAAGAATTAGCCAGGCATGATGACACGTGTCTGTAATCCCAGCTACTCAGGAGAATCGCTTGAATCTGGGAAGCGGAGGTTGTGGTGAGCCAAGATTGCTCCACTGCACTCCAGCCTGGGCCCCAGAGTGAGACTCCGTCTCAAAAAAAAAAAAAAATTAGCTGGGCGTGGTAGTGCGTGCCTGTAGTCCCAGCTAATCTGGTGGCCGAGGCATGAGAATCACTTGAACCTGGAAGGAAGAGGTTGCAGTGTGCCGAGATGGCACCACGGCACTACATCTTGGGCGACAGAGCAAGATTCTCTCTCAAAATAATAATAATAATACTAACAATAACAACAACAATGATAATAAAATACAGCTAAGTAAAAGCAAGAGCTTTTTAGCTGCACTGATCTAAATACAGCATTTTACATGTATCATCTCATTTACATTCACAGCTACTTTATAAGGTAGGTACTGTTATCCTTCCCCACTTTATAGGGATGGGAGCAAAGATAAGTTATTAAATAACTTAGCCTTGGTCACAGAGCTAATAAGGACAGCAACCAAAGCAGGCCATCTGGAGAGCCGGTAGCCTTCATGCCACCTTCCTCTCTTATCACACCTGTCACCTCCCTACTGGTTCACAAAGAGGCCTGGATGAGCAAAAGGCATTGCACAAATATTAGCAATTTTACTCTTTGGTGTCTGCACTTGATTGAAATGGAAAACTTTGGTTCTGTTCAATACCAAAAAAAAAAAAAAAATCAAATTAACCAATACATCTAGATCTGAGATAATTTACACATAATTTAGGAAAATCATTCCCTTGGGTTCTAGTAACAACAAGTATTTTGCACAGTGCATTAAGATAACATATACTGCTAATAACACAAAACACAAATAAACCTTTTTTTTTTTTTTTTTTTTTACCATCTCTGACTTTCTCTTTCCAGGTTAGCACTCAGGATTTTGATTTGTTGCTGATATACTGTTTTTGTTGCTCTAAAAAGAAAAACATATTGGATTTTGCATTTGTGGGAACTGTTAGAATATACAATAGACTCTTTATGTATAATTTGTATGCTCAGTAAGGCTATAGTCAATAGGGAGACAAAATAAGCCTTGTGAAACAACTAAACATTTCAGTGGCAGATTGATAGACAACTGCAATTCTGTGTTAGTGCAAACTGATTCTGCAACAGTTGTGGTGAATAGCCAAGGATAGAGAAGAGATTTCTAGGGAGGTAATTGACAAAGTGTTACTAGAGGTTAATGTTTTTCAGAGGGAGGAATGTGGATTGTCAGAATGGAGGTGCAATCTTATCAAGGAAAGGGTGTCATCATTTGCAAATACAGAGAGGGAAGGAACAGCAAGTCAGGCCTCTGTTATGACATAAGGTAGGCTTGCTGTATACAGAGGACATGAAGGAGAGAATAACCCTTACAAGAGGAAGTAAGGTTGACACATTGTTGAGGAACTCCAGACCCTAGATTGAGCTCTGATTTGATATAATATATAATTCAGAAAGCCAATATAGTTTCTTGAGCTGGGGAAAAGTAGTAACTAAGGATAGAAGATTTTCTTGCGGTAGGATGGATGGAAATGTGAAGATTCCAACATAGGTGACAGAAGCCTTTATTTTTATCCCCTGCCCTGCCTTTTCCCTAAGAAGTGCTTCTTGGACAGAAATGAATTGAAAGCCACATAAATAAAATGCTGCTTTATATCTTTTGAAAGAAATATTCATAAATAAAACTTAGCATAGGAAACACTCTTAAATAAACTAGAAACATACCTGGCCTCATGTTTCTTTCTCTGTTTGGATTTCTGTTGATATGTGCTTGAATTTTCATCATCACCTATCTTACTTCTATAAGCTAGCTTCTTCATTGTCCTGTATTTAAATCATGTGTCTCCCTTTGTGTGGTGATATTATTCCCCCATACAATGAGCACAGAAAAATCTGACTTGCTTTTAAAGGTCTAGTTCAAATTTTAAATCCTGTATAACGAAGGACTCCTTGATTTCACTTTCATGCCTGACTGTTTTTTATAATTCACTGTCATACATGGTTTATTTTTCACCATCATATGTGGTTCATTAATTATTTCAAATGTGTTAGTCTTGCTTCTCTGCCCAACTGAACTATAAGCTGCCTTATGCTCAGTCTTAATGTGTACAATCGTAGAATATTTACATAGGTCATTTTGACAATCATTATAAAAGTGAAAAATATACATCCTCCTTTGATCCAGCACTTCAACTTTTAGGACTTTATTACAAATAAAAAAAAAGTCATATGGGTAGACAGAGATATGTTAACTTCAAATATTTGTAATATAGGCAACAGACAAAAGTAAATTTCCATCAATAGAGTGCTGGTTAAATACAATATAGTATAATGTATATTATACTATAGAATACTATGCAGTTAGAGAAAAGATATGTGTGTGTGTGTGTGTGTGTGTATATATATATAAAATCTTTGTTTTGAAATAGTTTCAAACTCAACAGGTAAGTACAAAAAATAGTACAAAGAATCCCATATATCCTTCACCAACTTCTCCAACTGTTATCATTTTACCTAATTTGTTTTATCATCCTCCTAGGTATAATTTTAAGTGGAACAAATTCGGTTATAGTAGAGTATAATCCAATTTTTGGATACATACAAATAAATACATATTTGAAAGCATATATAGTAAACTGTTAACAGTGATTATGCCTGTGGAGAGATAGAGAGATTAGGGTAACTTTTACTCTCTAAGTTATGCATTTTATATTTGAATTTTAAAATCATGTATAGGTATTATTTTTTAATCAGAAAAAGATTAAAATTAAAATGACTTAGAATGCAGAAATGAACATCAATGGGACTCAGTGTTGTGACAATGTTCAGATACACTCTTGTCACTGCACCCCAACTGGTCCATTCCTGGGGCCCAGGAGCTCCCACAGAATTCAGAACCTGTCTATCCTTTCAACGAAAAAGTCCATGAGAATGACTTCCAGACTGTGAAACAGAGAGAGCTAGTTATAAACTTCCATTTCTGTAGTATGTTAGAAATCAACATAGATTTATTGCTATCATTTATTAAAAAATAAATGCAGAGAAAGTAAAGATAAAAAATTTCAAAGGCAACAAACATACTGTTGAAGTTCCTGGAGTGTGATGAGTCCTTCTTCCATATTTTTGATGTCTACTCTCTTTTGTGACAGAAAGTATTCTTTCTGAGTAATATATGTCAGCTGTTTCTGATTTCTATCATGAAAAACAGAGTTATTTGTTGAAGGCTGACATAATCAAACATGCAAACACAAATAAGAATTTCAAAAAACAGTTTTGAAAGTTCATATCATGAGCTATTCACTAAATAAATTATTAAAAAAATAGAAACAAAGTCTTTTTACTGGTGGTAGCTAGATCTAAATTTATGCATAGGATTTTCTTTTTTCCAAATTTTTTCCCAGCTAATTTTTGTACTTTTGTGGAGATGGGGTTTCCCTGTGTTGCCCAGGCTGGTCTCAAACTCCTGGTCTTATGCAATTGGTCCATGTTGGCCTCCCAAAGTGCTGGATTATAGGCGTGAGCCGCTGCGCCCGGCCTACACACAGGATTTTTATAAAATTTATGAAAATTCCCAAGCCACTGAAAGAACATTCACCACAATAGTAACCACAAAACAAGAACAGTTGTGTAGTGCTCCATCTGTCTGAGTGGGTGTGTCTCTCCTAACGTGCTTATCAGTTCTGTCATATTCTTCTGTGGAAGGTGAAGGAGTCAGTCAGACTAATTTTGCATATTGGCTCTACCTATTAATCAGAGTGTGATCTTAATAACAGCTAACAATTAGCTTCACCTGTGACTAAGCATCAGTTTCACCAGCTATAAAATGAGAATTGCAATGCCTAGCTCAACGGATGAATGAATTTAATAAGATGTAAAGTGCTCCTCTCAGTGTGTGGACTGATAAGGTTTTTTGTTGTCGTTGTTGTTTTGTTTTGAGACAGAGTCTGGCTCTTGTCGCCCAGGCCGGAGTGCAATGGTGTGATCTCAGTGGTGTGATCTCAGCTGACTGTAACTTCCACCTCCCGGGTTCAAGCAATTCTCCTGTCTCAGCTTCCAGAGTAGCTGGGATTATAAGCACGTGCCACCATGCCAGCTAATTTTTTGTATTTTTAGTGGAGATGGGGTTTCAAGTAGTTATTTTTTTGTCTTAACTTGCAGGAGAAAATAATGAGGCTCAGAGAAGTTTATAGTCTTGTTCAAATGCCCAGATATTGATAGGAAGCTGCCTGTAATAGAAACTATTTGATCTAAGTGACTCATCTTCCAAACTGCTGTGGACTGCATTGCGCCTCCCCCACCTCCAGAATTTATGTGTTGAAACTCTAACCCCCAACATGATGAAGAAATAGAGAGAGTTGGGTCATTTTTACTCTCTAAGTTATACATTCATATATTTGAATTTAAAAATCAGGTATAGGCATTCCTTTTTTCATCAGAAAAAATTAAAATTTAAAGTGCTTTAGAATGGCAGAAAGGAACATTGTGGGGGGTTAGTGTCGTGAAGGCCTTTGGGGAAGTGATTAGGTTTGGATGAGGACATGAGGGTGGGACCTTATAAAAGAAATACACCAGACAGACAGCGTGTTCTCTCTCTCCACCCTGTGAAGACACAGAGAGAAAGCAGCTGGGTGGCTGTAAGCTAGAAAAGGGCCCTCACTCAGACTTCCAGCCTCCAAAACTGTGAGAATACCAATTTCTGTTGCTTAAGCCAGCCAGTCTATGGTATTTTGTTATGGCAGCCTGAGCTGCTGAGACAGAAACCAGTAATGATAGCAAACGTTTTCATTTTTGTCAATAGATTTTAAAACTAGGATAAGATTAAGTGTAGAGGCACCACTTTGATAGTAAGAAAAGCACCCCACAACGATGGCATGTTGAATCACATGTGTGGGTAAAGACATACTCATCATAGATCTTTCGTTTTTGCAAAAAAGCTTTTTCTTCCTCACTTAAAACAATCTTATATTGTCTGGCAAGAGTTTTCATTTTCTCTCGTAGGTCTTTGTGTTCCATACGAGCATCATGCAGTGTTTCAACCAGCTAGAGAAAAACAAAGGAGGAGAATGAGAGAACTGGCTTCACTGTTCCTCTGAGGCCATCTGCATCAGGTGGCAACTCGGAGAGCACCTGGTATATTGCTTAGCCTACCGTAAATATGCCATAAATGCTGAGTGATTTAATTCTATAGAAAACATGCAATTGTATACTTTGGGACCTCTACTATAAATTTGCTTTTAAGTACAGAAAAATAGTAAACCCTGCTGCAAAACCATACAGTAATAATCCATATTGAAATGCAAAATGGGATGAATAAACTGTGCGTGCCTACTCTGCAATGTTTGTATGTCCTTTTTCCAGAATATAAACTATAGAAAATGTAAAAAGAAAAAGTAACATCCTCAGCTCTTCCTCAAAACATCTTTGAGTTGATATTATGTTTGCTTCTTGTGAAATATTTCTATTTGAGGACAAAAAATAGTACCCTACATGAGATCAGAAATTTTGCTTATTGGATTGCTTCAAACGAGGTAAGAAAGTCAAATTTAGCAGAAACAATGGGCTGAATAGTTCAAAACAACCTTCTATCTCAGGACAACTCAAATAGCTGCATGAAAAAATATTTGTAGAAGTGTTGAAGAACTCACAAGACAATAAAAAATGATTCAAAAAACAAAAATAGAATTACTATTCAACCAGCAATCTCATTACTGAGTATATACCCAAAGGAAAATAAATCATTCTACCAAAAGGATACCTGCATTCCTGTTTATTGCAGCACTATTCAGAATAGCAAAGACATGGAATCAACCCAGGTGCCAATGAACAGTGGATTGGATAAAGAAAATGTGGTAATTATACACCATGGAACATTATGCAGCCATAAAAAAGAATGAAATCATATCCTTTCCAGCAACATGGGTGCACCTAGAGGCCATTATCCTAAGTGGATTAATGCAGAAACAGAAAATGAAATACTGCATGTTCTCATTTATAAGTAGAAGCTAAACATTAGATACACACGGACACAAAGATGGGAACAATAGACACTTGGGACTCCAAAAAGGTGAAGAGAGAAGTGGGGAAGGGTTGAAAAGCTACCTACTGGGTACGATGTTCACAACTTGGGTGACGGGATCATTAGGAGCCCAAATCTCAGCATTATGCAATATACCATTGTAACAAACCTGCACGTGTACTTGAATCTAAAAATATAAAAAATAAATAAAGGATAATAGGGAATTACTAGGCCTAATTCTAGGAGAACGCAAGAATCCAGATTGGTAAGGTTAGCACTTAAAGTTCCTCTTGCCTTGAAGACATTTACTAACATAGAAGAAACCACTTGAAAACCAAGTTTTGGGTTTTTTTTGCATGGCAAGTGGAACAAAAGCCAACATGTAATGCTCATCCACTTGTTGAGCCTACATAAACCTCCCACTATTTTAGTCTGGGATTCCGAAGAGCTTCACCCTCTGGATAAAGGTAAATTGAAAGTTAACAAGTGCAACTTGACTTTGATCACCAGGGATGCTTAGCACGGATTAAGGTAGCTTGGAACTTGTAACACCCTACCCATCTGACAGAAGTAAATGTAAACTGTTCCTGGGAAAAACACCATTATCTTAATCCTCAAACTGTTTTTACAAACTGTATTAGTCCATTTTCACACTGCTGATAAAGACATACCTGCAACTGGGAAGAAAAAGAGATTTAATTGAACTTACAGTTCCACATGACTGGGGAGGCCTCAGAATCATGGCAGGAGGCAAAAGGCACTTTTTACATGGTGGTGGCAAGAGAAAATGATGAAGATGCAAAAGCAGAAACCCCTGATAAAACCATCAGGTCTCATGAGACTTATTCACTACCACAAGAACAGCATGGCGGAAACTGCCCCCATGATTCAGATTATCTCCCACCGGGTCCCTCCCACAACATTGTGGAATTACGGGAGTACAATTCAAGATGAAATTTGGGTGGGGACACAGAGCCAAACCATAGCACAAATATTTTTTGTTCAAGTACAATGTCCAGTATACAATTTTGCACCAGGAACAGAAGGAAATAAGAGCATGGACAAACATTGGCAGAAACAACACACTACAGAAACAGACTACAGACCCATAAAGACATAAGACATTGAAATTATCAGACACTGAACTACAAAACTACTATGCTTATTATGATTAAAGAAATATTAGACATGCTTGAAAATGATGACAGGGAATTAGAAATGGTAATGAGTGACACGGCAGATTTGAAAGGTACCAAATAATTACCAGTTGAAAAACACAATACCAGCCGGGCTCATGCCTGTAATCTCAGCACTTTGGGAGGCCGAGGCAGGTGGATCACCTGAGGTCAGGAGTTTGAGATCAGCCTGGCCAGCATGGTGAAATCCCGTCTCTACTAAAAATACAAAAATTAGCCGGGCATGGTGGCGCATGTCTGTAGTTCCAGCTACTCCAGAGGCTGAGGCAGAAGAATTGGTTGAACCCAGGAGGTGGAGATTGCAGTGAGCTGAGATGGTGCCATAGCACTCCAGCCTGGGCAACAGAGTGAGACTCCATCTCAAAAAATAAATAAATAAATAAAATAAAAATACAATAACTAAAATTAAGAATTCAAATAAGACCACTCTGCTCAGAATACAGGAATGGGAGACAAAAAGTAGAAAATACAGAAGAGTGGGTATGATATGTAGAGGATACATATATTAATACAAATAATCACATACATACAATTGGAGTCTCAGAAAAAGATTGACACTAGCATTAAAAAGTCTTGTACCAAAAGGCTGTTGCAAAAGTAGAAAGGTTCAGAAAGAACTCCACCCTAAAGTCAGAGATAATGGATACAAAGAAAAGAGGGCCCTGGGCCATTCCCTGGGGTGGCCAATTGAGCAACTGTATCTGGAGTATTTGCTTCAACTATCTCCTTACTTCTGACACTTACACTAATCAGCCAACTGTAGTGGAGATTTTCTCCAAACCAAACCGGTGAGTACCACAGGCAGCAACTATTCCCAGGAGTCTAGAATTGGGTATAGAATTGTCATACCTAAGACAAGACAGGTCCTCTTCCTGACATACATCCCTCCCACCCCCCACCATGTACAAGCCCAATCAACACATTCCACTCTTGCTACAAAATTCTTTTTTTTTTCCTTTTTCTTTTTCTATTTGGAGATAGCATCTCACTATGTCACTCAAGTTGGTCTTAAACTTCTGAGCTCAAATGATCCCCCGACCTTGGCCTCCTTAGTAGCTGGAATTACAAGCACACCATTGGACCCAGCATCTCCCACAGAATTACTACATGCAGGCTCAGTAAACAGAAGAGACAGGAAGAATGCACAATTAAGGCTGGCTCCAGTGGCTCACACCTGTAATTCTACCGCTTTGGGAGGCTGAGGTGGGAGGATTGCTTGAGACTGGGAGGTCCAAGGCTGCAGTGAGCCATGATCATGCCACTGTACTCCAGCCTGGGTGATAGAGAAAGATACTGTCTCGAAAAAAAAAAGAATGCACAATTAAAAGATGAATAAATATGTAGAGTTTCTAAACATTTGAGTAAAATCAACACTGTAAGAAAAAGCAATCAAAATCTTCTGTAGCCCTGGCATGGTGGCTCGTGCCTGTAATCCTAGCACTTTGAGAGGCAGAGGTGGGAGGATCACTTGAGCCCACGAGTTAGAGACCAGCCTGGGCAATACAGGGAGAACAGGACAAAAGAAACAGGTGAGCACATAATGGCTGAAAAATTTGCAGAACATATGAAAAATAGAAATTATCAGATTTCAGAAGTCAAATAAATCCCAAGGAGGAAAAATGAAAAGAAAATTTGGACACATCATAGTGAAACCGAACAGCTAAGGCAAAGGGAACAAAGAAGATCTAAAACAAAAGACATATGCCATGTTAATGGATTGGAAGCCTCAATACTGTGAAAATGAGAAACCTTCTTCAAACTGATTTACAGATTTAATGCAATTCCAATCAAAATCCGAACAGGTTTTTTGGAAGAACATGACAAAATTAAAAATGTCAAGAATAGCTGGAACAATTTGGAAGAACAAAGGTGAAGGATTTATACTACTAGCCATAAAATCTCATTTTAAAGGTACTAATTAAGACAATATTCTTTTAGTGTGAGGAGAGATGACTAGTTCAAATGAATAGAGTCAACAATCCACATATATATTTATGATCCACACTTGATTTATGACAATAGTATGACCACAATGTAGTGAAGGAAAGGATTGTATTTTCAGTAAATGGTGCTGGTTAACTGGACAACCTTATGGAAAAATACGAATCTTGACCACTATCTCAAAACACACACACATAAATTCCAGATGGTTCATAGTCTTAAATGGGAAAGGTCAAACAACAAAGCTTCTCAATGGTAACAGAAGAGAATATTCTCATGGCATAGGACATAGAGAACATTAATTAAAAAGAAAAAGATTGATAAACTTGGCTTCATTAAAATTAATAAATTATATTCATCAAAAATATGTACATAAATATTGTACATTTGTGGTTTATGTATTGTTCTGTAATGTGTAATATTTTATAATAACAAAAGTTAAATCCAACAATGCCACTGCTGTGTATATATCCCAAGGAAATGAAATCAGTATGTAAAGAGATGTCTGTACTTCTATGTTCATTGTAGCACTACTCAGAGTGGCTAAGATGTAGAATCAACCTAAGTGTTCATCAGCAGATAAATGGATTTTAAAAAATGTGGTATACACATGCACAATTGAATATATTCAGCTTTAAAAAAGAAGAAATTCTTGTCATTTGTGACAACATGGATGAACCTGGAGGACATCATGATCATGTTAAGTGAAATAATTCAGGTACAGAAAAACAAATATTACATGATCCCAGTTACACGCAGAATCTAAAAAAAACTGAACTCAGAAATAGAGAGTAGAATGGTGGTTGCCAGAGGCCGGTGGGGGAGGGGAGAGGCTGAGATAAAAAGGTTAAGTTTGAGTTTAATGTCAATCTTTGAACGTTCCTCCAATAACTCATGAGAATTATGATTGGATGTCACTAAGAGCCCATAGTTTCTACCTAGTGAAAATAATAAATAGGCCAGAGCCTTGCACTCTTTGAAGTGATCACTCACTCACAACTATGGAATTTGGCTAAGAGCTAAGGATTAAGGGGAAACTCTTTGACCAAGTAAGCCATGCCAGTTTAGGGGTCCTAGACTGTTCAGAAAATCACGTGGGCTAGACAATGTGGAGTTATTGTCAGAAAGTTGTCTCATAGCTTCTGCAGTAGGAAATAAATGGGAAGAAAAATAATATTTTGCTCAGAAAATGAAGGACAAATTTGAAACCAACCAACCAGCCAACAAACCAACCTTGTCTGGTTTCTGTCTGTTGTTGGTATACTTGCAACTAAAAGAATCAGAGTAGCCCGGAGGGGAAGCCGTCTCTAATGGTGATAGTTCACAAAAGCAAAAATGGAAAGCATTTAATTGGTACAAATCATTCTTCTGGGAGGGAGCTGCCTTTGATATCCCTGATGAGCCTCAGGGCATGGGTGCAGAGGCTTTGTAAAAGAGAAAGAAGAATTTGTATGTGCGGTGGTATCCTACCACAAGAAGATAGATGAGGAACTGTGAGAGAAAGAAAAGGTGGTGAACAAGATGGCTTTATGCTCTGCAACAGGATTTCTCCCCATGACCACTAAAATTTCCAACAGAGCTTACAATAGATCATGAAATGCTTAGCGTAATTAAATTTGTTTTAGAAACTAGTGAAAAATGTGAATTTTATATCCTGGTTGACTTGGGTAAAACAAAGATAGAGGATGTAGACAGAGAGTACCTGACCTAAGTCCTGAACGATTAAAATTAAGTATGTGTGGCCAGGGGTGGTGGCTCATGCCTGTAATGCCCAGCATTCTGGAAGACCAAGGTAGGAGGATTGCTTGAACTGAGGAGTTCGAGACCAGCCTGGGCAACATAAAGAGACCCTGTCTCTGCAAATAATTTAAAAATTAGCTGGGCATGGTGGTGAGTGCCTGCGTTCTCAGTTATTCAGCAGGCTGCAGCAGAAGGATCACCTACGCCTGGGAGGTTGAGGCTGTAGTGAGTTGTGATTGTGCCACTGCACTCCAGCCTGGTGGGTGGATCGTTTCAGGTCAGGAGTTTGAGACCAGCCTGACCAACATGATGAAACCCTGTCTCTATTAAAAATACAAAAATTAGCCAGGTATCATGGCACAAGCCTGTAATCCCAGTCACTTGGGAGGCTGAGGCAGGAGAATTGCTTGAACCCAGGAGGCAGAAGTTGCAGTGAGCTGAGATCATGCCACTCCACTCTAGCCTAGGTGATAGAGTGAGACTATGTTTCCAAAAAAAAAAAAAAAAAAAAAAAAGGAATAAAAGAAAAGAAAGGAAATTAAGTTCGGATATAAGAGGTGTGGGGAAGAGATACTAAGGATATTTCTCCTTCAATACAAGGGACAAGAAGAATTTCAGTTATGTCTAGTGTATATGTGTATTTGTGTATATAAGTAATTAAATGGGATCATATCATACATGCTGTTGTTTCTCTTTTTTAGAGGGACTCTTCCTCTGCTGCCCAGGCTGAAGTGCAGTGGTGCAATCTCAACTCACTGCAACCTCTGCCTCCCATGTTCAAGCAATTTTCCTGTCTCAGCCTCCTGAGCAGCTGGGACTACAGGTGCACACCACCACACCCAGCTAATTTTTGTACTTTTGTAGAAATGGGATTTCACCATATTGGTCAGGCTGGTCTCGAACTCCTGATCCCAGGTGATCCACTCACCTAGGCCTCCCAAAGTGCTGGGATTACAGGCGTGAGCCACCATGCCCAGCTTACTGTTTTATAATGTAGTATTTGTCACTCAATAACATATTATGAGCAATACTGATACTTATTTAATCAAGGCCTTTTTGTTGAATTTTAATTGTATTACTCACCCTCACCCCCAATTTTTCACTATCATAATGAATGCTTCACTGAATATTTTGAGGCTAAATTTTGGTTTACCCACAGGATTATCTACTTATGATATGATTTTTTTTTAACCTAAGTTTGAAAAAAATGTCTAGTGAATTCTCCTGGGGGCTAAATCTGACTCAAATACTTCTAAATAAGTATTTAGAATATTATATTATAATATAATATAACTCTATTATATTATATTATAATATAATATAACTCTATTATATTATATTATAATATAATATAACTCTATTATATTATATTATAATATAATATAACTCTATTATATTATATTAGTCAGGGTTCTCTAGAGGGACAGAACTAACAGGATAGATATATACATAAAGGGGAGTTTATTAGGGAGTATTAACTCACACGATCACAAGGTCCCACAATAGGCCATCTGCAAGCTGAGGAGCCAGGAAGCCAGTCCAAGTACCAAAGCTGAAGAATCTGGAATCTGATGTTCGAGAGCAAGAAGCATCCAGCATGGGAGAAAGATGTAGGCTGGGAGGCTAAGCTGGTCTAGTCTTTCCACGTTTTTCTGCCTGCATTATATCCTGGCCGCACTGGCAGCTGATTAAGATGGTGCCCACCCAGATTAAGGGTGGGCCTGCTTTTCCCAGCCCACTGACTCAAATGTTAATCTCCTTTGGCAACACCCTCACAGACACACCCAGGATCAATACTTTGCATCCTTTGATCTAGTCAAGTTGACACTCAGTATTAACCATCACGATATGATATATAATATTTAGAATATTCTTAAGTGTAGAGCAGGTTGCTATACTTCACAGGTGCAGCACTCAACAGCAAGAAGATTCTAACTCTCTAAATAATTCACATGAAAAATATCCATTAATCCATTAATCATGGATATTCCTAACGTACCCATACTCACATGAAAAGTTACCAAAAAACAGTTCCTCTGTAGGTGGCCAACCTTTGCTCTTTCATATATTTAAAGTACTTTAGGAGGAGATAAAATGTTTAACATTACTACAAACGACCATATTATTGGTCAATGAAAAATATCCTTTTGAAAACTTCTATATTTCTCACACATATTTTAAATATTAACTAAAAGTGAAATGTAATTATAATCTAAAAGTCATTACTTCTGCCTTCTTACCTGTTTTATCTTGTTCAGGAATTCATTTTTTTCATCATTAGATGTATCATCCAGTTTTTCTTTGTTATCTGCGAAAAAACACCTATGAACAAAGGAAGCCAAACAGATTCATATAAGAACATACTTTCCAGAAAAGTCATATTTACTTATGAAATCAACAAGTCCCAGTCCCCATCTCCCCATATAACATATTTATGTATATATTTATCAAAATAAGCAAAAATGTGTACTCCTTTGAACTGATGAATTAATATTTCATTTATTTATTTTTTCACATAAGAAGCAATTATTGAACACATACCCTGCCAGATATGTTTCAGGTACTAGGGATACAGCATATGCAAGGTCCCTACCCTCATGAAAACTACATTCCATGGAGAGATCAGGAGATAAGCAAGTTATCAAAAAATAAGTCATATATCTCAGATACTATTAAGTGCTCCTAAGAAAACAAAGTAAGATAAAACATAAAACACTCCTGAGAGCAAGAATGCAGCTCTAGACAGGTGGTCAAGGAAGACCTTTTTGGGATGACCTGTGAAAGACCTGAATGTTAAGACGGAGCCAGCCACATGAAGATCTGAAGGAAGAGCTTTTCAGGTGGAAGAAACATCAGATGACAGGACAGAGGCAGGCAACAGCTTGGTGTGTTTGAGGAAGAAGGATGGTGAGGCTGGAGACATAGACTGGAACCAGATCATGTAGTGTGTTAAGGTCAGGCTAGAAGTTCAGATTTTATTCTGAAGGGAACAGGGGTAGATTATTTAAGTGAAAGAGCAACATGAACCTATGGACATCTTGTAGGGATGACTCTGGTTACTTTGTGAAGAAAGACAACTGTGGAGGAAGATCATGTAGAAGGCTCTGGTGGTGGTCCAGAAGAGATCATGGCTGTTCAGGCTAAAGCTACAGTGGTAGTAGTGGTAAGAAATAGACATATTCAGCATATATTTTGAAGATGAAGGCAATAGGGCGTGACTCTGGATTTGGCTGGAGTAAGAGTTGAGTCGGGGTTGGGTAGTGAGGAGAGCAGAAATGGCAGATGGCCCCTGGGCTTTTGGCTGGACTAACTAGGTAAATGGCAGCGCCACATTAACTGATAATGGAAGACTGTGGGAAGAGCTGATTCAGGAAGGTGAGAAATCAAGAGTCTGTTCAGGACATGTTATGTTTGAGATGTGTAATAGACATCTTCCAAGTGGAGAGGTCAAGTAAGGTGTACAGTATCTGCATTTAGAGCTCAAGTCATTGAGGTAAAGAAAGTATTTAAAGCCATGAGACTGAATAAAATCACATAGGAAGGCAGAGAATAGTGAAGGACTGAGAACTTGAAATTTAGAGTCTTAAAAAAGAATTGGAACAATTAAAGGATCCTAAAAAGCAGCAACCAGTGTGATCAGTGAAAACATGGTATTTAGGAAGCTAAGTGAAGGAAGTAATTCAAGAAGGCGGAAATGATAAACTATCAAATTCTATAATGAATTTGAGAACTTTCAGGAATTGACTAGACCACTAAAGTTTAACAGGATGGAAGTCATTGGTAACCGTGGCAATTCTGAAACCATGTTAGTCCAAAAAAGCATCTACAGTCTTCGTACCCTCATATACTTTAATGGCAAGGATATACTCTAGGCCACAAATTGGATGTCATTTATATACAACAGTTAACTTTCACATTTCTCATATGCTGAAAACCAGTTGAATGCCAAAGAAACACCATAGCGATTTAGAAAGGTAGACGTTGGATTCACCTTTATCTGTGTAATCACACTGGATATCAATGATAAGAAAGAACAAGGATCAAACTACAGTGCCTCCTGTGGATCTATGGAGCATCTGAGTTACTCTTATTTGTCCAAATATACATGGAATTTAAACTTGTGGTTGAGTGATTTTGTTTTCCTCAGTATTTTGAATTCAAAGTAGGTAACAGTGCTATTAACCAGCTTGCAAGTTAAAGATTTCATGAAAGAAAATGAAGGTTTAAATATTGATAGGAAAATGTGTCGTGCAAATTATTTTAGTTTCTTGTATAATTTCTTATAGAAATCTTATAAAACAGCACTGATTCTTCAAACCCACCAAGCGGGAACTAGGTTGCCTCCCCCTATCTTAACAGAAGAGGAAATCAGCTAAGGAAGAAAATAGAATAAAAGGAACTTTCTTTTAATTTTCCAGGTAATAAAGAAGAAAGAGTAAAATTTTTGATTAAAAAGGAGGATAACTTATATCCTCGATCACCACATTAATATAAAGCACTTTTCTTTGGTGAGATTCCATATGAATCCAAACTCTTAAAAAGCTGGGAATATAGATAATGATAAATCACTATAAATGGAAGATCAATGAATCCTCATACATGTTAGCTAACATGAAGACTGCTTATAAATAAAATTTCATCAATGTAGTGAGTATTTTATTCATAACAGCTAGAAATAATTTGAGGTAATCCATATCTTCCATTATGACTTTTTTGTCTAGTTTTTCTTCAAAATATACATAAACTAATACTATTGAATCACAAAATAAAAGAGTTTTTTTGAGTTTTAGTTGTGGTATTAATTGAGCTTTCTTATTTTTTAATCTGATACTGAAGATAAAGATTATTGCCTGTTTTACAAACTGATGATGGTAGATCAGCATTGTACTCTGCAAATTGTGTTTTGAAAGACTTACTATAATTTTAATTACAATATATTCAAATGTATGTAGAAATAGCCAAGTTATAGCAAGATTCTACATGTGAGGTTACTAGTCTTTTGGGAATCTTCTCAGTCCACAATTTGTTTCTTAAACTGTCAGTGAACTACTGGAGTAGTCCCCGGAAGAAATGTTATGACTCCATCTTCTCGTGCAGAGCTGATTGGATCAGGAACCAAAGCGGAGTCAAACACATTCTGATATGAAATCTGGGGATTTTCAGGGGAGAGAGTGTATTGACCAGTCTTTAAAGATTGTTGGACCTGTGCCAGGTCAATTCAGAGGATTTGGCATAGGCAGACATTGCCATAGGCTCACCACGAAGAGAATACTGTGTGCAATAAAGAGAGGAATAAAACACTTTCACAAAATGAAGCACAGACTGAGGCTTTGGATGGATGGAAGACCTCTTTCAGTTTCTGGTTCTAGTCCCATGTGTAGCAGTTTTTGCCCTGAGGCTTCCCTGTATTTTCTCAGGAAGTTTGGCAAGTCTCCTTTGAGTAAGAACAACTCTAACAGCATGGCTAGATGGGTTGTAGCCTATGATACGTCCCACTAATGCCGTCCCCCATGGGCATTTTTGTTTATAGGGAGTCCGGAACTGAAATGAGATACATTCCAAAGAGTCCTTTCCTTTCCCCAAGCTGACAGCGTCTTTAATTTTTTTCTCTTGATCATCAGCTAATTTCACAATGAAAAGGTGACTCTACAAAGCTTCCACACATATTTTAGTAAACTAAGAGAATATAATTTTCATGTCAAATTAAAGACGTTTTAAAAAATGAAAACATAGCATATTAACTATATGATAATATTGTATTAACATGTCTCAAAACACTTCAGTAAAAATAAAGCATTACACTTACAGTTTAGCCTCCAGAATTGCAAGGGCTTTCTTTAGCTCATTGACCTGTTGTTCCCAAAACCTTATTGATTCATGTAGTCGTGCTATCTCTAAATTGTGATCACTAAGAACCTATTAAAAATTAAACAAAAATATGGCATCCAATCATCACCAAGTGATTCATAACAGCAGTTCAATTCCACTCAATATTCAATTTTTACATTGGGAGTGTCCTTCGAGGAAAAAATCAATCATTATAATTGTTTCTCTGTAAAATAAACTTGGACATAATCATTCTGAAATCATCAGAAAAACCCAAAATTTAGAGGGGAAGATGGCTAAATACAGCAGTGAGAATGTGAAAACTATTTTCACAAACTTTTGAGACAAGAATTAACTTCATCTAACACTTAAAAAAATTAAACAAATCCATATTGTCACAATCATCTTCATTTATCATCCCAGGATACCAAAATCAGTATTATTTTTAAAAGTCAAAACAAATTGGGTCTATTGTCTCCCTTAATAGTTATGTTCGTGCTGAAAAGAACTTTTATTTCTTAATATTTAATCTAAATTTAGGAAATAGAATAATTGGATACTGTGGAAAAAATGTTATGATTTAAAGGAAGGGAAAATTGATGGAGAAAATTCATAATGAAACAGACATTCTTGCAATGCAATTTTGGGATCAAGGAAAGGAAAGTCTAACTTATTCAGCCTTGAGTTTGCATTTCAGCTTGTGAGGGATAATGGAGCTTAGACAAGGCTGATCAAACAAATTCCTCTTCTCTCCAACGCAGAATTACCATGGACATAATATTTAATGCCATCTAACCCTGGACAGCAATGTGGGATCAGAGATATACCTGTGGGGAGAATGGAGGCACTCTCAACCACGCCAGATGAGAGAGGTGGGTAAAAACTACTCAAAACGGTTTCTTTCTCTAGAGTACCCATAGCTAGTTCCAGAGCTAACTGGAGTCGTAGAACTACCATCAGAATGAGCCAAATGTTGAGAGGCCTCTGATCAATCATCAGAATTAGGGATACATGCTGAAGGCCTGATAGGCCTGACATCTGTTATCTTTAGTCCTCAGTCCTCCTTGCTGGGACAGGTAGGACGTCTTGAGGATCCCATGCTATTATTTTTTTCTGCCAACATCGTATCAACGTTACCTGGCTGCAGAGACGTCCCATGTAAGAGTTAATCTGAAATTCCTTGTGGTCTCAGTCTATAGCAAAAATACTGTTTTCTAACCTCAGCCAACAACAATGACAACAAACTACCAAATATAAAACACTTAATCGGCATGACCTCATTTAATCTCCACAAAAACGCTCTGCAGTAGGCAATATTAATACTTCCATTTTATAGATGAGGAAACTTCACATTTGTAGAACTATGATTTGAATCCAGCTCTGTGTGATACTCAAGTCTGTGCTTCCAAAATTATTATCTACCAATGGAGGGGTAGGAGAGTGGGCAGGCTGGATTGTGGGGAGTGGGGAAGGACCCGGAGGCAAATTTACTCCTGCTGCCTTCAAAATAACTTGGGCTTAGAGATCTTTGGAGTACAGGCTAAGGAACACATATTTCATTTTCCCAAGTTAGTTGGTGGTGTGCTTGATTTATGATTTATGGGCCAAAACTGGAAATATGAGCTTGGGCATGCAGATAAAATATGTTTTATATAGCCTTTCTATTCTCCTGTAGGCCTAGTGCTTCCTTACTATGTTGAAATTTAAAAACAGATAATGATGTTTTTAAATATACATATTTGAGAGAAAATTTTCATTTTACCAATGCTTTGTAATTGAATATCATAATAGATACATTGTAATTAAAATGAACAGAACCACCCCTTATAAAATATTCAGTTTTACTGTTGTACCAGTATAGTTTTGCATGTGATTTTTCAAGACACATTGAAAAAATATACTAAAGACTCATTAGTTCAATTAATTGTGATAAGAAGTTAACAGGCATTTTTGTTTTAAATAACATACAAGTAGTATTTACATTAACCACTTCAATTATAGTCACCGCCATAAGCTTATGTTTTCTCATCTTTCAAGTAAAGATAACCCTCACAAAATACTTCTCACAGTGTTGCCTTTCAGTAAATATTATCACAATTTTTTTTAACAGAAGTGCAGAGCTCTGATGTATTTTCTAATTTAAATAGACAAATGGTCTCCTTTATATATTAATATTGCTGTACTCAATACAGAGCCTAAACTTGGTTCTATTATTCCACATTCAGAATTAAGGACTCAGCCCATGGTTATTCATTTTGTTATACAAAATGAAGCAATCTCATGGAAATGTTATATATATCAATACATTTGGTTAGTTCTGTATGTTTGTTTAAATCAATATTTTCACAGTATTTTGGCCCATCCAATGCAGTTTGTATCTAAGGCATTCCACATTTCCTTCTTCCCATGATATCCCTGAAGAGGAAACCACAACTGCACCATAACGCTTTAAAGAAAGTGTCAGAAAATGTTCAAGTGCAGAAAACATCCTCTCAGCATGACATGAAGATGCATTACAATCAACTCCTTTTTTACTGAGGTGCTAGATAAGGCTTAAACACACATTATTGTTTCTTACCGCTGCGGAAACAGTAACTGTTTCTTTTATTTTTGACATTTTAGTTTGTAATTTATCCAATTCTTTCTTCTTTTTATAAGTCTCCACTCTCTTTATTTCACAGATATCTTTAAATTCATTAATCTATAGTGACAAGCATAAGAAACCAATTTAAAAAGCCTATTAGCACAACAAAGTTTAGAAAATCTTTTAAAAACAGTGTCAACCTAATTCATATTTAAGTATAACATATTCAATTTAAGTATAGTAATAAGTAAAAAATAAACCAAAAAACAAGGGTTTCCTTATTTTGCAGTATCACAGGAAAAAGCATGAGCCACAAGGGCCAAACTGTAATTATTGAATATTGAAATAGTAAATTTATAAGAGCAATAATAACAATGATTGTTAATAACTAATTATAAAAGTAATTGTCACAGTAGTGATTTCATAGTAAATCACTGCAGCAGTGGTGACCAGATTTACAATGTACTAAGCAGACAAGAAGAGTCAAAGGAAGAATTGAAGAAATTATCTGGGAATCTAAATTCACATTATTTAATGGGAAATAAAACCAGCTAAACACAGAGTAAACAAAATAATTAAAGACAGAGCAGCTTGTAATCCTGGAAAACTTCTTACAATTTTATCACACCACCATTTGTTAGACCCTAATGAACGATGTCACCCTCTTATCAAAACCACCTCTCCCAAGTCAACCAGAGCAGAACAAGGAAGAAACAATCATTACAGATCTGATGCTGAATTTTAATTAACATGACACAGCAGGCAGTTCAGCTTCTGCAGTGGCAGAAAAAGATGCCGTAGTTATCCCCACCCCATCCTCACAAATTTGCTGGTCTCGAAATACTGTTTTCTCTTTAAGGCCCTCAGTTCTGCCTGGCCCCACTGCAGGCCTCTGCTCTCTCTCATTCATTTATCAGGAGCAGCAGGGCTGGGCTGGTGCCCTATCGGAACACCCTAGTCCTGTCCATACAGACACAGTCTCAGGGTTATCAAAGGCAACTGGATAAGATGGTAGCCTATTCCTTGTCCCTATATGGCTGCATATAAGCAAGGGGACACCCCAGTGTTACAAATTCTGTCACTTAAATTCTTCCCCATGAACTGAGATGCTGCTACCAATCAAATGTCTTCCCCAAGAGCGGAAGTGTCCTTGAGTCTCCTGCTCATCCCGTTTTCCCAGGGTGTTCACAGAAGATACCACGGAGCCTGCTTGCCAGCCTTGAGGACAAATAAATTATTTCCTGTTTCCTGCTCCAGATTCTATACATTATTGTATTTTAAAGAATAAATCATGCCACTTACCTGTGCAGTCAACTCTTGTTTTCTTATCAGATATTCTGCCCTTTCTTTTTCCATTAGCTCCTCTGCCTCTTGAATACATTTTTTTTGCAATGCTATGTCTTCTCTCTTCAAATTTATTTGGGTATAAGTCTCATTTATGTAAACAGTGGTGGTGGCTTTTTTCTCCATAATTTTGTTGAGTGACAGGACAAACCTTGCATGCTTCCTTGCTAGCTCTTCCTGCTTCTCCCTAGGAGAAAAGAATTGCTCACAGAGTGAGAAGCACAGCTCCTAAGAAAGGAATAAAGTCTGTGTGGTGAGATGAGCCCTCAGCAAGAGGAAAAGTGTAAGGAATAGTTATTTTATGACTGTGTTTATGATTGTCAAAACTTGGTTGAAAGCCAGGCGCAGTGGCTGATGCCTGTAATCCTAGCACTTTGGGAGGCCAAGGCAGGCAAATCACCTGAGAGGTCAGGAGTTAGATTCCAGCCTGGCCAACATGGTGAAACACTGTCTCTACTAAAAATACAAAAATTAGCCGGGGATGGTGGTGTGCACCTGTAATCCCAGCTGCTCGGGGGGCTGAGGCAGGAGAATTGCTTGAACTTGGGAGGCAGAGGTTGCAGTGAGCCGAGATCATGCCACTGCACTCTAGCCTGAGTGACAGAGTGAGACTCTGTCTGAAATTTAAAAAAAAAAAATTGAGATGAGGACAGAAGGAAACACAAAACAAGCATCAACCTTGCAACTTTTACCACTTTTGAATGTAACGTGGCCTTGCCTCACACCACCCGTCCCCACATGCCAGGTAGTAACCACAGGGCATTTTGGGTTAAAGTACACAATGACTCAAAAGTAGTTTTGAGTGGGTAAATGGGATCTGACCAGATGAGTGTTTTGATATGTATTGTCATCATGTCTAGCTCATCAACCTGAGATACGCTGTTAAGCTAAAGAAAGAGAAATCTCATCACATCTCCAGCTACCCTGGATGCTACAACCCTGCAGGCAGGAGCCAACAGAAAGCTCACCTTCCTCTGGATAGAAACTAGGGAAAGAAAAGGGTCTATCTTTACGTTTTGGAGGATGCCTGAAACCTCATTTGAGCCCTCTTACCTTCTCCCATCTGTAGCCAACTCTGAGCTCATTAGGAGTCATTAACCTCACACATCCATTGCTGGGCGGTGTCCATCTGAGGAAGACCTCAAGATCATGTGAGGAAGACCTTAAGATTTTGTCTACCCTGAGACTAACAACAAAAGGTTTACAAAAGGGACAATTGGTGCCATTTCTCTATTTTCCTTTTTAAAAGCTCCTGCAATGTAAAGACCCTTTCCCTTTTTGCTAGTCCTCAAGGCTGGCGAGTTTCAGAGGAATTGTGTTTGAAGGCTCAGGAAAATAAAAGCAGGCTGCTGGGAAGTTTACTTCCAGAGGTCAAACTCCACAAAAGAAATGCAATAAAAAGAAGTCTAGGTGAGAGGCTCAGTAGGTGGTCAGATAATGGGTGCTTTGTGGATGCAGCAGAGGAGGCCTTCTAAGAATGAGTCAACCTGAGGACTGTGGAGCCTTGGGGAAACAAAGCAAAATAAGTGAAATCAAAAAACCTCACTAGGTGTGTTGTGATGGGCTGAGAAGAAAAGAACACTCACACAGTGTGGAACCTCAGGAAAACACATTCAAAGAGCTGCTCTGTCTGTATCTAGTTTTTGAAATTTGCCCAGGACAGGAGACATATCCACCACCAGTCAGAGCTTGTGAACACTTCGAGATGCATTTTCCTTTGAAAAAAATGATGCAACAAATGATTGTAGCTTGATGATGCCAACACACCTGCCACCACCTTCTGTTTGTTATTGCCTTTCCATAAAGATTTGTCTAGAACAGTGGCTCTCCCAATGTGGTCAGGACCAGCAGCAGCAGCATCGCCTGAGAACTTGTTAGGAATGCAAATTCTTATCCCCACCGCACTCCTCCCAGATTTATTAAATCAGCAATTTTGGAAGCAAGTCCCAGTAATTTGTGTTTTAACAAGCCCTCCAGGTGATTCTGATGCAAGCTCAAGTTTGAGAATCACTGGTCTATAGGAATGTGATGCTGCTGACTGGCTGATACAAATATCTAGCTTGGGTTTTATTTTTCTTGCTATTAGTTTAGCAATTGTGGTTTCCTCTTCAGGAATAGGACTAGTTTAGGAATAGTCTAGTTTATGTAGCAGGCTCTGGCCATGGTGGCTAGCATGCACCATGCACAAATCTGTATTGTGAATCCCCAACAGGATTAGAGAATGTGGTATTTCTCAAACTTACGTAATCATGAACTTTCTCTTTTGTGGAGCGTCTCCCAGCACAGGTGTACTGAGAGCCTGGTTTGGGATCCATGTCCCTGGGCCTTGAGGTCTCTACCTGATTACTGATCTTTGATATCTGGGGCACCCTGTGATAATTTTGGCTTCCCAAGAACACTTTTTTTCCCCTATAATAAGAGCTCTTTGTGAACATTTCTCACTCTGGAAACCAAAATGCTGATATTTATGATATTTATTAAAATGTATCAAATTTTCTCACGGGGTAATTCTTCAAGGGGTTCTATCTTTAAGAATATATCTCTTCCTTTCATGAGCTAGCAAAGAGTTGTGACCCCCATTTCACAGATGGAGAAAATGAGGCTCACTAAGGGGTATCAGATCTTGAGCTACAGGCAGTTTCATATATTATCTCATTTAATTACAGATAAAATCTGGAACCCTGTCCTGGGAACCAGCCTCATCCTCAGTCCTCCAGCGAGTTACAAATATGACTAAATATCTTCAATGAACTGAACTAGATACAACAGGTCTGGTTTGACATTAGATTTAAAATATAATCCCTGCAAGATTTCTTACTTTGGTGGTGGGGGTTTGTAAACTTAATTCTATGAAAATGAAACCTAAACCCACTGGGTGTCTACCTTTGGAGGTAGCAGTAGAGGTAGTGTGTGATTTACAAACAGTTGTTGCTGCTGAGAAGCTGGATTGCCTCTGAAGTATTACAGGCCTCCTGGCTGCTGTGGTTGAAGATTTTCTACTCTCCTCCTCAGCCCTCTGTGGCCATCACCTTCCCTACCCCATCAGCCTGGATCATCTCCTACAACCCATCTTCACCTCTCAACTTTCCCTGCCCCAGTTCAGATCAGACAGTAAACCCCTCCCGACAATTTTCCCACTCCAGCCACAGACCCCTACTCCCTCAAATATTGAATATAAGAATACCTACCCCAGAGCTTCATTATATTCTTTCAGGTCAGTTATTTTCTTCTTCAGAAGCTCTATTTCATTTTCTGTCCTTGTAATTCTCATTTTTATTGTATTTTTCTCAAAAAGATTTAATCTGCGAGCGTCTCTGACACATTCTTCAAAGTAAGTGGAAATGTTACTACATTATTTGAGGAAGAGCACAATTGTAGATACTGACTTTCTTGAAAAAAAAGTCTTTCTTTGAAATATTCTTTTAATAATGTTTTTGAGAATCAAGTACCTCTTACTCCCTTGGTCCCTCTCAATCTTACCTACTAATTATTTCTCTTATTTCTGCTGCTGTTATGGTAACCAGCTTTCTGTGGGCTTGGCTCAACTTCAGACAGGTGCAGTCTGATGGTGCCTGATTCCTGCCTGTTCCATGCACTTCTCACCTCCTGCCTAGGACTTCTGCAATTTCTACATTGGACTTCTTTATGCACCCACATCCATGCATGTATAACCCAGAAGTACAAGAGGTAGGGCAAGCATCAGACCAATGATAGACAGGAGCCAGTGCAGAAATATTTCTCCCTCTCTCACACTGATAGATGGTCCTGAGAAGAAGTAACACTGGGTCTTGGGGGCTTCTTCTCATAATTAATTAGTTTCAGTTAGCAGCAGCCAACATCATAATCCACCCCATATTGGCTCTCCCTTGTCCTCTGTTTTGGTCTCCTTATCCCATCCTCCTCTTTGGATTCTACTCCCTAATAAAATAATAATGCAAAAGCCAATGCCTCAGGTTCTGCTTTGTGGGAGAATCCAATGTATTAAAGAAACAATTATTCATCCATAAATAATAAGTCAGTGTAATCACATATGACTTCAAAGGATTAGCTCAGTGTATGACAGATGGTCAATATGCATGAATTTTTGAACACTGCTGTTGAGGAAGGTGCTGGACTAACTACTCATTTCTATAAAACAAACTCCCTAGAAACTAGCTGGTAGCTCTCCTGAGAGAGCTAGGGAATTTTTTTTTTTCTAGGCTACTAATTAAATTGCTTGTTGCAGCAGGCCTTCTCAAACTTTGTGTCTCAAATATGCACATACATCATTTGGAGATCTCGTTAAAATGCAGCTTCTGCTACAGCGGGTCTAGGGTGGGCCCAGAGATTCTGTATTTCCTCACAAGTTCTTACATGTTGCTTATGCTGCTGAACCAAAGACCACACTTTGAGTAGCAAGGACTTATGACATAAGGCCAACTAACTAAATTTACATGGTTAAGCATTTAGATGTATCAAGGACCTTATAAGCTATTATGGTATTTTCCCCCTTCTAAAATATGTTTTTCTGATTATAAAAGCAACCCAATCTAAAAACTAAAGAACAGCAAACAAAAAAGAAAAAACACTCTTAATTCTGCCTTTGGTGCAGATTCTTCTAAATCTGATTTTCTTTTCCTGCACATATAATTTGTTGTATTTTCCCTGTCAAATTAGATTAACACCAAGCATATTGTTTTAAACCCACTCTATCAGTCAAGGTCCAATTAGAAGATAGAAATCTCACAGTAAATTGAAAAGGGAAAGTTTAATAGAATAAATTATTAACTACAAGAGAGGATTAGAGTAATTAGAGGATTAGGGAATGAGTGGTAAGAAGTGAAGAGAACTTGAAAGCACTCAGAAATAGCAGACATAAGGAATAGCCACCATCCCTAGGGCTGAGATACAGTGCTCGAGGAAACAGCACCTCGAGACCTGGGAGCTAGGCCTCATTAGAGAGGCTGTGTCTCATTAGATGGCAGAGAAGTTCGTGAAATGCTGGGCTGATAGAACTTGCTGGAAATCTGCTCTCTGGGGGTGTTAGGGGTCCCTGCCCACAGAGAGGTGCCATACTTCAGAACTCACTGCAAAACTACCCAAGGGGGTGGCAGAGAAGCTCTTTATGGAGAGGTGCCTCATTGGTAGTTGAAGCTACCCAAGGGGTACTGGGGGAAGCTGCTGGGCATTGTGGACTGCTGGATGCTGCAGGACCATGGCCTGGAGAAGCTGCACACACCGTAAGAGTCAGCCAAGTTGAGCACACTGGAACCAGGAAGAGAACCCCTTCCTCCTCCATATCCCTCCTATGCCCTCTGCGGACAAAGCTGAACATTGTGCCAGCTGGTAAAGGGGAAAATTTACAGGGTCCAGCTTCCTTATCACAAAGTAGAGGCAATAAATGGCTAACTGGAAAATCTACCTTTTATTTTTTTACTTATTAAGACCACTGTTTTTAGGTTGGGCTCTCTGGGAAATAGATTATAAAATTTGTGTGTAGAGCATTTATTGGGTAGTGCTCCGAGGAACATCTCTTTGGAGGAAATGAAAGGCTGGGCAGAGAGGAGGTTAAACTGTGATGAGCTTTGGAGCTATGATCATGCTGTGGAGTTGTTCTACATTGAGGCAAGGAGCCAGGCCTTTGTACCCTCATAGTGAACAATCATGAGTGCAGGTGGCAGGCACTAGGGAGAGAATATAACTTGGAGTGAAGCTTCTCTCTTTTGTTTTTGTTTGTTTGCTTGTTTTTGTTTTGAGACGAAGTCTCGCCCTGTTACCCAGGCTGGAGTGCAGTGGTGCGATCTTGGCTCACTGCAACCTCTGCCTCCCGGGTTCAAGCGATTCTCCTGCCTCAGTCTCCTGAGTAGCTGGGACTACAGGCATGCGCCAGCACTCCTGGCTAATTGTTTTTTGTACTTTTAGTAGAGATGGGGTTTCACTATGTTGGCCAGGCTGGTCTCAAACTCCTGACCTTGTGATCCACCCGCCTCAGCCTCCCAAAGTACTGGGATTACAGGTGTAAGGTACCGCACCCAGTCCCTTCTCTCTTTTGTTGAAGGTAATTCCTGGAGAAGAACTCAGCTGTGAGCCTCAGTCAATATACCTGGCATCTGGAGAAATAAAGTTTGACCCTTACCCCAAATACAAAATTTACCTTAAAAAAAAAAAAAAAAAGATTGAAGACCTAAACATAAGAGCTTAAACTGTAACACCCTTAGAGTAAAACATAGAGAAAAGCTTCATGGCACTGAATTTGGCAATGATTTCTTGACTGCATCAAAATTTAAAACTTTTGTGCTTCAAAGGTCACTATCAACAGAGTGAAAAGGCAACCCATGGAATGGGAAAAAATTTTGCAAATCATGTATCTAATCAGTGGTTAACATTCAGAGTACATAAAGAACTCCTACAACTCAACAACAACAAAAAAACGAACCTGATTAAAAGATGGATAAAGGACCTGAATAGACATTTCTCCAAAGAAGATGTAGCAATGGCCAATGAGCAGACAAAAAGAAGCTCAACATCTCTAATCACTGGGGAAATGCAAATCAAATCACAATAAGATAACACTTCACAGCCACTTGGAGAGTGATCAGAAAAATCACAAACACAAAAATCTGGAAAATAACAAGTACTGGCAAGGATGTAGTGATACTGGAATCCTTGTGCATTGTTGGTGGAAACACAAAATGGTGCAGCCAGTGTTGAAAACGGCAAGGCAGATCTTCAAAATATTGAATATATGACTCTGTAAGATCTGACCCCAGTAAAAAAAAAATGAATGTACAATTACCATATAATCTAGCAATTCTGCTTATGCATAAATACACAAACAAACAAAAAAAATGAAAGCAGGGACTTGGATACAGGTGGAATATCCCTAATCCAAAAATCTGAAAACTGAAATGCTCCAAAAACATTTCTTTTGAGCATAATTTTGGAAATGCTCCAAAACCCCAAACCTTTTGAGGATCTACATTATGATCAAAGGAAATGCTCAATGCAGCATTTCAGATTTATGGATTAGGGATGTTCAACTGGAAAGTATAATGCAAATATTCAAAATTCCAAAAAAAAAAAAATCAGAAATTGGAAACATACCTAGTCACAACTGTTTTGGATAAGTGGTGCTCAACTTGTATTTGGATACCTATGTTCGTAACAGCATTATTCACAACAGGTAAAAGATGGGAGCAACCCCAGTGACAATTTGCAGATGAAATGGATAAGGAAATGTGATAGATACAAACAAATGAAATATTATTCAGCCTTAAAAAGAAGGGCAGTTCTGACACATACAACAGTATGAATGAACCTTGAAGATATTATGCTCGGTGAAGGAAGCTGGTCATGAGGACAAATACTGTATGATACTACTTATATGAGGTACCCAGAGTAGCCAAAACTCAGAGACAGAAAGCAGAATGATGGTTCAGGCCAGCCAAGTTGCCTGATTTAATTGGATAAATACCAATTTGGAATGGGCTGATCCATTTATCTATAGTCTATTTAGAAACAAAACTATATAAATTCAAGTGTTATATATACTATTTCCACTTAACATATAAGAGAAAATTATTATGGACTTTACTGTGTTTGTGTCATGTATGCTTTCTAGTTATATCTTATATGAGCAATAACTATGAAACTCATCTTGTTGAAAGTACTTCATTCTATTATAAGATCAACTAAATTTCTAGAGTTGATAACCTCAAAAGTACCTTCCAATTCCCTCTTAATGCTACTGGGAAGAGTTTCCAATAGATAGTATAGTTTGTTGAGTTCCATGCTTTCAATCTCCAAAAGATCGATTGTGGCTTTTCTCATTTCTTCCTGAAAATTTAAATTACATTTTTAAAAAGTTAAGACACTAAAATAGTAAGATTGATTTCCTAAACAATGCCCTATAAATGTTTTCAGGGGTCAAAATATAATTTCATTAAGTATCTTCTGCCATTATTTTTATTTGGAACAGAAACTGGGAAAAGTATCTACAGTCACTATTTAAGGTGTCTGTTAATTTATCTCTTACTTTCTATTGATTTTATTCTACTGAGAAATTATCTTTTCTTTATGAGTATCTGTTTCTTATATGCAGTTTCAATCCATTTAAAAGGAAAGACGCTAACAAAAATGGTAATATTGAGAAAGAAAGCTACTTATTAAAATATGGAAATTGCCTATGAAAATATGCTTAGGTATAAAGAGAACAATGGTTTTCTCATACACACCTACAAACCCCAACAAATAGGTAAAGCTGTTATTATTACTTTTAGGTGAGGCTACTTTAAGAAAGGAAACACTGCTGAGAAATCAGTTGGTGGGAAAAAATAGATAAATCATCTTTTAAATAAACTGTCATAATAGCTATAGCTATTTTATGACCTGAGAACCTGCCATTATATTTTATGAATTATAAAAAGCAGACTATATAATTACATATATAGCATGATCACTTTTCTGTAAAAAATGAAATTCAGTGCAGTCATCACCTATACCCTGAAAGTAGAAAGTATATTCATCAGCATTAATTGTGATTATTTTAATGTGGTCCTTTTGCTTATCTATTTTTTCTAAATTTTTCAGAGTCAACATGTATTACTTTTATAGTAATGAACATTTATTACTTTTAAAAATAAAAGGATTGATCTCTGTTTTTTGTTTTTTGTTTTTTTAAATGGAATCTCGCTCTGTTGACCAGGCTGGAGTGCAGTAGGGCAATCTCAGCTCACTGCAACCTCTGCTTCCTGGGTTCAAGCGATTTCTCCTACAGCCTCCCCAAGTAGCTAGAATTACTGGCTCCCGCCACCATGAGGAGCATAAAAAAATAAAAATAATTTTTGTATTTTTAGTAGAGGTGGAGTTTCGCCATGTCTTGGCCAGGCTAGTCTCGAACTCCTGACTTCAAGTGATCCACCAGTCTCAGCCTCCCAGAGTGCTGGGATTACAGGCATGAGCCACCACACCCAGCCTAATCTCTGTTTTTTAAGAGATTTCACAGCTCAGATATTAAATGAATACAGACTAGATACTTTAACCACAATAAATATTTTGGCCCCTTAAAATCCTAGTGAAAGACATAACTGAAAGAACCAAGCAGGGAAAAATGTTTCCACAGCACCACAGTGCTGCACAACACACATGATCCCTAAGTGTTTACATGTATCTACTCAATTAAGTAGGATTGTAAACTATGATTATGTAGTATAGAGATATATATGTGTGTGTGTATGTGTGTATAATATGAAACATAAAGTAATAAGAGTTTTATCAGCAGTCTGTGGATTCAAACTCATTTACAGCCATATTTCTACATTTTTAGCAATTTGATATATAGTAGATTCTTATTCAATATTTTTAAATAAAATGGAGAGCCTTCGCCATTCTGACTGTGCCAAGGAAGCATTGTCAATATCATCCTTGGCCGAAAAGAGAGGTCTGTGACACCTCAGAAGGAAATTCTTTAAATACTTCTTCAACATGTCTTTGTTAGGGGCTAGATGAGTGTAATTGAAAGAGTTCCTCTTTGTTTTCACTAACAGTACAGTCTACTTCAGTGAAACATATGTCAAATAATCTTTGACCAGTTATGCAAGGAATTGCTTATAGAGAACTGAGTTAATTAGCACCATGCTTGCAATTTATTCCAGAGATTGTGTGTGTATTTGTTTTAAGGAATGCTTGTATATTAGTGTCCCAAGCATTTGCCCATGTGGTCCACCTCTTCACTGAACCCTATTATTACCCACATTGCTTTCTCTAAATGAGCTTGCCCTCATCCACAGTCATAAGCCCATAATTTAGTTTTCTCCATGGAAAATCCAGTAACAATCCACAGTTGATCAATAATTATGCAAATACTTACAAAATTGAGAGAAAAATATTTTTAAGTTCAAGGTAACTATATTCTCTAGTCATCTACTTAATAGTTTGAACAGAATTGTTGCTAAATGAAAGTTTGATGAAGAAATATGTGGAAGATTGAAGAAATGGTTGTTATAGATAATACAATACCAATTTCTTAACAGCTACAGCAATGTCCTTAAGAAAGATCTTAGCTTCTTCATTACATTTAAAATAGTCACTTTGCAGTGATCGTTCTGAAAAAAAAATTAGAAAATAAAGATCTCTTATTTATCTATCCAAATTCTACTTAACCTTTTATGATCTAGCTCAAATGCTTACTTGGTTGGAAGTTACATCTTCAATCTCTGAATTGTTATTGTACATTACACTAATCTCTTTTGTACTTATTTCTTATTCCATAATGTTATAATTTAGGTATCTATTTTATGCTCCTTGAGGACAAATGTGCTGGAGATTTACATATTAATATTTTATAACTCCTACTCAGGGCAAGAATGTGTAATGATTTTTTTTCCCTGTGAAATATGTTCTGAGTGTCTAGATATTATTAACAGAAAAATGTATTTGTACATAAGTACTCGGGTTGCAATGGCATGCTGATCTAGAGATCAAGTATGAAGAGAGTTCAAGGTTCTAGCTCTATCATTGACAATGACCTCAGATACATGCGAATAATTTAGGTCTTAATAACTTTAGGTCTCCTCAGTGGTTAACATTCTTTTATTTTATTTTATTTATTTATTTTTTTGAGACGGAGTCTCGCTCGGTCGCCCAGGCTGGAGTGCAGTGGCGCGATCTCGGCTCACTGCAACCTCCGCCTCCCGAGTTCAACCTATTCTCCTGCCTCAGCCTCCTGAGTAGCTGGGATTACAGACGTGCGTCACCACGCCTGGCTAATTTTTTGTATTTTTAGTAGAGACGGCGTTTCACCATGTTGGCCAGGCTGGTCTCAAATTCCTGACCTCAGGTATCCACCTGCCTCGGCCTTCCAAAGTGCTGGGATTACAGGCGTCAGCCCCGGCGCCCAGCCAACATTCTTCACGATAACATTCACCCAAGCATATTTGCCAAGAATTGTGAAATTAACCTAGTGCATTTAAGGCGGAAAATAAAAACTATCCCAAATTAATAGTAACATTGTAACATAAATCAATACGATTATCTTGAAGAAATGGGATGATTCTAGTGAAGCACTGAAATGTTTTGTTGTTTGGCCTAAACGGTTTTTGCACCGACCAAGAAACACCCTTTCTTGAATTGTCTTACCTTAAGTTTAAGTGACTTGATTACAGGTTCAGCTTTCTAACTGAAAAATATTTTAACCTGGCCCCATCCAAGGTAATTTTCTATTAGAATCTCCTAAACAACCTTTTACATCTAATTTTTCTTGCTTAATACAACAGGAGCCTCTTAAACACTCCCTTTCCTATTTGCTTGTTAAATTTTCCAGTTTGCCATGGCAAAATGTGGGAGGATGTTAACTTGGAAAGGCAGGAAGAGGTTACATGTATCTACTCAATTAAGTAGGATTGTAAACTATGATTATGTAGTATAGAGATATATATGTGTGTGTGTATGTGCAAAAAAAAAAAAAATCAGAAATTGGAAACATACCTAGTCACAACTGTTTTGGATAAGTGGTGCTCAACTTGTATTTGGATACCTATGTTCGTAA